CACACACACACACACACACACACACACACACACACACACACACACACACACCATTGGACCATTGGACGCCCATCGCCGGAGGCGATGATAGCGATGCTACAGCAGACGCCATAGCAGCTTGTGCTGGGATTGCACCATTCAACAGCTTGCAAGGCTGAAGAATTGACCGCCACTATTCAGCCTGGTCTACACCACACAGCTATGAGGTGGCTTTTTCTGGCCAGTGAATCCCTACTTTTTGGTCTTTTTCATTTTTTGCTATTTTTTCATTTTTTTCACACACATCACACCACATACTCCGGCATGCACTGCCTGTTGGTAACCACCCAGGAGAAAGAAAGAAAAGTCAGGAGGAGTCTGAGAAAGAGAAAAAAGACGTGTGTGACCATAATCGTCGGGAATCGAACCCACACACACACACACACACACAACATGTGTAGCGCTCACAAAAGCCTAGCTGCACCCACCTGCCATCTATGCTGCGCCAGCCTAGAGTTGAAATCCTCTTCCACACGACGTACGGTTTTTTCCTGCATAGACACCTGCGAGGGCAAGGAAGACAGACAAGAAAGCGACTAGCTCAGAACATCAGCTAAATAATGTATAGGCAATAACACCATGTATGAACCTGGTCAGGCCTGTGATGTAGAGCTGAAGGCTGGCTGTGGAACACAGTACATTGCAAATGTATATCTGGTAGTGTCTTCAGTATTATTAAAAGGTATACGAAACAGTTCGCCAAGCAGGAGCAGCTACTACGGACGAGTCCCTGCAATGCTACAAAATGGGTAGCAATTTACAAAGTTTACAGCACAGGATGCAGAAAGCACAGAGCAAAATGCAGCACTTGCACACCTACGTACATGCTCCGACAGCGTCCACTTCTCCGTGTCAGCAGCCTGCAGCTTCACCTCCAGGTCTTGAATGGTTTGTTCGCGCCGCAGCACCTACATGAATGCCAGTGAGACACACAAACAGACAGACACAGTCAGTCAAACTCAGCCGCATACCAGCCTTGATACCCGACAGGAGGCAAAACAGTCGGAACAACTCTCGATACATGTACGGTCAGACCTCACTTATCCAGTCCTCTTTTATCAGGATCCCTCGCCATCCGGAAGAAAATAGCTGGGTACAGATTTACAGCATACGTGATGCATCCAACATAACCGGTGTTCAGTCTTCCGGTTCCCTCGCCTCTCCGGACATTTTTTTCGTGGAAAACGGATGTGTGCGGTTAAGCGAGATCTGACTATACAGTGAAGCCTGTCTAAGCCGACCACTCAGGGGACCGTGCAAATAGTATGATCCCATGTACAGATGAAACTCGGATGGAGAGCCAAGGATCAAAATTAAAAAGAAAGGACCAAAGTTTACATGCAGTACCATATTATACAGATGGTCTCCTTATCCGAGGTTATTCGACTGAAAATAGCATCCCTTGTTCCTAGTCGTAGTTGTCTTCTGCCTGGGACAGGCGGTCATATTATTATCAGAGTGGTCACCTTGACAGGCTTCAGCGGCCACTAACGAACACATTCACAAGCAAAGAAAACCAGGGGGGGGGGGGGGGGGGGGGGCACTGGCAGTAATGCACAGGCAAGGTAGCGCCAGCATAGCGGGGACAACACGGCGAGCACTTCCACTTACCAGCTAGCACAGCGTCGCCGTTTCCATTACCGGACTACAGTCACCCAATACAGTATCAACCATTCTAGTAGTTCCCACGTGTGAATCAAGCCTTCTCTTCCTCTCGCATTGAAAATTTAATTACGCCAATCACCGCGCAACATACTGCCATTACAAACCCAGGGGAAACCCCTATGTTCACTTCTTGGAGGTACACACATAGGTAGTGATAGCATTCAGTAGTTAAGTGGCCCAACCGTTGAGGCCGAGTCCAAACTCTCCCATCATGGTGGTTAGTGTAATACACCACAGATTCAAGCAACAGCCGAGAGTCTGGTTCACAAAATATTTGCTCGCGCCATTCCAACGTACTAGTATACAGTACACATCATGGCTAGTTCACGAAAAGAGTTGCCATTGGATACGGCGGTGTTGCTGGTAATTCAATGGTGTTGCCACCAACAGTGTGGTTACTGGCCGTACACTGTACTTGCTGTATACAGCCATTGGGTCTCAGATAACATCCGGCTACTAAGTGGCCAAGTATGTGCCCTCGACCAACCTTCAAGTCAGTGTTGATACATTTCCTGGGCGCAATGATCCCAGGTGGCACATGCATCGTTGAGCTAGTGGATTGATCAGTGAGGCATTGACTCCGGAAGGAAAAATAGGAGACATTTTGTTGTCAGGAAGATCAACAACTTGAACGACCTCCTCGTAACAAAATCAGCTTGTTCAAAGCCTCTCACTCACAGTATTCCATGACAACGACTCAATCAAGTAGACCACAGAAGAAACATGGATCTGTGGCTGTCTGTGCCGGCTGTGCCTCTCTTTCACTCACTACACGCGCGCGCGCGCACACACGGTCACGGCCTCAAAACAAAATACATAAATTCATAGTACGTTGCGGCCCACCACCACCACTACACAACACAACCCAACACAACGTCAGAGCACATATACATTTACACACAACAAAAACAACTGCTACAGGATAGCATCAACAACACGGCAACTACACAAACAGCTATCACTAAGTACCAAAGGTACAAGTACCAACAAGAACAAGGGTGGGAGGATGGAAACAACAGCAAGCAGTGCCTGCAAATAGCCAAGACACAGCGCACTACAAACGCTTACAAGACATATGAGACTTGTGTAACACAACGATCATAACACACAGTGCAGTGCAAGCAAAAGCACTGACACTCCCGACAGCCGATCAGCAGCCGCCTTACCTCGTCCCCGTGCTCGTTGCGCAGCAGCGTTACTGTCGTTTCCCATTGCTCCAGCTGAACACACAGACACACAGACACACACAGACACACACACAGTGAATGGTTGAATAGAAAGGATGCGTGGCCTTGGTCCACTACGTTCAATACAACGCTACAACCACTGCAACATGCATGTACCTGCACCTGTACACAATGGGTTGCTAGCAAGGCAAACTCAAGGCCACCAAATATCAGTCTTGAAAGAGAGAGAGAGACCCAGTGAGTGCGTTCGATTACTGCCATGAATCGATTCACGAATGGAATCTCGTCGTTCGGTTTCATGTCATGAGCCCTGGAATCGGTTCGGAATCCATTTACCCTATTCACATGGGGTGATGTGAATTGCCAGGGGCGATTCATGATTCGAGGGCATAATCGAACGCACTCACTGTACACACACAATCACACCAGCTAGCATACCTTGGCTCGGCAGTCAAGCAGCTGATCACGGTACATCGATGCATCGGCCTGTGCGCTATCCAACGAACTCGAATGGTCTGCCATCTGCCAGAGAGGAAAGAAGGACAGGAGTCAAACAAACACGACGGCACGAAACTACACTTCACGGTGCAGGCCGGCAAGAGAAAAGGAAAAGCGACTTTGAATATACAGTTCCTTGGTAACTCCGTCTAAAAAGTACAAGATGAGTATGACTGGTGGAGGCTTGTCCTGAAGTTCAACTGTACTACAGCCTTCGAAAGAGTTCTACAGTATATGTATGTACAATGTCGATGATCGGTTAAAACCGTGAAACTCAGAGCTACAGAAGAAACGCTTTTCGTCCCTCTCAAGTGTGTGTACTAGGTTCTGCACCTTGGTGTATTGAGCACTCTCACGAGCAACCACAACTCCCTCCGAGTATGTACAATGTCATGTAGGCTTGTTGTTGACATTCGTTTCGGACCGCTGTCTCAGACGCGAGCAGGAGAGTGTGCATTTAGAGTGAATTTTGAAATAATTTCGAAACAATACTCGTACTCCTTGTGTCCTACCATAATCGCCTTACCTGTGCCCTCGCTTCTTCCGTCTCCGAACACGCTGTTTTGTACTTGTCCTCGACGACGGCGACGTTTGACTGTAGCTCGCTAATCTGGGAGTTGAGCCGCTCCATCAGCCCGTTGACCTGCTCCTCTTGCTTGGAGAGCTTCTGCTTCAGGTCCTCGTTGGTCTGGTGCTCAGTGTGCAGCTGCGTGCGCAGCTCCGTCGAGCGACCGTGCTCCGCTTCCAGATTGGCCGTCAGTGTAACGACGTCGGCCTGCAGTTGGCCGAGCTGCTCGCCGCTGGCCATCGAGGTCTTGACGTCGTGGCTGCGCAGCTCCTGCAGCCGGGCGTTCTCCTCCTGCAGGGAGCGGAGCAGGCCGTCGCGCCGCTCCACCTCGTCCATCAGGGACGTGTGCCGCGTGCCGGCCTCCTGCTCGTGCGTCTGCAGGCCGCTGAGTGCGTTGGAGAGCTGCTCTTGATTGGTGGCGAGCGACTGCCGCAGGTCAGCCAGCTCGTTGTCGCGCTGAGTGATCTGCCACACAGTAAGAACACACACACACACACACACACACACACACACACACACACACACACACAATGAGCCTATTGCGCAATGACGGAATTCATACAATAGACGCCCCACACAGCCACCTGGGTATGGCCGTGCGGGGTGTTGAACAGTGTATTCCTGATTCCAGCGGACTCACATGCATTATTATTATTATTATTATTATTATTATTTGTGCTCCCGCGTCAATGGGCTCGCCCAAATTCGCTTGCACCGAACCATGCGAAAAAAGGCCGCCAGCAGGCAGGCAGGCAAAGAAAAATAGAAAATGGTGTCACATAAACTAATACAAACAAGAATATCATTATTGATGACATTAATATACTGAATGAATGGCAAAGGCCATGTGAATACGGATAATACGGATAATCAGAGTACCAACAACAAAGAATGTAGCTCAAACCATTGCAGTGCCAACTTCCTTCACCAGTACTCTGCCTTGTACGCATCTGTAACTGCGTTGCACAGATATGTCCATTCACGGCGATCCAGTGCTCGCTGAGCCATCAGCTGCAAGTCCCTTGGAGTCCTCAGACGGCAGCCGACTCGCTCCGCGTCTTGATTCAGCAGGACCGGTAGCGTGATCCGCGGCCGCCCACGGTATCTTCGGCATATCTTGGGTATCAGGTGGCCCAACCGACTGTCGAACGATTTGGTTTACGAGCGCTGCAGTGCTGCTCCACTTGGCAACATACTGGTGAATGCAAGATGGCGGTTGTTTGGCCACATCCTGCGATCAGATGAGCACACACCGGCTAGGGAGGCCATGAGTGGATTCTTTGGCTGCTCCGTGCCGGGATACATGCATTACTCATACAATCTATATTTGGTAATGCACAATGGGCCTATAACACAGTTCTTAAATCAGAGTGGCATGGGTTAAAGGGGAGCTGTCACCGGCCGGATATGAGAGGTACGAGTGTATAAGGCAAAGAGATATGCTCAGCATGCACTTCACAGACCTCTGTGCACTCTCTCCGTAGGTACCAACATCATGCAGAACATAGGAATAGTTACTCTCCAGTCAGCACACGTACCTGCTCTTTCAACACACGATGCTGTGCACTGCCCGAAACGAGTTCCTGTTGTAAGGACTGGATCTTGCGACCTCTCTCGGATAACTAGATACAAGAAGAAAACCCCACAGGTAATGTAATGATGATAGTGACGTGGCACGGAGTAGTGCAGGGCATGTAAAGACTATAACCAGATGGTGCACTCGCTGTCTCACACAGCTGTGCACGTGTGTGTGTGTGTGTGTGTGTGTGTGTGTGTGTGTGTGTGTGTGTGTGTATGTGTGTGTGTGTGCGTGCGTGTGTGCGTGTGTGATAGCATGCATGCTCAGCGTTCACAAATGTTAGAGTATGTATGGTATAATTCATTAAATCCCATGGTACTGTCCCAAATATATAGCGTGACCAACACCAAAGCTCCCCTATTTACTCTTGGCGTGACCCATATGAACCAAGCGGGGTATATCTTGGAACCGAGTGAACCGAGCGGGGCATATTGCATCCATGCCGCTGAACATAATTATACCCCACTCAGAACGGCCACAGATTGGCTGAAATCGCCCAAATCGTAACCCAAGTCAACCATGGGATAAACACAATTCACTCTCGGGATGCAATGCACTGACCTGCTTCTCCACCAATGAGACCCTCATTCTGCAGACAAAAGACCAATGTACAGCCACACACACACACGTACACATCTTAGATTATAGGGTGACTCATTACCAAAGGCGATGACAGCAGCCTTTGCTTTCTGCAATATGTACAATGGCACCGTTTGAGATATACCCCCCCCCCCCCCCCCCCCAAACACACGTGCATTTGAATGTAACTCAGGCTAGCAGGGAGTGACTAGCATTTGCAAACATGGATTCTCCACAGGCCTTAGCCTACATCGAGGGAGTTGTCATGATCGAACGCAGCGTTACCGAACCTAAGAGATACCCACATCTCCGGACCTGACCACCAGCAACACACAATCTTCTCAGGAATGATGAAGCCAAACTCACCCTTCTTTGGAAGATGACCCTGTAGGCGGCAGCATGTCAGATGTTACAGTTCGGAAATCAGTGCTCGCAAACTACATAAAACAACAAAATACACAAACAAAGAAAATAATTAAATAATTAGATCATGACATTCAACATAATGCATGTCTCAAACAAATCAGAAGACACAGCAGTAAAAAAGTAAAGTTCGCACATCCGCATTAGAACCGGCTACACAATTGTGCTGAGAAGCACGACCAGCTTATGAAGTTTCGCTCGTGCCAGGCCACCAACAAAGCTGCAGATGCAGCACCGGTAACAGCGGAAATATCAAGCAGTTGGCAGAATGCATGCGTGTCACTGTCTGCCAGCATAGGATACCGTGACAGGAAGCAACCAGTAACAGCTTGGCCATGCCACTTTCTTACACAAGTAGTACATGCATACACTACCCTCTAGCTTACCTTCCACTGTCCACTGTGGTAAGCCAGTGAGAGAATGTTGACCAAGGCATGCACGTCCTGCTGGAAGTCCTCCGAACGACTCTGCACCTCATTCGACCGCTGCTCCCATTCCTGACCAGCAGACAACAGCGGGGGAAACAAGCACAGAGCAAGCGTTGAGAACGGACAGGGACTCAATACATTCAGTCTCGCATGGGATACAAACGAGGAAGTCAGCATGTACACGCACACGCGTGCGTGCACACACACACACACACACACACACACACACACACACACACATACTCATACTCCTGCCCATCGCTGAAGCAACGATAGCGAACAAGCTATGTTAGACATAGCAACTTGTGCTGGGATTACACCATTCAACAGAGTGCAAGGCTGATGAACACACACACGAACACACACACACACACACACACACACACACACACAGCAATAGTGCTTACCCGTGCGGAGCGCTGGGCTTTGGTGAGGTCAGCGCCGAGCTCCACGATGCGATCGGCGCTGTTCTGCTCCATGATGGTGAGCGTCTGCAGCATGACATCCTTCTGCTTGTCCAGATCGTACAGGCATGACTCCAGCACCTTAGCGGTTTTCATCTGCTGTTGCAGTGCACGCCAGTCATACGCACGGGAACAGATACGTGAGTAGGCAAGCAAAGACTAGCATAAAAGTACACAAGTTCATTATGATGTGCATGAGGTGTTATACTTCGAAGTAGACAATATTTACAACAGTGCATGTGCATGGGCAAGAATCGGAGAATTGGCCGTGTGCTGCCGTCTTGGAACTGGAACACAGCAACTCTAATCGGTGTCAACTACATCGCTCTGAGGATGCAAACACTACAGTCCATTTACAAATACTTGATCTATGGACTTTTTTCAATTTCAGTTTAGGCGGAATGGGGTTTTATGCATAGAACATGGCCGCCACCTTCCTGAGGGGCAACGTGTCCCATATTCGGCAGGTACAGCCAGTTGTAGTACATTTGTGGGTATGATCGTACACAGTTTATGACCTTTGATGCAGGATTGGTATCACAGTGTGTATCGTTTTAGTGGACTTGCCCCTCAAAATCAAATGGCGGGAGTACTATCAAGAGTACATAAACCAGAGTGTGCAACTCGGGATGGTTCCTGTGGGAGCATAATTCGTGCAGTACGTCATTTCTGACGGCATGGTAAGCCACAGGTACGGTGAAAAGTTGCGTAACCAGTCACGGTGGTGCAGGTCACCGAGTTTGTCCTGATTTCGGTTTTTTGATACAGATAGCCTGGTGAATTTACTTGTCGGTGGATGTACGCCGCGTACACAGTCCCATAAAAACACCGAAATCCTGAAGCATGACGTCTAAAATCAAGCAAACTTGGCTGATTTCCGGGCAATGAAACACGAAAATTTTAGCTGTACGCAAGTCGCGGCTTGGCTGACTTCATCAGGGTGACGTAGTGCACGAACTACGCTGTTTCAGATCTGATATGCACAGTTGCACACTCTGGTTTATGTACTCTTGGTATTATCAATAGTCCATAGCCCCAAGAGTGTGCAACGCTGTACATGGGGATCCACGCGGAGGAATCCCAACATTACATCAAAAATGACGGACACGTTCGTTGCGCTTGTAGATTTTCTGCTTTGCCCTGGGTTTTATGTCGAATTCACTCGATCGAGTCGAAAATGATGGCCTTGAACTTTGCCGCGAACCACCCAAGTGTGTATGAACCCGTATACCCAAAGCCGCCCTTTCGCCTGGGGTTACGGACTCCTGATACCATTGTACTACTCCCTGGTTCCAAGACCCGGAGTAAAGAAACTTTGAAGTATGAACTTCCTGGTTCAGAGGACCAAAGAAGCTGTTTGTTTGCTTCCAGTAGTGTTGTTGATAGTGGTCTTTCTTAGTAGCTCTCAGACCTTGAAATTAGCTTACTTGGTTGGTATATTTCTGTGGCCAATGCCTCCGAAACCAGGACCAACGTCCGACGTTTCTTCATCCAAAATGTCCACATCGAGCAGTGAGGCTACTTTGTTTGACTATCACGTTTCCGAGGAGGCTGTGAAGTCGGTTCATAGAGCAGCTAGGATCGAAGTACTCCGAACTTCATGTTGGGTTTCTTTCGAACGAGGCGGAGGTTGTTACAGAAGTGCAGTCTCATCGAGCTGTCCATCTGTCTAGAAACGAGGACACCCCACGCCTTTGACCCGTTTGGTGGTTAAGAGTGATGAGCGATTCACTTTCGAAGTACTCTGTGGCGTAGTTGTTGAGCATGGATATTGCTCACCTAGCTTGGCGGAATTGACTCCGCTCCTGCACCGGATGTTGAGTCATGACTATTGTCAGGTTCAACAGCTCTCAATAAATCCAGAAGGCTGGCTTTGTCTTTGGAGGACATTTGCTTTGCCCTCGCTCTTTTCTTCGCACTTCCGGGAGTAATTGCAGCTTGGGTTGGAGGAGCTGCAGAGTCCCCACTGACTGCAACTTGCTCGCTGTTCACTAGTGCATCGTATTTTTGTGGAAATCGACAATGCAAAACCGAAGGAAATGCGGAGTTTTGTCCTCTGTGCCTCAGCGGCATGACGTAATGTTGGAATTCCACCACGCAGTGGGCGGCCTACAGCAGCCAGACCCCAGTTGCACACTTGGGTTATGGGCCCTTGGTATTATGCATAAGCCCCATTCAGTTCCAAAACCATTCTTCGACTTCGGCCAGAAGTATGTTTTGGACCAGGATGTCTGATCAACGGTAAGCCCGGCCGAAACACTCTAAGCCTGGCCGAAGAGCTAACTCCCTTGTGGTCCACTTTCGGAGACATAGATGCCAAAAACACAATCATTATTGGAAGAGCATCATTTCATACTGCATAACAATTTTGAAAAAAGGTCAACCGTGGACCTATTAACGGCCAAAAGCCAGATCACGATTTTTCTGAATGGACAGTAGTGTGGTTTGCACTGACTTTCAAACCTTTTTTTCATACTTCAAGTATCTGTATGTGAAGAACATCTAACCATGGAGAACATGAGCATCCCATTGTGCATACAGTCAACGAATTTACTTTGTGCATAACGACACTCGGCCGGGCATCAGAAAAGTGTCCTTATTCGCGAAGTGTCGTTATACCCGAAGTCTCATTATATGTATGCAGGTAGAACAGACTTTTCTCTGGGCATGGAAATCCCGTCGTTATTCGCGAATTGTCGTTATATCTGCAGTCGTTATTAGCGAAGTTGACTGTACACGTGTAGATGACAAATTAAGCATTCGCTACAATCACTGTAGACATGCATAATCAATTATTATCAGGTGAACCTGTACTTTAGCGCCCCCCCCCCCCCCCCCCCCCCCATATAATTATGGCACTAAGCACAACACTGACCTACATTGTACAGTGTAGTCATTTTAGTGCTGAAATCACCTGAACACTACATTTGTTTAGTACAAGACATCCGACGACCTGGGGGCGCTAAAGTACAGGTTTACCTGTTATCATGATTATGCATTGGTACATCACACATTGTGAGTGCCTCATGTGAATTTCTATGTTACTGTACTGACCGTACGAGCGCTAGAGACAAAAATGACAATGCACAACTTTATGTACATGCAAACTTTAACTCGGGGTCGTTGAATGTCTCAGTACTGACAGTAGCCTGTCAGTTTTGTGCCCAGTCTTCGCACTTCTGACTGCTTATTATCTTGTTACAGTCGTATATAGTTGCTTCATAACTCGTTTCCATGTGTTATTCTTCATGTACATGCATGTTCATTTTCGTACTCAACACCGAATCAATGGGAAAATGGGAGAGCTCATAGTTTCGGTAGGTGTGGTGGTTTGTACTAAAGGTGAGCTCGTTTGTGCTACAGTCTGATGATAAGACAAATGCTCTTATACGTGTGGCCAGTGGATGCGCGCCACACTGAGCATGTCCCAGTGAACACTTCAGCAGGGGTGAATTTGAAAACTGCTGAGCAACTCACCGGAGAGGACGACTGCCTTCGCCTGCTCGAGACAGAGCTTGTGGACAGCCGCGAGCCAACCAGACTACGGAACTCATCCAAGAGCTCTTCTCCAATTTCGTCATCGTCGTCAGAGTTATGACTTGTAACTGAGGTCTGCTCGGACATCATTAGAAACCTCTATGGCAGTATCCAGATAAATGATGTAAAACTACGAGCACTAAAGAATACACCACGCGTACAGAGAGAGATACAGGCTACACTGAATTATGTTAGGTTTCCGTCTACCCGACAGCTGCATTACAGATATTGTTTCTCAAACTCAAAGCTACATGAAGTTCCATCAAAGATACATACGAGAAACCTAAACTAAAGCATTGGATCTGGCTCGCTGTTGACTTTTGAGTGTTGTCTTGCCAGGCAGTGGACCCACATAACAGCCTACAACGATGGTTTGGCTTGGTGACTGTTGAATGATGTGCATGCAACGGTATGGTAGAGAAGCCGATCTTCCGTTTTTTGCACCCATCTGTACTACTACGCGCGCTACGCACTTTTCGCGTACGAGACCGGCCAGTGCCATACGCATTCAAGCTGCAACAAAGATTGATCACGTGCGCACGACTGTAGTAGCGCACATATCCGCTGAATCCGCGTGAGGATAGACACGTGCTTCCGCTGCTTCCGCCGTGTCCGATACCATGGATACTCGTAGTTTTCAAAAATAACAGCTTTGTAGGATTACCATGATTACCAAGACTTGGCAAAACTAAAGTAAAAAGTCAAGATAGTGCAAGATATAGGAGACTCAAGTCAAGACCGGCTCAAGTCAAGTCAAGAGTCCACATCACAGATCAAGCAAGACTTGAAGATCGAGTAGACGTACTCGCTGTTGAAGATGTTGTTGTATGCTTTATTTTTATAGTGGGAATCAAAACAGACACACATGTACCGCTGCTTACATCTATGTTCAAAGTCCAGACGGATGTAAACACATTCACTGAATGTGTTTACATCAGTCTGGACTTTGAACTTGCTGTCATCGAAGTCTCCTCGGGGAGCTGAGGAGACTTTGATGACAGCAAAAGCACAGCGTAGCACTGAAGCATCTCCAGCGGCCCGGATTTCACATGGGTCTGCTGCACTGTAAATTCTAGTCATGCACATGCATTCGCCAGCAGCTCCTGGAGTCTCCCTCAACCGCTGAACACGACCATTCAGTATGTTGGTGTGTGCCAGGGAGTCGTAAAATACCGGTATTATTGGTATTTTTACGACTCCCTGGTGTGTGCACAGTACTGCGACTGCGACTGCATACCAGGGAGTCGTAAAATACCGGTATTTTACGACTCCCTGCTGCATACCCATACGCGCTCGTCAACGACTGTCGGAAATTACAAATTCTGCATCTAGTCCGGCCAGACTGTATAGCATCACAATGACTGTGATTCTGAATGAGATGTTTGATTCAGGTGGTGCTAGAAACCATGTGTGTGTGTACGTGTGCTGGGGGCCGGGAGGGGGGTGGCCCTGGGGACATAGAAAAAGGACCCGGCATCCAGAAAGATTGGTAAAACTTAACTCGAAAGGCCAGAGGTGCAGGGTGCTCATAACGCAGAACAAGAAAGCAGAAACAATCAATGCCAATACTACAAGCAATGTCTCCACACACCAGTATAGTACGGGAACCATTGGGCATCAGCCCTTGAGCGCACTATTGACAGTCCGTTACGGAATACAGCTCAGTAGCCTATGGTAGAACACACTGTAAACACGAGTCTGCAACCCGCTGAGCTGGCGATCTGCAATTGCTATACTAGGAGCGTTCTATTTCTAGAAGGACACTATTTAATAGTAGCACTGAGTAAATTATAAAACCGTCCAACATCACCTTGCTTAGCAAGCGATCAAATCTTTTCAAACTGCAAGCTCGGCATCTCAAACAAATCCGTTAACACCAGACGCCGGCATCTGAGATTAAAGCTATGCTGAGAACACACTGCATGCTGTTCGAACACGTCTCAAAACTGTGAACAGCCAGTACGGCCCAACCCAAGCCGGTCACGGCACTGGCCGCGCATGTGTGTGCATGCAAGCAAAAGTGGCACTGCAGCTATGCGTGTCTTGCTCCAGAGCGCAGAGCGTCTCTGAATCAAGGTTGCTTCTCAGGAAACAGCCGTAGTCACTCAACACACTCACAGAGACTTCACGAGCGCGCATGACTTTGCACTGGTAGCGCGATACAACCGAGGGGCTCAGATGCCACCTCCATCAATAGGACCTGGCATGGTTGGCGGTGCTGCTTTTCTCCTTCTCGAGACTCCGGAGAACAGTGCGACGGGGTTGCGAATGACGAGACTCGGCCAATGCGTATCAGTAGCAGTTACTTCCAGCTGCCACTAGCGATCACTTTCACTGTGCTGCTGGCTTGGACAGATCTGCCATTAGGCCATTCAGCAGCGAGAGCATTTGCTCCGACATGCACAGGCGCTGGTCCAGCGAGACCAGCAAGTCGCTGTACCCCTGGCCACTGTTCTCATCGGGCAAGTTCGCAATGCCGGACAGAGAATGGCTGTTGACTATCGTGGAGCAGTAGCCATCATATGCAGTTGCCTGCATAGGACAAAAAGACAAAAGTACACTCGTTACCCTACCTACACGAGATCAGATCCTGTCCACAACCAGGACCATTGCTAAGTGGCACTCTAACAGTGAAGGTGAGCTGTGCTGCGACTAGTGATCTCAGTCCTGCCACTAGCCATTCAACATTGTGTGCAGATTTCGGAAGCCCAAGGCTTCATTCACACATGACCACACTTTCAGTAAAGCGGACAATGTTTGCGACAAGAAATGTTTGCATTTTAGAAATTGAGACTGGTTTGCGAAGTTCAAAACAGTTTAATGGGACACAAAGGCAATGGGCACGGTGCCCTCAATTCTCCTCCAGCACTAGCACTAGCAGTAAGCAACTCACCAACATATGTGACACTTGATCACATTGGAAAAAGAACTCTTCAAGACAGGCATCAAGTGATTCCGTCGGAGCGGCGACATTCCGTCTGCATACATCACAAGCAGAACGGCGAGAATCAGTTTGTCATGTATGCCAATCCTGCACCAAAGGTCCAGGCTCTTTATTCAAACACATTGCTTCAAGAGTGTCTGCCACCAGGGCCATAGCAAAGCGGCTATGGGTTGTTCGGCTGAGGTGGGGGGTTCATCTCCCTGGAGAATGTTATATAAAAATGTGGCTGCAATTGCTCAATTCTGGGCACATTTCACAAAATGTGCAACGGAACGCGTGCCCCAGACAACTGAACGACAAGCGCCGATATGAACATGTCGAGATTGCTCGGGTATATTACAAGTACAAGCTAATAGCAAGTCTTAACAACATTCCTATCATCTCTCCATCGGCTCTTGAACTCTTTACATACAATAAGGTTCAACGGTTGGTAAGCAAGAGAGCATGAAAGCTCGGGGCCCTCGCTATGCTTTTTTTGCCTAGGTCATCATACATGTTATTCGAACTGATGGAAATGTTTTTGCAATACAATGATGTTGCCGATTCAACACTGTCACCCCTGTCATTTTGCTCTTCCTCATAGTCCTCTGTTAATGACCTCAGCATTCTATTTATACAACAACCGCGCCCATTAAAACACTGCAATCTACCCGATCGGTACATTCCCGGCCCATTAGCAGCACACCCCTAAAACATTCGAACGATAATGCGACACCGTCTAACCTTGATGAGCTAGGCAAAACAGCATACAGTAGACTCGTACGCCCAAGAACGCGGTTTCAGAGGGCCAGCCTAGCAAAGTAATTATTTTTCAGCGCCCCAGGCAACGTTCTTATTTCGCGTTCTTACGCGTCCAACATGACCCGTGACGCTCATGTACAATGCACTTTGCGCTACATGTACCGGTTGTACACTTTACATGCACGTGTAGTATGTAGCGCTGCATTGGGTGATGTTTTCGCGAGGACCCGACAAGAGTTTGTGGTTGCGGACTTGTTTTTCGTGGAATCTTGGAGTTCGTTCTTAAATCCAGGCTGGGGCGTTCTTAGATTTCCAGCCTGGACGTTCTTGGGCGTACGAGTCTACTGTAGCGAGGTTATAATTTTTTTCCGTTTCTCCTTTTTTCAAGACATAACATGGGATTCAAACCCGCACCATCGCCCTGCATGCATTCCCCTGATACACTTTGCCTACATGCCGCATTTCCCCGATTATAAGTCACATTCGATTATAAGTCTGGCTACAATCGCCCTCGCCTCCTCCTTGATTGGCCTTGGCCATGAGTGTGTGTGTGTGTAATAGTAATAATAAAAGTCGCACCCCCATGTTTACGTTTAGCCCTACTGTTTCAATATAATCAATCATATAAGTAGGTTGTCACACTCGATTGTAAGTCGCATCCCCCTCTTTGCCCTTGAAGTTTAGTGTAAAAAGGTGCGACTTACAATCGGGGAAATACTGTATACGTTATGATCTTGCAGTTGAAAGTAGGGGTCAAACGGGTGTACATTTAACTAACGAACGGGTAATTTTGTTAACGGGCGGGTTAACGGGTACCCTTTAGCAGCCATATTAATGTTGTGCGCATTTCTCACATAAAATCATGATTTAAATTTGTATATTATCAGGTTGTATTTTGATGCCACATTATGATTCGCAATTGATTGTGTCCCATAATAACATTATGGCAATGAAGTTCCAAATGAATGTCATCCGTACATTTGCCCATGCACACAACTTCACAGGCAGTTACAATCGTACATGGTCCCAGTGCTACATGTACAATCATGTTTTTTGAGTTTTTGATACATGTACGCAAATCAACTGCAGATTGGTGTGATTCAAGCCATGCAAGGACAGAATAGTTTAGCAAACGTTCCGTGATCTGGCGCAATCCTATTTGCTATGTTCGCAGAGAACTGGTACTCTTCGCATTCAGAAGATGGTCGCACCCATAGCTGGGGTGCCTGACACAGCTGATGTGCTGCTCACCAGCTAGCTGTTAGTGCTAGCTCGTTGAACTTGTGAAACGAATCTTCACAAATCCGTAATCTTGCATGCAATAATTATTTCGATCTACTTTTCAACTAAGCTCGTCGATTGAAGGAACAAACTACAACCATGAGTATCATAGCTACCACCTACGGACATCACCGTGTGTGACACTCCGACTGGTCACTCAGCCTGGTGACACTAGTTCATCTTCCAGCACTGTGGCAGGTTTGATGTCGGAGAACCATCGTAACTTTCTAGTAACTCAGCTGGCAGTTTTTTGTTTGTTTTTTTTACAAAGGGGTACCCCTTTACTAACGGTACCTGAGATTAACGGGCGGGTACCCGGTACACCCGTTTGACCCCTAGTTGAAAGCCCTATTTGAAAAAGGTGGCCAGCTGTCTTTGATAGTACGGTACGGGACATGTACGGGATAGCGCCAGGCATGCCGACGCGCCAGGCAGAAACAAACAATTGCCGAATTGAAGCGGTGTGGACCCTGGCTAGCGACAGACGTTACCAAGAGTAGATAAACAAGAGTGTGCAACTCGCGGATGGGTAGGCCCACGGCGGAATTTTTTGTTGACGTAATCTTTTCGACGACGCACGCGCTGCGAGTCTTTCGGAAAGTTTTCCCTCATGCTCTTGGCCGGCTTTACACTACAAGCTCGGTGCCCAGCACGTGCTCTCACACTGCTCTGCGGCAAAATGCGCGTTCTTCTGAAAAAAGGTGACGTCAACAAAAAATTCCGCCGTGGGCGGGGGTATCTGCAGATTGTGCAGGAGAGATCCGGAGTTGCACACTCTTGTTTACCTACTCTTGACGTTACTAAAGTAACGTCTTCTGCATAGCTACGGGAATAAAATTGTGCCATGCACCAGCTTAGCTTACGTATTGTTCTCAAGCGAATGCTGGTACGTGAGCGCTCCAGTTGCCACCTTCAAAAGATTCTGAAAACAGGCCAATAGAGATAAAGATGCCAGCAATGATTTCACACATCGTCTCAGAAAAAAGATACTAAAATGAAATATACAACTTCCGCCGTAAACTGAAACTTGGCATATTTTCCGCACAATCACTATCCAAGCGCCAAGGTTTAGTTTAACAGAGGGAGCACCACTACAAGGGATTTCTGCCAACCGCCCTGTCCTGGAAAGAAGGCCTGTGAGCTGTTTGGCTGAGAAACACCAGAACTAGTAGACGCAAGATAGGCAAGATTGTGAATTTGGTCGCAACGCGTAAAGTCGCGTGAGACTCAGTTAGACTGAGTTTTCAGCATCCGTAGGAACGCCACCACCCTCTAAGGTGCAGATACAGCTCCTAAAGCGGTGGGAGGTGAGTAGATCAGCTCACCAGCAAAGTGGTCAAAGACTGAAAATCCCATTCACTGCATTTACTACTACGTATGATAATACGTCACCAGTCAGTGCCGTACATGTACCAATGGCCATCTGCAGCACGAGTTGTTATTGACCTAAAGGTTGTTTTAAACATCACGACACAGTATTTAAAAAACAAATTATATCAGCATACGCGTGTTTTGATTGATCTACAGCGTACGCGTGTTTTGATTGATCTACAGCATACGCGTGTTTTGATCTACAGAATTCGGTACTGTAAGTCACACAAATGTTCGGCCCATTCAAATTTCAGCCTCCCAGGGCTAAAACACATTTCGGCTGCAACACATTTTCGCCCTGCACTGCTGCTGGGCGTGTACACTGTCACACCGAACCTTGCAAAACAAAATTTCGGCTGCAACAAATTTTCAGCCAAATATGATCAGGCCGAAAATAGCTGAAAATAAAATATGCGCCGAATATAATTTTGTTGACTTACAGTAGATGCGTACTTTTTTCCCACCCAAAGTGGTGCATGCTACTCGCCTCTTCCGACTTTACCCCAGGTCAGAGGGTGGTAGGTGTTGGGATTTTTACTGTAGCCATAGAAATGGAGCTGCATTCATCAAAATTTCCCATCGTACAAAAAAATGTGGCAAAGACGTTAGATCGGACTATGTATCGATCTACCGAATGAGTGAATCTGCTATTGTGTTCTTCCATCTACGGTGATCTACCGTATTCTTTTGTTTTAGCTTCCGTAGGAACGCCACCACCCTGCAAAGATCTAAGGCGCAGATGCAGCTCCTAGGTCCGAAAAGGCTGCGATGCAGCGTTCGGCCCTTATTCCTGTAGTGTTCACACATACATATATGGACTGTCACACGCATATATGTACACAGCGCCGTTTGTACTCCTATCCATTTACAAAGGCCGCTTTCCACACCTGTGCTGACAGTCGGTACGCACCGACTCTGTACTCATGCACGCACACCAGGACATTCTGTTGGCATCATATTGCAGGGCTTTCCGGAGCTCCGGGTTAGTTGTTGTTTGAATAAAGTAAGAGACCAACATTACATTGGCGCTGCGAGCAAATGCCTGATCCTCGCCATGTCCCTGCTGCCACTACCGCCTCCGGAGCCATTCCCGATCTACAGCAGTCTCTACGACGCTGCCGCCAGTTTTCCTGCTTGGGTTGGCGTTGGGAGGAAATGAGCTGCCTGTGAGAGGTAAACTGGGTCCTGTGGAGCCACAGCTGGGCTAGTACTAGTAGGTGCAGTGTATGGATGAGCATCAGCTGAAGTGTGGCTGGTGTCCATGCTGTGAGACAGAGAGTACAGTGGGTCTGACATCATGTGTACTGAAGCTGGACCACTACTACTACTACTAGTACTTGGTGTGGACAAACAAGCTTTGGCCAAGTGGCCCCACTTGCCACACTTGGGGCAGCGCTGGCCCCGTGCAGCATCACAGGACCGGTGGCCTGGCTCTCCACAGCGGTAGCAGCGCGATGTGCTGCATTCTCGCTGGCCTCGACGGTGTGAAGAACGTCCACGACAATATCTTCATCTTTAATAAGAGCGTCGAAGAGCACAACCTACGACTCGTCACCTGCCTCCAGCGGCTCCAAGATCACAACGTTACACTCAACCGAGCCAAATGTCACATCCTCAAGCCTTGGCTCGAGTTCATGGCTAGCGTCTACTCCGACAAGGGCATCCGCGCCTTCCCAGCCACCAGCAGTCTGTGGCTGCATTCTCTACGCCATCTTGCGTCAGCGACATACAGAGTTTCCTGGGCCTCACCAACTTCCTCCGCCGTTACATTCCTAACATGGCCGATCTCACCACGCCACTCCGCGCTCTCACTAAGAAAGGTACTGTTTGGCGTTGGACTGATGTTGAGCAGCAATCATTTGATGCACTGAAGGAGGCCATCGCCGAAGACTGCATGCTGCAATACTTCGACCGCAGGCGCTACACATCACTGTATGTCGACGCATCGCCCACCGGCCTCGGCGCAATCCTGTGTCAACGCCAAGACAACGGCCACGATGCACCCGTAGCGTTCGCCAGCCGTGCACTCTCCGATGTCGAGCAGCGGTATTCCCAAACTGAACAGGAAGCATTGGGCGTCAAGTTTGGCTTACTTCGTTTTCACCACTACTTAGCAGGTGATCCACAGTTCACCGTTGTCACAGACCACAAGCCGCTCCTGCAACTCATGGGCGTCGGATCGAGACCTCCGCCACGAATTGAGCGCGTGGTCCTCCGCCTGCAGGATCTCAGCTTCCAGCTCCAGTACAAGCCTGGCCCAGAAAACCCGGCCGACGTCCTCAGTCGCAACCCGCAGCCTCATCCCGACTTGCCAAACGTCGGCGCACAGGAAGACACGGCGTACATACATGCCCTAGCTACAGCAGCTAAGCCGAATGCGTTGGCTCTGAAGGAGATTGCGGACGCCACCACCACAGACACCACACTGCAAGCCGTCCTTTCCTCTCTGGAAACTGCCCGCTGGGATTCCAACCACACCACGGTCCGCCCGTACTTTGCCCTCCGCCATGAACTGTCTGAGAGTGACGGCCTACTACTCCGCAACGACCGTCTCGTCATTCCCATGGCCCTCCAACGGCGTACCCTCCAGCTTGCACATGCGGGCCACCAAGGTATCGTCCGCACCAAGCAGTTGATACAATAGTCCATTCGCCGAATCGGGGTCCGTGATACACTAAACTACATGCATGTGCACCATCTTAACGAACTCTCCATGATGGCCCAGGATCAAGCAGCTTGGAAAGGCTGTATTCAAGCAGGATAGCACGCGTGCGGGCAATCTCTAGCGGAGGAACAGCAGCGGAACCATGTGTTGCACAATAATATCATACGTATTGTGTCAATGCATATTGTACGCGATCTGTCAAATATCTGTGTATGAAAATTTACGATCCTGAATAAGAATGAAGCGCGACTGTGAAAAACCTATGGGCCCACATTTGGCAAATGCACTATTCTATAATAATAATTCGCGGAATTCGCGTTGGCATTCTATAGTTCACTGTCATCTGCACTCTTACTTTGACCTGATACAGGACTGCACTGATAACACATGTATAGCAGTCTACAAAAATAGTTTGCTTTACAATATGTGACTGCACTCCCGAACGCGAGTCCTCCAATTCAAGCTACAAGATGGCCTTAAAAAAGCTCTTACAGTGAGTGACAATTTTAGTTGAAGAACAGATCGACGAAGTTCCTGCACCGATGTCTCGCCAGTGGCAACGGGAGCATCCTTGCTTGGCGCAGACATTGCATAAACCAGTGTAGGCAGTGAAACGACACGGCGAGACAGAGCCAGAGAGCAAGACCTGAAGACAGAAACGTCCTGCAACCAAACTGTGAGTGTGATAAACTGAGCAGGGCTGGCTGGCACAATCAAAAATTCAAAAGGCAGAGGACATGCACCCGTACCCGCACCATGCATGCCGGTAAAAAAATTAATTTAGATTTTTGATCTTGCGTGAGTAGACCATTGGCCGTGGATCTCATGAGTGAAAATCAATCGAGCGAAACTAGGTTAGTGTCCTCGATCGTCTTCTCTCCGCTGCACTACCCGCTTGTCCGACAAAAGCCGCCTCCCTGGTTCGAAGCTGGCCAGCTAGCTGGCGCCATCAATCAGGCATCATGTGAAAGACAATGATGTGCAGTGCCAAGCCAGGCAAGGCCAAGGTCGAAGGAGATTTTGGATCCATCCGATGATCCATCCGATGATCGCCCCGTCCGCACGGCCAATCAACTCTTGAACTCGGCTTTACAGCTGTCTTTCAAACAGTCCGGCACTAAAAATGATGAATCACTGGCCAGTGTAGTGAAGGAAGCCGACGGGCGACGGACCACTGCGGCACTGGACCAGAGACTGCAGAGTCGTATGTATGCAGTGGTATGTGGCCGACGCAAATGCTCCGAATGGAGACTTGCTGAATCACCATGACCATGATGACCTCGTCAACCAGATGAGATGATTGATGGCACTAGGTTAGCCAGGACTCGAAGTCGAGTAGATCTACGAAAAAAGTTCTGATTTTTCGTTCCATCAGGCACAAGTACTTGACAAGCAAGGGACTTGAAGCAAAACGACGTTGACCAGCGCTACAGCACTGCAGTTGGCTATTTTGCAAGGACGCTGCTCCTCCAAGAAACACCTGTGTTCAATCGCACTAACATTATTCCTCACATAGCAATGGCTGACGAGAACAAACTGCCTGCATGGCTAGTCCTGTGGCTGATCGTTGCTTCTCCGGTGGTTGTGTGGGATGCCAGCTTCTTGTTCACGCGGCCGGCGTCCTTGCCGGGAGGAGATCTACACTGGTTGTTCTCGCCATACGCACTCTACATCGAGGTTGATGGCCGCTATGCCGACATGAGCGACACGTTCGGCTTGGCCCAAGCCTACATGAACGTCGTGGAGGTGGTCCTGAGCCTGGCGACGGTGGCGCTGCACTTCCGACGCGATAGGCGCGCGCGCCTGCTCGGCTTGGTGACGTTGATGATGACCTGGTGGAAGACAGTGGCGTACATGATCCAGTACATGGACATCTGCAATGGCGGCGACTACCTGGCCAAAAATACCACCATGTCGCTGGTGTTCCTCTTTCTGATACCCAACGGCCTGTGGCTGGTGTTCCCCTTGCTTGGTATCATCTCGCTGTGGTCCTCACTGCACCGATCGCTAGCTGTGGCCGACGGCAAGAAAGCACGCTAGAATTAGAAGGTTGAAGAAGGTAGCCCACCAAAGCGGCGATGCTATGCAGTGTGATGAGATGCAGTTTTCACTCTGTGTCCGAGACGGTGGCCACCGCGGGGGGGAAGCCGTGTGAAATAAGCCGGGCATCGTGAGTACGTGCCGTGGCTGCGGTTCTATAATTATTTGAATGTCAGCCAATATACGTACATGTACCTTTAACCTGAATGGAATGCGCTTGAAAACGAGATAAGCAACAAACCATTTTACGGCACAGATTTTGATTAAAAAAATGAGACTATTTTGGAAACGGAGATCCACAGATATAGTTCAGGCGTTCCCGGTATTGTTGATTACACTGACTGACAGATAGTATGATTGAATTTCAATAAAACATTTTGGTCTGAACTTAGTGTTTGCTGTTGAATCTCCCCGGCCCCCACCACATTTGCAACATCATGCATGACATCATCGCTCATACTCCGTACGGGCTATGGAGACCATGCAGGCCCAGAAGCAGAAGTGGCAAACCAGGAGGAAGTTTGTGAGACGGGGGGGGGGGGGGGGGGGAGAGAGAGAGAGAGAACCAAAGGCGCTAGAGCTCGCTATAGCCGATACAGACTGTACATGTAATTCTAAAATCTCTGACTACACGATGACAGGGGCTTTGATGCGACTACGTTGTAAACTGTACACAGGGGTTGGCTCACCACTTGCCGATGCACACCACATTCCTGGCCTCTCCCTGCAGCAACAATCAAGATGCACCTACAGGGGCACTCCTTCACCACCATCCCCAATCAGCGTCTGTCCCTTTGGAAAAGCGGGGTTCTACGGCCGCGGCAATTTTGCCGGAAATGGCATCATCAGCGGAAATCACGGAACCCTTGCTTTTGCCAGTGGAATCTGAAATTACTGAGCAGAAAGTGCGATCTATTCGAGCACCTTGCTCTTGCCAGTGTAGGTGCGTGCAGGTCTCTACACGATTCTTCACTTCCGTTCAGTTCGTGATGACAGGATAGCGTGGAAAGTCCTCCTACGTGTACTTCATGTAACTAGGTTGTCATATCCTACAGTAGAGTCGAGCGCTGACGAACGTGGAGCCCAAGAACGTCCAGCCTGAAATGCTAAGAATGCCACAACCTAAAGTTGAGAACGGTGGTGTTGGTTTTCTGGCAGCTTTCGAAATACATTTTAAAAGAATGTGCTGTAAGAACACAGCCAAATTGCTGAAAAATAAGAACGTCCCAGTTTTAACCCCTTCGAAACAGCGTTGTTGGGCACACAACTCTACTGTATAAAAGGAGGGTGAACACTTGCAGAAAGCCGCAGAATACCGGTAACCCCCCACGGAATTAGAAGTCTTGTCTGCGTCTTTGCAAAGGGAAAGCAGTGTGCTTCCATATAGTCCGTGGCTGTCCCCACTCCCACCAACATGCATCTGAGATGATCCTGGCATCATAGTACGGTTCACAGCTCCCTTTGTTATGTATATAATAAATGTAGAGCCGAAGGATTTATTGCAATTACATACCAGTATAAAAACCGAGGTCCCCCGAGGTTTTTATAACTGGTATGTAATTGCAATAAATCCTGAGGCTACTACATTTATTATACATATGTTGACCTTCGCTTTCCCTAAAAAGGAGTATTTTATAAACAGTATTTATTGGCCCAAAAGCCAATAAATACTGTTTATAAAATACCACTAAGGCCAATAAATACTGTTTATAAAATACTCCTTTTTAGAGAAAAGTGCAGTGCTGCATGGAAAAGTACAGTGGTATTTATTGAGTCAAGCAAGTTTATTTGAATTTGATACTGTTGATGGTGTGGCCACTAATGAGTGTGGGTATTTATCAAAGGTCAATATATGATGCCATATTTGTTGTGCAGATACAATATTGTGTTGATCTTGCAGCAGCTGAGCCCTCTCATGTGCGGTAGTGCCCTTGCTGTTTGCATTACACAGAGCTCACGGACATGTCAGTTTGAGCACCCTGGCGCTGACGATTCCACAAAGGAGTCTGGGAGGACGAAACAGTTCTGTCCGCAGATTGAGTGATGGTGTTTTTTTAATAATGTTGCAGACTTTCCATTTACGGTACATGGAAACAAGGAACACGGCGAGGCACAAGTTATGTATTAGAGAGTCCACCACCCTAAAGCAGGTTTTGAACAGAGTGACAAAGACGCATAACTTGTGCCCCACCGTTTTCCTTGTTTCCATTAATATTTTCCTTGGCTCACCATCTGATTACTTTCCATTACATTTAGACTTCTTCAGAGCTTGCAAACGTGGAAAGTAAAAGAGAACGAAGTACCTCACAATAGCGTACATAATAATGTAATAAATAATATTATTCACTTGTTTGAGGGAGAGACGTAAACGGGAAAAGTCTGAAGAAGAAATTGACTGTCACCACAAGGACTCGAACCAGGGACCCTCGCATAACAATGTAAGCAAGGAATTGCTAACCACTGAGTGTGAATGTGCATGTATCCAGATTTAACATTTGCCATCAGAACATAAACATGACACATCAGGGATGATAGCAAAAAATGCCGTCCTCGAACATATCATGCACAGAGTTCATTCAGGGGTTCGGGAACAATCATACTTTGGACCCGGACACGATACAAAGTATGAAGGTTGGTACGTGAGCATATGCTAAAGAAGTGAGTAGTCGAAGAGTTAACTCCGTCAATCATGTGGAAATGGAGGGGTGTGTTGCGCATACTGGAAATTATCACTCTTCTATATCGACCTCCACTAATTCTCGTGATCCTTGACTGGTCCTATATTACCCATATCGCCGTAATATCGACCGCTTGTGTCGACCACTTAGGCATTGTAATCTTTCGACTTTGGAGGGACTTTTCTCTCCACTTCAAAAAGAAAATTTGAAAGAAAGAAGACAGAAGAGAACAAGCAGGATTTGAACCCACAACAGTATGAATCTCAAGCAACCCCTTATACCACCCAGCCACTGTGCTGCAGAATGCCAGATGCTGAACCCTGTTGTTCTTCCAGTCTTGTACCCAAAATAGGCCACATCCAATGAACACTATAGTACAATTTACAAATGCAATACTAAAAAGGTTAAAATAGCACCCAAAGGTTCAAATTTGGGGGTTATGGCAAAGGAATCGTGATAAATAGGATATTGACCTCGACTTCGGTCTATATGGGAAATATAGACCTCGTCTTGGTCAATATCCTATACGCATCACTTGTTACAGTGTACACATATTAAACTACAATGTCTATACACAGTATGGTACAATGTGCGATGAGTATTTCGGCAAGGACATAAACCATTCCAGCAACCCCTTATGTAATGATACATTCAAGTCAGGACACGTGTAACAATGGCAGATGGAGAGTGCAAATAATATGAAAGTAATTAGTTGCGGACATGACCATACGATTGAGAAGAAGAAGTAGCGACGACCCGGCCATTAATTTATGGAATCCAATACACCACACCACCACATTGCGCTCTTGGCCGATCCAAACTCTGCACTCACATCACCACAGCGAGGACAATTCCGGTATATAGGTTGATATTGACAATGACCCTCCAGACAGCTGTTTCGCTCCTCCTGAGCTCATCAGTGGAGGCATATGATGTTGAATGAAAGAATAATAAGAATAGACTGATCTTTATAGGGCTAAATTGGCGCGATTGCGCTCATTCTGCATAGAAACGTGGCATGACCATACAACATAATGACATGTATTACGAGTTGAGAAATGAATGGATACCAAATTGCAATATCTTCGTGCTCCGCTCTTCAATGGCAGATTAGTATTTTAGTAACTTCAGAATCTGATACGGTCAACGCAGGTAGTTGCACTGACTGTGCAGTCTGCTGCAGCTCGTACTCAACTGGCGTTACGAGCTGGAAGCATGACATGCAGTCACTGTGCAGCTTGAGCTCACACCGTTACGAGGCTTCAGGGGTTAAAGCACTTCTCTTCCATTGTGTGCATGTCAGAATTTTGTTTATCGTTGAATGCATACTCGTACATGCCAGGCCTCACATTCTCCAAACTGCAGGAGGCATTCTAGCACATCACCAAATCGTCGCTCCCATCAACACCGTCAGTGCACCGGCAATCTTAAGGCGTGTCAAGAGAGCTGCAGCGGAGATTACATTTCTTCGAATTGGGTGTCTCGACCTCAAGATCTCCGCTCATCCTTCCGTGACGAGTCCAAGAGACTGTATCAGAACGCAGTTTTCACAGATGCAACGTGGAAAATAGAGGCTGTGATCTGAGGAAAAAACTACAGGAAAGCATCCAGTCGAAATACATGCTGTAGGAGTACAGTACACGTATACACACACAAACACACACACGGCTCCACACACACACACACACACACACACACACACACACCTCAGACATGCCCATCGCGGAAGCGATTGATAGCGAACAGCTTTGTTAGACATTGCAACTTGTGCTGGGATTACACCATTCAACAGCTTGCAAGGCTGGTGAATTGACCGCACACACACACACACACACACACACACACACACACACACACAAGGATCAACTAGCCATCGCCCTATCTGGACAACTGGCAGCCCACAAAATTATCTGAACTATACAAAAGAGCGAGGCGAAAAGTTCTGAATAGTTGACCCGCGAGGGAGCGTGTCCTTACAATGTAGGTCTGACATCATGACAAGGTCAGGCTGGGGGCCGGTGAATCATCAAGAGCCAGACTGGGCAACTACGTACAACTACACAATCATCACTGCCTGAGCATATGCTACATGCATGTATTTACAGTGAGTAACATGAATGTACTGGCCGATAGCATACGGAATCGGGCATGAATCCAGCACCCAGTGTACTGCAGCCCAGCATGTACGTGTTATACTGATAGTGCATGGAGAAACCAGAGGCCCGCCTGCTACTAGTATATTATCATTGAAAAGAAATCTAGTACGTTGGAGAGAATGATGGCGGTGAACCAAACAGCCCTGTGACTCCGCAACACAACTTGAAGTAGAACACTCACCCCACTCAAAGTCAATTTTAAATACATCCAAAGCCGACGCAATGTGTGGCAATACACCAGTGAGCCAGAACACTGTGCATACCTAGTGAGCGTATGTGCTAGGTAGTGGCCGGGTCAGGTGATTCAAAGCCCTCACTAATTGATTGAACCAAATCAGGACACACTAGTAAACTGTACGAAACTCTTTTAGTAAAAGTGCCAGCTGCACCAGTAGGAGACATGCCACGGAGAACACAGCAACCCTGTGCGCAATCACAACACACTCACCTGGAGTCGACCAGCAAGCTCGTCTTCCTGCGCCGACCGGGGCTACGGCTAACAATCTCCAGGCGCAATCAAGTCGAAGCGGCTGGTCATAGAAACGGCCATGTTCTAAAAACAAAGCCACACAGGATCCACGCAGCACGAGAAACAGTGCAATCAGAAGAGGCAGAGGGAAGCTCAGAGCACCATGGCTCCAATAGAATGCATTGATACAGTGTACCCTGGTGAGTTTGGCCAGCTCAGTAACTGCACTGTCACTGTGGAACATGCTCTGTCGACCAGCTAACCAGGGCGAAGCAGTGCTATACCTCCAGGTTCACATATGCACAGTGCCATATCAACATGTTACACAATGAGGCACTGTCCAACAACAGAACAGAGAGGGAATTTCATCCACACCTAACACTCCACAATGGTAATTCACGCACCCCACCACCAACACATAGTGACAATAAGCTCCCATCACGTACAGTTACAAATAACTGTCTACGTTGATCATTGAAAGTTTCCTGCAAGAATGATAACTCATGCGTGTACGTGTTCGGCAACGGCAGGATCAGGTATTACCGTATAGGCGCAAATAGAAGCCCTGGGGCTTTATTTTTTCCAAAAAGATACATCTAAGTGCAAAACCGGCGTCCTGGACCAGTTCTGGCTACATCACTGTATTCATACACCTGCACATGTACGGCCAGCCGTCAAGGGCCATGCAAGTTGAGGGCGCCAAGCATGCACTTTGGGTCGGATTTCACCGAGCACAACTGTACTTGATTGAGCCAAATCAGTAGTAGACAGTACAGGACTCTTTCAGTTAAAGTGCCAACTTCACTAGTAGGCGACACGCCACGGAGAACACAACAGCCCTGTGCACAATCACGACACTCACCTGGAGTCGACCAGGAAGTTCGTCTTTGTGCGCCGACCGGGGCTGCGGCTGCAAACAGGCTCTTGATGGAAGATAACTCAGCAGCAAACCGGGCAGCCAAGTGTTGAAAAACACAAGGCAGCAGCCGGCCACACGCTGAGACCTGCTGGGGAGAGAGAGAGAGAGAGAGAGAGAGAGAGAGAGAGAGAGAGAGAGAGAGAGAAAGTCTGCCGAAAACGGCAGACAGTGGCAAAGCCACGATCTTTGACAAGGTCTCCCAGCGACTGGGTGTGGCGGCATCCAGGGGGATGCCTGCAGAGCGACAGGTGAGAACAGACTAGACTTAGGAGGGGCGAGCCAGAGGATGCTCAGAAAGAGAGAAGGAGAAAAGACGGAAAGACTGAAGTCAGGAGAGAGGAAAAGAAAAAGAAATAGAAATAGCATTATTACATGTACGATGATAACAAAAATAAAAACCAAGCTCAACCGGCGTAGCACACCATGGGCGGCGGAAAGCAAAGATAAAAATAAAACGGCTAAAATTTGTCAATCCGAACCAAGAAGATACGACACACTGCAATCGGAAAACTAAAAAGCAGTGTGAAAATGCAGAATCTCAACAACGTAGACGATTACAAAGTTGGCCACGTGAAGGAGGCAACCGCCAATAGTACATGCACGGGGAATATCCGTCACTTCCGCGGAAAGAGCGCAGGCAGAAGGAGTAAGCAGGCACGTCTACGAACAAGCGTAGATAAGGGAGCAACAACAAACAGACAACAGGCAGGGGCATATACTAGCTAAGTGCAAGCGGTGAGTTCTAATACTAGCAACAGGGGCAGTAAGACTAAGAAGACATTTAGATTACATAAATACGATGAGATATATACATTGATGAGACGAGACCAATGTGGTGGAATCCAGTGTGAAAAAGGAGCACATGCAATCTCTTCAACCAGGAAGGGGAAGATGCTCTAGAAAGACCAGGAAACGGGAACCAGCCCGGTTTCACCACTGGTAGCTGAGCAGCTAAACCATCCCAAAGGGAATACGACATTGCGACAGGCGCTAGAAACCTTAAAAGTGAAGAGCGGTGCAGGGTCTCAGTGAGAATTTGCGCGTGGATTCAGGCTTTCGAGATAGGCGCCATGCAGCGTGTGCATGAACTGGGGGTTGTGCTTGATCAGATGCACGAGCCCTTGCTGCATCTGCTCCAGCGTGAGACCCTGCAGGCTGTCTTGCAGCGGCGGACTGGGGGCGCGTTGGAACGGAGCGGGGGTGGCGGAAGACGGCAGCGACACAGCGCCGAGACTGGCGGCTCGTGACGAGCGCGACTCGGCCGAGACGACGCGTAGCGGCGGACTGCCGGTGAAGTGTGGAGCGGGCTGTGGCTCGGCGCTAGGTGACGATTGGAAATCTCCGGGCAGCATCAAGTCGGACTTGCTGCTCATAGATACGGTCATGTTCTAAAAACAAAAGGCACGCATGCACGCAGTACGAGAAAAGGTGCAGTCAGAAGAGGCAGAGGGAAGCTCAGAGCACCACAGCACCATGGCTCCAATAGGCTACACTACACAGTGTACCCTGGTGAGTTTGGTCACATCAGTTACTGCACAGTCGCTATAGGACATGCTCTGTCGGCCAGCTAACCAGGGCGAAGCAGTGCTATACCTCCAGGTTCAAAGATGCACAGTGCCATATCAACGTGTTACACAATGAGGCACTGTCCAACAACAGAACAGAGGGGAATTCCATGCACACCCATCACCCCACAATGGTAATCCACGCACCCCACCACCAACACACAATGACAATAAGCCCCATCACGTACAGTTACAAATGACTGTCTACCATAATCATTGAAAGGCTCCTGCGAGAATGATAATTCGCTCTTTACCACAGCATTGCATGACAGGATGTGGAGAAACAGCAGAGGTACTCATTGCAAAGTAGAGGGCTTACCCGTGTGGCGCTGTTGGGCACTGACTTCACTCCCACGGTGGAGCCAAGCTGCGGAGAGGGAGCTGCCGAGCCAGCCACGAATGGCTGGGACACCTGACGGACGGCGTGCACATTGGCGGACAGAGGTGTGGCGGATGCCGAAGCAACTGCATACGGTAGCGGCGTACTGATGGCCGTGCTGAGTGGCGGAGAGCCACTCAGGCTGTTGGTCAAGTCGACCACAGTGGAAACCGGCGCTGCGTTCACATGCGAGTAGCCAGTCACCGGCAGAGCTGACGCAGGGGCAACTGCAACAGGCTGCTGTTGGTGATGGTGGTGGTTGGGAAGAGTAGCCATGACAGTCGTAGCATTGGTAACACCATACGGCAGGACTGGGACGGTGCTTGAAGCAACACCGCCGTTAAGTTGTGCCACTGCAGTAGCTGCTGGCACTACTGGAACTCTCGGCTGGTGATTGCTGGACGGTAGTGTGGTGGTAACGGAGGCACAGGCAGTGGACATGGCCATTGTCGGCGGCGCACGGCCTTCGCCCTGCATCATCGAGTTGAACGCCGTCTGCATAGCCTGTGCCGGTGTGGTTCTGCTGTGCGGCAGCACCGCCACAGGAGCCTGCTGCTGCTGCAGCACCGGTGTGTTCTCGGTCATGCCCACCTGCGATGGCATGGGTAGCTGCGTGGCGAACGGCGAGCTGATCATGGGAACGACATTGGCCGAGGCTGCTGCCATTGCCACAGCCGGAGAGCCGCTGGCGAACTGCTGTGCACCGGTGGCTTTCTGACTGCCGCGTGGCATCGAGACTGGTGTGACGCTGGGCTTGGCCGAGCCAGACGACTTGGAGGGTCTGGTCGGTGTTTCGGGCAGTGCTGCCGCTGTAGATACGGCTGGCTGAGCGCCCTGGGAGTTGCGAGCGGCTTCATTCAGCAACGCGAGAACGTTCACCTGCACACCACAACAAGGCAAAAAGAAAAGTACACCGAATCCTCAAATTAAGTTCCATTTATTCGTAGATAGAGCGGCTACAGTTCACACATTTAAAACTGGCACCTTTTAAACCTGTTGATGTCACATGCATTGTGGTAGAGAGTTCATTCATCTAAAACGTGCAACTTTAAACGCGTTTATGTCTCTCAAGCACTGTGCCTTTTGTGGTAGATATTGTGCAAACAACTGCACATCCTGCATCGTGTGACCTGCGCAATTCTTTCTTGCCACATTATACCTCGGAAGAGTCAAAGGACAGGGAGTTAGAAATTTGGCCAGGCTTTACAAAATCTGGGCAGGTATACAACGGCGAAATGGAAGTAAAGTAGAAGCAGGGCCGAAACCCAAAAGCTTTCCCAAAAAATTGAAGGTCAATTCAGCCAAAATCAGGCCTTCAACATTTGCAGCTGATGATGAGTGCTGGTGAGAAAACCACGGCGAGAATTCAGAAGTGTCAGATCAGGCGACGTGTCTACACATGGCTCTGTCCATTCTGCGCAGGACTCAACAATGGTGCCCGGGTCCATGTGTGTGTATGAAATTGCCCGCGATACTAGGATAGGGTCCAATGCTCCACAAAAAAAAACAAAAAAACAGAGCAAAAGCAGGAGACATTCGCGAATGAACTTAACAGGACACAACGAGAAAGCCGGTACAAAGCCGAGCATCAAGTTGATTAACTAGCGTGATGGGCTCACCTTGCCCTCCGTTGTACTTGCTGTCGTTGCTGGTGGCTGGTGCTGTTGTGATGACGCAGCTCCCTCTTGCGCTTTTGCCAGTGTCTTCTCAGACTCATCCATCAATCTAGTAATCAAAGCACAGCGAAAAAGAAAAGAAAGAATATCAGTCTAGCAGCGAAGCAAGAGCAAGACTGGCCACGCCGCACCACAGCGCAGTCATCGCCACGTAAGACAGGTACATGTATGGCGCATGCACACACTTGTGTGACAGAAGGCAGAGTAAATCCATGGGGAGATTCGACCTTCTTGAGCCGCGTCCCTGAACAGCGGCACTGCAGATCTGCATTTCTATGTGCAGGCACTTGACACGGGGCTGCAGCCATGCACCCCTGGACTCCAGGCGCATGACTAAGTCCGAGACCTGACTCATTGCATAACGCAGTGTGGGCAGTGCTAGGGCTGCGCAGCGCCTGCTGCGTAGAGCAAGTCACGAGATTAAAATCCGTTCTACGGCACTGCAGTTGTAGTTGTGCTCTTTGCAGAGTACGAGACTTACTGCTGGATAACATTACCGAGGGCATGCTGCTCGTCCGAATCTGACACCCAGAGGCCAAAAATAGCATCTGCACAGGACAAGAACACACAAATAGACGTAACTTACTAGCCTTTTCAAGCAATTCCTTGGCAGTGCATCACAGCAGCCAGGCCACACAGCCACATTAAAGCAAACTAGCAGCGAACCAGCTAATAACAAGACACGATCGTCTACAAACAGCGGAATTCATTCCATAAAATCGGATGGACCAAGTGCCAATACACAACAAAATGACTACGCATTAAAGCACATGCATCCGGGGCAGAAGTTGGAGGCTAAGCTAGCAATTGCCATGTCAGTACCACATACCGTTGGCACTACTCCGGTACAAGAGGAAATTACTGGCTATCTGAAGATTAAGACGTGCAGTAATGGGCTCAGTCACATTCCGAGTATTTAACTGATTCATCAACAACAGATGGTGCACTGGGATTCCTTTCCTGAAAGACAACGACAGCGACAACAACGACAGCGACAACAACGGCAAAACAACAGTTGGTCCGGGCGCATGTGAAATTTGCGTGGTTGGATACGGTCAGCTATGCACAGTGAAAAGAGGTGTGTGTGTGGGGGGGGGGGAGGAGGAGGAGGAAGAGTAGTGCTGCCGCACACTGACAAAACAGTTGAGCTGGACAGGAGATGTAGACTGGTGAGTTTGGACAGACTGGTCACAGTACGGCAACTTCGCGCCGCCATACTCCATCCGCCAGCTAACCAGCCCAATAGATCGCTATGCCTTGTCATGCAAACTAGAGCAAAGGCCAGCGCCGATTGACAAGCAGCGCTGGCCGGAAAGCCCAAGGCCACCCTACAAGCAGCGCAGTAAACAACAGGTCTGCAGTGTCTGCTCCTGGATAGATATTTTTATTTCCTAGTCGGGTCGATATGCACAGTAAACCATGGCCTAATGCCAGATATCATGGAATGGCTGGAATCAATCCACGCAGACTACATGTACATGCTGCATGAGCATATCTTGTGCTAATGTGTGTAAGGTTCTAGTTAAAATTTGGATGCCGAGCCAATGATAAAAGGATAAGGACATTCAAGTTCTACTTATTGAGTGAAGCGCTAGACACTGGCTGGTCTCCAGTCATACCATGCGACATTGGTTGAAAATAAAAGAAGTGTTCATTCCGCAAGGACAAAAGATGATCAGCAGGGGGATATCTGCACAGCTAATACAGCCGTGGCTAAATAAATCCGACCCACGTACCGAAAGCAGCGCCAAGGCTCATGCGGCTGCCACGACCCTCGGATCGTTTTTTCCGGACCGTGTGTGATGTAAACGAAATGGAAACGAGACCGGTGGGTCGGTTTCTTCGGCCCCGGCCGTACACTGTGTGCGTCTCCATTGCTAGGCTTAACCCTTTGCATGCTGGCCTGTTTTCCACGGTAATTTGGCACTCCAGTGCACGGACTCTCCTGGTGGAGTTTGGGCGCACTACTCGGAACCAAATTTATTCTCATTTCAGCTCACCTGGATGGAATGTCATCATCCTGGGCTTGTTGGAAAGATCAGGACCAAGAGAAACCATCCTGGAAGCTCTCAGCTCCACAGCCCCACCAGGGCCACTTCCATGACCTCTCCAAACTGGCCCACCATGCCTGGGAACGAAACAACTCAGGCATAAATTCTTTTTCGGCTCCTTGCTCAAATTCAACCGATTTTCACGATTCAAACTACACTGCAAAGCTGAGATCTACACGCTTCATTTGATGTCCATAACGCATGTGCAGGGCAAAAGGGAAATCCCTGGCATGCTCCAAAAAACGGCGAAGCCACGAACAAAAAAATTCGCGATCACTCCAGCCCGTGATTTCTGTGTTCATTTTGTCGCAGCTCAGTGAATCTTTATCCTTATCGCAAAGAACTTTAATTCCTGGAAAGCTGACCTCAATACCTTTCCAAAGGTGCATCGTATGTGAAGATTGGATGCTCTTTCACAGAGTAACGCAAGTTTGTACTCATTTTGTCGCAGCTCAGTGAATCTTTATCCTATCGCAAAGAACTTTAATTCCTGGAAAGCTGACCTCAATACCTTTCCAAAGGTGCATCGTATGTGGAGATCGGATGCTCTTTCACAGAGTAACGCAAGTTTGTACACCCTCAGAGAACCGGCATGGGGTTCAGGCGAGTGTATACACGTCATCCGCACGCAAAGGGTTAAGTAAAACCTGCACGGTGCCTCCTGTTTGAAAAACCTCAATTGCCAGCTGTCAGAAACAAATGCGACGTGAACTAGCTTGGGCATAGCCATGGGATAAGGAACGACCAGCGGTGGCAAATGAAATCCAGTCTCGTGGAGAAAGCCCAATCACATCAAGAGCTCATTGCACACAGGCGGGGGCCCACGCTCAGCCGCTCGTCTAGCTGGTCTACTCACGGGGCTGGATTTCACGTGCCACCACTCGCTGCCGCAGAACATTCTCCAATGGCTACAGGTGCCGCATGGGCATGGGCAGCTAACGTAAAGCAACACCCACCTGCGGTATACGAACAGCGTCCCCTCCACATCAACCTTGACCTGTCAGACAAGCAGTCCATCACAACAGACACGTTAACTGCTGCTGTGAGGTAAATCAAGACTACTCCAGATGGCATAAGCTTCAAGCACTCCGAATGCAGAGAGTACTCCATACAGTGTAAACTCTGCGCACTCCGTAAGCTGCGGCTGCGTACGGAACGTAAAAGGCGCACACGCACTAAACCAATTTTCATTCACATGCACGCTGGCATAAGGTACGGTGGACAGTTTGTACATACGGAAATAATAGTGCATATGAACAGGTTATTCTTAAAAAAATGCCAACTTCACCGCAAGCGATATCACATGCATACATCATAATATACGTACATGAGACGCGTGACCACGCCAACATAATTGTGTAGATGTGTGCATGCAAAGGACACTGTACTGCACAATGTACTGTGAAAATGTCACGCCTTTCAGGTGCACATGCACACCGCTTGCTTCATATACTCACTATAGCCATCATTATTTTAGTGTGCAATGCAAGTTCTGATCTTAATATACCATCGCAGTATCCGATAATATCACAACCAATTATTGGTTGTAGACTAGTATTGATATTTCGACTACTGTAAAGCGACAAACTTTCGCGGCGTGCAAATTTAGGGTTTTCATAAATCGGGCTGGTTCACGATGAGAAACGTTTGCGATTCTATCTCTTCAGTCGGATCTTGTTCTGTCTACAACCAATGTACGGAGACGCTTGCGGCTACTTATATTCGGGAATGTGTGATGGTCGCGACAATAGCGAAATTTAATCTCTAGCGAAAGTTTCTCACTTTACAGCATGTCATGTACACAGTCATGTACATATGCAATGCCACGCATCCCTGGCCCAAGTTCAGGGGAAACCCCACTTAGGATCTCTCTCTTTCTCTCTCCATGGGATGCGGATGCGGAGCGGCGTGGATTTAGTTTACAGTCCATTCACAAAAAGATGGGCCCTGGCTCTGGCGAGCTCCCGTGTTAGGCGATTTAGGCGTTAGGCGATTTTTCAAGATTTTATTGTACACAGTGCAGTGCTGTGAAATTTGAAATTTGAAAAGGGTCCAAAAAGGGTACCTGAACTGGGGTTCGAACCGTACAATGCACTGTTACAGGCAAGGTCAAACGGCCTGGATTTTGATGGGTTTCCCAATTCCGTGCTCTTGGGGCAAAACCTGGCCGAAATCCTATTCTTGCTATGGCTTGCTTTTTGGAGAAATAGACTTCAGAAACATACTCTAATTTCAGAAATTTTCGGAAGCAGTTCCCCATTGGATTATACGTGTTAGTGTTTGTTCGGTGTATTGAAATTTTAGGTATGAAACAGATGCACCGAAAGTACCGAAAATAAAAGTACACCGAAAATTTGTGAAATTACAGTAATTGGAAGAGGATTCCATAGGGGATTGCAGACAAAAATTCTAAAAAAACTCAACGCTTGACCCATTTATGGCCAAAAGCTAGAAGTCCATCTTTTTCTGAATGGACTGTAGTACTGTAGCTGTCGCCAAGGCACACTTGGATAACCGCGCTTGACACGTCAGCACAATAGCGTGGGCACTCCCATGGTGAAGCCCGAGCAGGCCAACTGGTGCAGATGTAGGTACATGTCAGGCGCGTACGCAGGGTCACCTCTAGGGGGGTTTCCAACCGAACCATAAACAATGCATTATTCGCGTTTCTTGGATCATATTCATATTCATATTCATCATATTCATCAGTTCTACCCGCTCAATCTTCCTGGAAGTGGAATAGTATCCACGTCCACGAGAGAAGAGAATGATTCAATGAAGTCACCCATGATAGCCAGGACACTGCAGGCGCGTAGCACCGCCGTTGGAGGTGGTCCGGGTGCATGGCCATGGGGGTCGGGGGGGATGTCCCCCCCCCCCCCCCCCCGAGAAAAATTGGAAATTAGGGAGCAAAATCCTGCATTCTAGGCACTTTTGGCATTGGTCAGGCCACAGCCGGACTGGCCGGACCTGCTGCTACGCTCCTGCACTGTACCAGCGGTAGAGTGCAGCAACGGTGCGAAAAATGCCCCAAAAAAAGGCCCAAACGCGTCCTGCTCCAGCGATTTCGTTTTTCTCGATCGCAGAGTTTCGATTGTTTTGCTGAATACTCTTGAGAATATCACAAGTGACTTTTAAGCAAGTCGATGTGACAAACAGTCTCAAATTCTCGATACTCAAGTCGCACTGCGCACTTTGGAAATTGCCGAGATCGCGGCTCAACTTACGAATGATATATCTCAAGAAACATTGGTCGCAGCGCTTCGCGAATTGTTTCTACCGACAGCTGAGAGTTTTCTATTCGATCTGGATATTTGGAGCGTTGGAATTGAGCGAGATTTGACTGAGTTATGACCTGTTGAAGTTTTCATTCTTGTCCAGATCAATCGCGCACCCTACCAAAAAATGCCCAAAAATGTTGCTCGTTTGGAACATTTGGGGGGTTTCCGGGCAACGGGAAACCCCCCCTGCGTACGCGCCTGCATGTACCCAACAAGGAAATACACACCCCCAAATGGCAAACCGCATTGCTTCTAGGCAGTTCGCCTCCGGTACAGACCTAGATTGCCAGGGATCAACAACGATTTGCTCGCCGACCACAAGACCCCAAGCCATTACAAGTTACAACCACGCATTTCCTAATTGGACCCCTCTTCAGAGCTCTGCCTAGGAGAAGACCCTAACGATATGGGCATGAAAATCCAGCTAGCTTACCCACTGAGAAGATTGGAACTCGTAAAGAGTAACCTGCGGCACAACGTGGCAAATATTCAACGCTGACGGATCGAGTCGGAGCACAGCCTGCAAATTGATTTGGCTATCTGCTTCCTCCTTTTTCGTCTCATTAGAAGTATTCGTGGCCTGAGCCTGGCGCTGTTGCTGCTGCTTCTTCTTCTTCTTACCCTCTTGGCCTGACGCCATCCTCAAAATAGGATGAGGAACAAGGCCTCTTAGCCTGGACAATGTTTTATATTTTGATAAACTGAACAACAGGGCATTGCCCTTTCAACTGCAAGACAGTGTCAGTGTTGCAAGCTGACAAAAGAACTGTTTGTTGGCTGTTTCGCTTGAGATCATGACGCGATGCCTGGCCTTGACCTGCATGCGCGGCATCGGTGGGGCATGCATGCAGCCGTACCGTAGCCAGGCCGTGGGCAGCGCGCCGCGTAAGCGGCACTGCATGCCACTGGCACTGAGCGCCCTTTTGTTGTGCGCTTGCATCATAAAAATACCCGACCCGTACTCGCCCTCGCCCTCGCGCGCGTGCATCATCAGATCGTAGCCAGCATAGCAGGGGCCGGGGCCGGGGAGGGAGTCGTCAAACAAAAAAAACCGTATTTGACAACCGTCAACCCCCTCATGCAGTCGCTACGAGGTGGTTTGGCTTTTTTTAACATGGTTGTAAAATGACGTTTTTTCAGTCACTTCTAGACAAGCTACGTCCAAATGAATTGTTGCAAGTGGAAGTGCTATCCTTCATGCCCGTTGTGTCCAAGATTGGGAATGATTCCACTTTGGAAAGTGTCTTGAATCATGTCCTACTTTCATTGTATTCTCAGGATTCAAATAATTGGTGTGTCATTTTTTAACAAATTTGTAAAATGGCATCACAAACTGGGATATTCGGTCATCAATGTTCTGAAGTTGATAGATATCACTTCAAGGATTGCTAGTGGATGAAATTAATCTATCAACAGAGGAGTGAACTGCATTGTATGCTGCGAAACCCGTGTTTTTGTATTTGTAACTAGTGGCTGTGTTATACGGTGGAATTGGATAGATAGCATAGCATCGCAGCGATGTTTTCGTTCTCACAGAGTGTATTCCGTGACCTACTGTTCTTCATTACTGTCTCTAGTGATGGCAAGACGGCCTGACGTCGTCCAAAGGCCCTGCGGAAGCAATTCACTGCCCTCCTCGTCCATTCAGGGGCTCATTTTACACATTTTACACAAAATGGCAAAGCACCCACCACTAGTTATACCAACGTGGCAGGGAGAATTAAATATTATATGCACCAAATTTTCTGGTCAATGTTGATCTACGATAAACTGGCTCTCATTTGCCACCACCCATGTTTCGATACAGCCATCCGGAGCAGAGAAACAGCCAGAAGAAAAGCAAATTTTACACATTTGTTAAAAAATGCCAAATGTTAAAGAAAGCCAAATCACCTCGTAGTCGACAAGTTGGAATTACTTGCGCGCGTGCACTTTTGGGAGGACCTACAAGTACGAGCTGATGTCATGATGAGGTACAGCCTACAGGGGTACAGCATGCATCACAAAAAAATCCCACGATCGCTTCAGCTATTTCTAGATCATTAGTCATGTCACCATGGTCTTGTAGTACTAGCGACCTGTTCCTCGCGCGGGTTTTGTGCAACTACTCGTTTCCAGCTTGTTGGGCTGCTTGGTTTTGCCGACCTACTCGCTACGTGAAAAAGCAATTCATTGAGTGAATATTAGTAACCTGTTTTTCTGACCCCCTTGGCACTGAAAGGGTTAAGTGTCATTTCAGAAGATGGATGCTGGAAATAGCCACCGCCGCCTCAGTCACAGGCAGAATGACCCCAGACTTATTGTGCTGGTAACTGGAGGCTCCGGATTCCTGGGCAACAGAATCGTCCAGTCCCTACTGACAACGGAGTGGGTGCGCGAGGTGCGAGTGCTGGACTTACTGTGCTCCGAGTCGCTCCGCGAGTTCGGCGAAGGGGACGTGCGGAAAACGATAGCGTGGATGAAGGGCAGTGTGACTAGTACTGGGGATGTGGAACGCGCAGTCAGCGGAACCGACATTGTGATACACACGGTATCCGTCGTAGCGGAGGGGTTCATGTCGCCGGCCGCAGTGGAGGCGATTAACGTCGGTAGCACTGAGTGCATACTTAAGGCGTGCAGCCAAGGCAACAGCACGACTCGCTGCGTTGTATACGCAGGTACTGTTGCGGCAACCATCACGGACGCGTACGTACCGAACAAAGACGAGTCAACGCCTCTGCCGGAACCGGCAGTCACCATAGGTGAGTATGCTCGCACCAAGAACCTTGCCGAACGTCTGGTGATCTCTTACGATGGCCAGTCGAAGGGCAGTCGCGGTGCTGCTGGGGGTGGTGGTGAGCTGCGAACGTGTGTTCTCCGGTGCCCGCCGATGTACGGCGAAGGTGATCCGTACTGCGTGACCCCGCTGATCGACTCCGCCAAGGCCTGCTTCGGATACGCGCCCAGCATTCTTGATCCGGTGCTTGTGCAAACCGGATACGTTGGCAACATGGCGGACGCCTTCGTGGTGGCTGGTGAGAAGCTAGCGCGCGACCCTTGCGACGCAGCCGGAAAGGCGTTCTTTGTTGGAGATGACACACAGGCAAAGAGCATGACCGACTTTTGTCGCCCGATCCTGAAGCGCCTGGGCTACTCTGTGCTGCCTGTACCAATACCGTCCATCATTCTCTTGCTGCTGGCGTATGCTGTGCAGCTGGTGTTCTCAATTGTCTCACTGTTGGTGCCGTTGAATCCGGCTGGATTCACACTGACTCCGTCCAGAGCACGGCTCATGAGAGCTCCTCACACGTACAGTGACCGTTTGTTTCGTGAAGTGTTCAAATTCCAGCCTCCAGTCACTCCAGAGAGGGCAATGGAGGCGACCGTTGAGTACTATTGCGATCGTCAACGACAACGATAACAGACCTTACATGCCCGGTACCAGATAGTAAATGGACAAACAACATCTATTCCACCTCTCAATGAGGTTACATGTATTATAATTTTAGTACTTGTGGTGACCATGTTGAAGAACTACCCACTGTTGTTCATTGCAATGACATTCTCCAAACTGTCAGTCTTCGTCTAGTCGCGTGCATAGATTTGTTGTGTCAGATTTAGTAGAAGTTTTTTGAATTTTGTCTGAAAGGGCTGTATCCACACGTGTGCATGTCCTTTAATTACAGGGTGTCCAATGGTGTGCTTGATAATGGTGCGAGACTGATCATGTATTAAGATTTTGTAACACCGGTGCTTCTCAGAGAGTAAAGTCATATCGTGCAATAAAAACTATAATGTTAACAGTAGCCTTCTTGCTCTATGACTACTGTAATTTCACTAATGTTCGGTGTACTTTTATTTTCGGTACTTTCGGTGCGTCTGTTTCATACCTAAAATTTCAATACACCGAACAAATATTAACACACATAATCCAATAGGGAACTGCTTCTCTGTACCGAAAATTTCTGTTCACCTAACCTGGCCTGTTGCCCTCATACCGAAAATATTGAGCACCGACAATTTCTGAAATTAGAGTATTTCACTTTCACTGGGTAGTTGAGTCAATCGTGACGCCGTTTTCTCTCTTCATTTGCCTGTTATTTCTCAGTTTCGCCTCCTGCCGGTGTTCATATTATTGAGATGTCTTGTTCCCCATTGGGAACGTGAAAAGCTTACCGTAGTGACGCACATAAAGGCACATGCGCTTGTGAGTGAGTTTTTGCTTTATTTGCTATTTTCGTGGGTTGTTTTGTCTCACACATAGGCGCATGCGCTTGAGGTAGTGTCCCGGTACCCGATAATTATGCACATAGTGCAATACCGCAATGCACATTGAACTATGTGAACATGGTGTTCTTGTGGTGTCTGTGTGTCGCGGGATGAACTGCATTTAGGTTCACTTATAAGCCCATGTGCTTATTTGCGAGGGTGCGCTTATGGCCGGGTATAGGCACATGCACGTTTATATGAGCGTCACTACGGTATGTGCATGGGGTGCAGGATGGATGTCGGGAAAAGGATGTGCGGGAAAGCATTATACAGGACTGGGGATCTAACAATGTGACTCGGAGAGGCATCATTGAATATGCCTCTCCGATATTGCATGCATTCCGTGGCCGTGTCTGGCTTTTCCTGGCATATGAAGAAGTTGGACCTTCGAAGGGAATGGTCCCTTCCAGCTGTCACATCATAAATTAATGGCATCACCACCTCCCCATAATACCACACTGACCAACACATTGCAACATTTGCTGAAAGCTTCAAACCAGGATATAGACTGAATCGTCTCTTCTGTAGCACATGAACTCTGCACTCCGACGGTACAGTGCTGCTCAATGAAGTCCAGTCGCGTCACTAAAGTACGCGCGAGACCGGCGAACGCTGGGCTGCAAAATGGTGCAAGGCGCAAACTTGACTAACGCAACCGGATTTCACTATGATTGAGCAGCACCGTACACATAAACGCAACTGAGGTCAAACGGGCGAGATGTGTGTCCGTTGACCAGGGAGAATGTCAGAAAGCCTGGCGTGCAGAGATCAACTCCTCAAGGGCACCAGTGTATCATTGGGTGCAGGCTGCTACCTGTGACCTGACATGACTATGCCGGGGGCAAACTCCAGAGAGGTCACACATGATCGAGTCACGACAAGCCTTTCGCAGCCTTGCCCGACTCTGATGGGGCAGGAAATGCGGAAAATGCAGAGGGGGGGGGGGGGTATGCTAAAAGCAACTAGGAGCAGTACATCATGCACTAAACCGGTTTCCTCATCAGTGAAAAAAGTTCTGAAAGCTCAGCTGTCCCATGTCGAAGTTAGGCTGTTCACTTTGAATCCTAAATTGCTGACGCTATGCCACCTGCGGTGGCGCTGACTCCTGCTTCAACCAAGTTCTTCTTGGAAAGGGTGAGCCGCAATGAGTTCCAAACAAAGTCGACTCCACTGTAGAACGGACTGCATGCACCGCGGATGACGGCCCTGCCAAGGATTCCCCACGCATAGGTGAAGGTTTTGGAGAAGCGAACCAGGGGGCTCCACAGCCAATTCACGACGTAGGAGCACGAGCCGAAAAGCAGTCCCCAGCCAAACGCCAGGAGCACACCGGTTAGCAGAACAAGGATTTTGTACAACCAGTCTCGCGTGAAGTGGAAGACCATGCGGTGCACCTTTTTGCCCTGTTCGATGCTCTCCGTGCCTCTCTGCTCCTTGACAATGTCAGAGAAGTTGATCTGTTCCAACAAGGATAAAACGGTGCACCCGCATGCACATACACACACATACGCATGCACACACACAGTTGTTGTGCACACACACACACACACACACACACACACACACACACATACACACAGTATTACACCTGGACCCTCGCTTTCCGACGATGAGAATGTGAATGTGTACATATGCACTGGTTCAATAATAGGGAAGGCTTTTCCAGGTACATATTCTGCCCAGCAAGATCATCACTGTTAACTACAGGGCCCCACATTCGTCACTGCCTGATACATCACTGGCTTGCCAGGGCTCAGTGCAGGCAAAGCGACACGGCACGGGTATGAAACGGCAAGCGTGTAGTCCTGATTCTCTATCAGAACAGGGCTCAAGCAGTACCATACTGAATATGCTCAATTCCCATGTGGGGTCCACAAAGCCAGACTCTTTGACAACTTGATGCAGCCAAAGTTCAAGGTGTGTGTGCGCGTGTGTGTGCGGCCGGTCATAGTCCTATAGGCTTACCATTGTGGCTATGCAACATGAGTTACATGACCACTACAGTTGAACCTGCAGCACTACGACGCAACGCGAGTCAGATCAGAACTGCATTGGACAGATGATATTACTACAGGCGATAGATAAACTTTGTACTAATCTGGCATGTTTCGCTACACAAAGTCCATTCTTAGGACCGATATATTCTACTATGCGATAAAATTGCTTGTAAGAATAAAAGTGCACTTGAAACCCGTGTTATGATTATGAAAACATGAGACTTCATTCTTGTAGGCAGTATATTCTTTTACACGACCACGCTATAACCGATACGCACTGCACCAGTTATGACCCAACCATTACCAGGTTTTTATATGATTATTGCCAGGATCAAACCCCACAAAATCTGGGTCATTTTCACACAGTGAGAAACTGAGGGTCGTTCGAATTGTCTTCATCAACTGTTCAAACAAATTTTATAAAGAGATTAGTTGAAGTGTCCCATTAGAACGGTTTCTATCATTTTAGAGTTTTTCAGTGGAATTGTCATGGTGATGATGACGTCCGATCAGATCGACCATCTCCACGTACTACGTGACGTAGCTATTCCAAACTCTTCGAAACTAATCCACCTTCCCATCGGATGAGCCTAAGTTTCGAGGAGTTCAAGTTCGAGGAGCTTCGTCACTGAAGAGGCCAGTAAGGCCACCTCTTCAGAAAAACGAAACACCTTAAAAAGTCAAAGAGTGACAATTCGAACGCGCCCTAACAAGATCCAGGTTTGGGGTTCCTTATTTAAAAACCTGTTTACCGAAGGATGTACCCAGAGTGCTGACAGTGCTCAACACCACAAAGGCAGAGCGTAATACACAACAGAACAACAAGGACAATCAAGGCTTGTTTGCTGCTACTTTAAGTTTCATGCTCACGCAATCATCAGGCAACATGAAGATCGGGTGCCGACCATGCCGGGTATATATGGCAGGAGAGGGTGGTATAAAAATCTGTGTGAGACTGTGGGGGCTAGCGCAGTAGCGGCGGTGTTTTAGGCAGGGGCTGTGTGCAGAGTGTGTGGTTGTTGAAGGCAGGGGCTAGCAGTGCAGTGTTAGCGCAGAGTGTGTGGCTGGTGTGGGCAGGAGGTGGTGAACAATGCGTGTGGATGTTGTAGGCAGGAGGCTGTAGAGCTAGCAGTGTGATAATAGCGCAATGTAAATGGATATGTCTGGTGTGGGCAGGGTGTTATGAGCAAGGTGTGTGAACGTGAATGGTGTGGGCAGGAGGCTGTGGAGACATGTTTAGGTGACACCGTGGTTTTTTAGGAGATACTTGTTCTCGTGTCGGCACTTGGACACCATTTCGGAGCGCTTGTTGAGGCTGGACGGTGACCCTAGCGTGTTCAGGATGTGATACTTTTCTCTGGTACAGAGGGAACACCGCTTCGTGATGTTGGAGTATGCCCGGGCGCGATCTTTTATCCTCCATTCGACTTCGTATTGGGCGTTGGGTTTCTTCAGCTTCCAGATGTAGTTGGAGAACTCAGTGCAGCTGGAGTACTTCTCGTATCTTGTTGTAGTCATGTGGTTGTCATGGCGTGACTTGAATGGTGGCGCCGACATACCGGTGTATTCCTTTTTGGTGGGGCCTGACGTTATGGATGCCACATATATCAGCTCCGTCGTTTGGCATTCACCGTTGAGTGGACAAGATGGCTTGTCTCGGCAGTTGCAGGGCTTTTCCGGTTTTTTCGTTTGCGGGCAGAGGACCGCTTTGTTGTGGCCTTTGATGCGTGCAGCCATATTTGGCATGCAACTGTAGCTTATCTTGATGGTGTTTTTTGTGAATATTTTTCCGAGCTTCGACTGCGGGGGGAAGTGCTTCTTAATGAGCGCGAGGAATCTTCCACCGATGTTTGTTTTCACATTACGGCTGTAGGGCGGGTTGTACCAAATCACCTTCCTCTTCCTTTTCTTCTTTTTGCTTGTTTTCTGTTTGAACTCTAGCGTGCTAGGGTGGCCGCTGGCGTTGAGGGCCTCCGCGCCGCAAGGCGCGTCAACCTCGGATACTCTCTGAAGAATATCCCCTTGCCCAGCCACAAGGAGTACACACTATGTCTCATTGAAAGGACGAAACAACTCATAAAGAGGATGCGCTGGAGAGCAATATTCTACCTACGTGGTGACAGAAAAGAAGACGGCCAAGAAGGAGAAACCTTCGGATTCAAAACAAGAAAATGCCCACCGCAAGTGGACGAGATGAAGAAATTCGAAGACGATATGTATGAGATGATTGGCAGCGTGAGTTACCGCAGCGTGCATGACGAACTACAGGACAAGATGAAGGAAGACTTACAAACGATCAGCAGCTCCAACGACATAATCGTACCCGCAGACAAAACACGAAACCTGTACAAGATGCCGCCAGAAGAATACAGGAAGCTACTCCACGACAACATCACAAGAAACTACCAAGCGGCACCAGAAGGCTCCTACGACACCATCAACGACGAGGCCAAGAAAATCGCTGCTGATAAGGGCCTGGAGGACCGCATCGACATCATGGCAAAGGCAGAAGCTTTCGTCACCATCAAGGACCACAAAGAAAACTTCCCCCGGAACATACCATGCCGCCTAATTAACCCTGCGAAGCCGGAGATAGGCATTATCAGCAGAAAGATACTGAGCGGCATAGTGGAAGCGCTGCGGGACAAACCCAACATCAACCTATGGAAAAACACATCCTCCGTCATAAACTGGTTCAAGGCAATCGAGGAGAAGGCTAGCCACACGTTCGTGATGTTTGATATAGTGGATTTCTATCCATCTATTTCCGAAAACTTGCTGAGCCTAGCCCTCGCCTACGCTAAGCAGTTCGTGGCAATTCCTGACTGTGACGCCGACATAATACTACACGCGAGGCAGTCACTGCTATTCGGAGCTAACCGAACATGGGCAAAGAAAAACAGAGACGGGCTGTTCGATGTTACCATGGGATTCTTCGATGGCGCTGAAGCATGTGAGATGGTCGGCGCCTTCCTCCTGGGTAAACTCGAACAGCACTTCAGTAGCGGCTCGGTAGGCCTCTACAGAGACGGGCTTGCCGTCCTCCGTAACGCCACTGGCCACAGTGCGGACAAAGTAAGGAAAGCTGTCATCGACACCTTCAAGACGCTGGGGCTAAAAATCACGATAGACGTCAACCTGAACGCTGTTAACTACCTAGACATCACAATGAGCCTCTCCACAGGAACCTACCAACCGTACCGAAAACCCAACGACACCCCACTGTATGTTAACGTCAATTAACGTCAATTATAAGCGCATGCGCTTATAATTGAACACTATTGGTGAAACACTCGGAAGCTGAATATACTGGGAAGCTGAATATACTGGGAAGCTGAATATACTGCTAGGCATTGTGATAACTAGAGGTCAAAGGGGTGTACCGGGTACCCGGGTACCCGACCGGTAATCTCAGGTACCGTTAGTAAAAGGGTACCCATTTGGATTTTGATGAACCAGTCAGTACGAAGCAACACTCCTGGGATCGTGTATTCCAGGCGGGAGTCAATTATTTATAACTCCACGCTGGATGTCTGCATTGTTGTTGCATTTTCGCACCTAGTAGATCTACTCCTGCGACTATCAGACACCAACTGATTTGCGAATCACAATGTGATATCAAAATGCAACCCGAGAACAGATTAATTAAAATCTTGATTTATGTGAAAATTGCGCAAAAACTTAAACATGGCTGCTAAAGGGTACCCGTTAACCCGCCCGTTAAGAAAATCACCCGTTCGTTAGTTAAGGTACTAGTACTCTTTTCGCGGCTGTATCTGGGCCGACCGCACAAGAACAGGCATTACTTTGGTCCCACACAAGCAAATCACTCCAAATTTTCTTCACACACAGATGAAAGGGTAGTGATTGCAACAGCAGAAAATATATTGTCATGCTTTGCGAGATCCTTGGAAAATGTAAATCAGAATGTACACTTTCTGTCGATATGACGGGCTACACATTTTCTTAAAAAAATGTCCAGGAAAAGACTATTTGATGGGTCTAAATTTGTTGGATCCAAACCATCTAGGTCTGGGGAAGGGCACCTGGGTCAGCAGAAGTCCATCCAAAGGAAAAAAGGACGCACAATACACCTTATAAAACAACATATATAATACGCGACCGTGTTGCAACATTTGAGAGAGGGCAAAGATTGTTCCAGTTAAAGTGTTGCTCTTGAAAACACCCAGGTGCCCTAGGCCTGGGCATCACCTTTCCAAAAATGTATACTTTGGGGGGTGTCCAGACACTTTATCCAAGAGAAAACTTCAGAAAACACACTCGCAGTAGGCTAAAAATAGTGAAAAAAAGGGGTCCAAAACAGACAAAAATGCAGGCATAAGCTGTAATGTCAGCAACAAAACCTCACCAAACCAAGCTAAAATCCACCAGCCTCATATGTGACACCTTCTTGCTCTGTTCTTTGCTCTTCCCAGCCCTTTTTCTTTCTTCTCCTCTTCTTTCTTGTGCTTTTTTGCAATGCTGAACTGGCCACTTCGGCATGTGCAATGCGGTCCGTATCCTCCTTCTTCAGTGCCTTGATGGTGTTATGGCCAACAGAACACGACATTTCTCTCAAGAACTTGACAAAGGCTCATGGCACCATCATTGAAAGTGCATGTAGCAAGATTTGCAGCGAGCTCCACCACACAGCGACCTGCATTGACTTCCTTCGGGCACATGCGCCACACGACACCATTGAATGCTTCTTTGGCATTTTGTGTGGCACCAAGCAAGCATCGTTTCAGAAGTGCCTGGTCTGCCAGTCTTCGGTAAACAGGCACCAGCAACTTGTAGATGGCCTCTGGCTTCGGGATTTTCTGCTAACAGCTGCTGGGCAGCGTAGTTGCGGCTTTTCTCGCCAACCGTGTGTGCAGCCTCAATTGCAGCTTGTTGGTGTTTCTAGAAGTTCGTCTTGTTGACAGGCTTGGGGAGGTCCATAATGGCACAGAATTTCTGGAGACCAGAGTGTCCTCGGCCAATGGGCCTGGCAGCTAAAACGGAGCATCGGTTGACGTCAAAAAATCTTGTTCTTATGGACGATGAAAACTTGACATTAGCACCAGGACATGATTCTGATGAACAGGATATGACCATGTGTGATCCTAAGCCCTTGCTGTCTCTCCTTTTCCAAAATGATACCGCCAACTTTACAAACTGCACACACATTTCAGCAGAATCTCCTGCAGCTGCTCCAAGTCGAAAATACGTTTCCCGCACCAGTATGGGGCTCATCAGCCTCGAAACAATCACTGTCATCACTGCTGTCACTCGTGTCTGGGTTCGAGGTCAGTGAGGTATCAGACTCCGTTCCAACATCGCCATCGCTGTCTGATGTCTCCTGCTCCCACCAGGGTTTGCAGCCGACGAGCTTTGCAAATGAAGAGCTACGTCCAATATCTTCTGGCTCCGCTTCCACAGGAACAGGGTTAGGATCGGGAGCTGTTTCAGGCTTCTTTCCATAATATTTCTTCTTTTTGGCAACGTAGTATCTACCTTTCCATTTTTTTGTTTCCCATCTTCAAGCTCAGCACAGCGAGTGCAGAATAGTTGCTGTTTGTGATGCAAAAAGCGCAAGGGAACCCAGTTTTTACGCTGGGTCGCCATTTTGTGCAGTCATGGTAACGAATATTTGAATTTTTTCCACGTGGCATGAGTACTCATTTTTGCTCCTGACAGCTAGCATGGTCACGCTGCAGTGCGTACATCGTACATACCCACGCACTTCACTGGCCTGTAACTCTGCAAAGACTGTGCCGATTCGCCTCAAATTTTGGATTCCACAGGTTCAGGGCCTTGTGCGTCCACTGAAAGAGTCAAAAAAGCCGATTTCTAAACTTCGATTTTTGACCCTACAAAGGAGTACTAGTACCTTAAAGGTACACCCGTTTGACCCCTAGTGATAACACCATTGTTTAGGACACAGACAAACCTGTATTGCACATATAAGCGCATGGGCTTCTACCCGAACATGTTCACACAGCAACAAATCTTTTTTGTAGCAAATTTTCACTTATAAGCCCATGGGCTTATATGTGGGGAAGTACGGTAAGAACATCCCAGCTGGAATTAACAACCGACTGGCAAGCATCTCCTGCTCAGAGGCGGTGTTCCGTGACGCTATCCCCATCTACGCGGAGGCCCTCAACGCCAGCGGCCACCCTAGCACGCTAGAGTTCAAACAGAAAACAAGCAAAAAGAAGAAAAGGAAGAGGAAGGTGATTTGGTACAACCCGCCCTACAGCCGTAATGTGAAAACAAACATCGGTGGAAGATTCCTCGCGCTCATTAAGAAGCACTTCCCCCCGCAGTCGAAGCTCGGAAAAATATTCACAAAAAACACCATCAAGATAAGCTACAGTTGCATGCCAAATATGGCTGCACGCATCAAAGGCCACAACAAAGCGGTCCTCTGCCCGCAAACGAAAAAACCGGAAAAGCCCTGCAACTGCCGAGACAAGCCATCTTGTCCACTCAACGGTGAATGCCAAACGACGGAGCTGATATATGTGGCATCCATAACGTCAGGCCCCACCAAAAAGGAATACACCGGTATGTCGGCGCCATCATTCAAGTCACGCCATGCCAACCACATGACTACAACAAGATACGAGAAGTACTCCAGCTGCACTGAGTTCTCCAACTACATCTGGAAGCTGAAGAAACCCAACGCCCAATACGAAGTCGAATGGAGGATAAAAGATCGCGCCCGGGCATACTCCAACATCACGAAGCGGTGTTCCCTCTGTACCAGAGAAAAGTATCACATCCTGAACACGCTAGGGTCACCGTCCAGCCTCAACAAGCGCTCCGAAATGGTGTCCAAGTGCCGACACGAGAACAAGTATCTCCTAAAAAACCACGGTGTCACCTAAACATGTCTCTACAGCCTCCTGCCCACACCATTCACATTCACACGCCTTGCTCATAACACCCTGCCCACACCAGACATATTCATTTACATTGCGCTATTATCACACTGCTAGCTCTACAGCCTCCTGCCTACAACATCCACACGCATTGTTCACCACCTCCTGCCCACACCAGCCACACACTCTGCGCTAACACTGCACTGCTAGCCCCTGCCTTCAACAACCACACACTCTGCACACAGCCCCTGCCTAAAACACCACCGCTACTGCGCTAGCCCCCACAGTCTCACACAGATTTTTTATACCACCCTCTCCTGGCATATATACCGGCATGGTCGGCACCCGATCTTCATGTTGCCTGATGATTGCGTGAGCATGAAACTTAAAGTAGCAGCAAACAAGCCTTGATTGTCCTTGTTGTTCTGTTGTGTAAAAACCTGTTTAGAAAAGACGAACGACAGGCCTGGGACAGGCCTTGGTTGGGAATATTGTGTACTAGTCTACATGTACATGTGCATGACTGTACTTACGGAAGAAGTGGTCAGCCAGCCCATGTCTGGGTCTTCGTCTTTCCTCTTCGGCTCGAAGAGCGGATTGTTTTCCCGCACCGTTCCAGTCTCCACACCGGCTTCAACCGTGGACGTCGTGTTGTAGCGGACATTTCCGCTCGTGTACTGCCTCTCGCCACCGAGTAGAGGAACGTATCGACTAGGATCACCGAGTCCGCCAGCAGTCGATTGGTAGCCCTTTCTGTTCAAGCCGTCATCCGACTCGGCCATGTCTCTCACGCCAATTATTTATCTCACGCCAAGTAAGTTGACGAAAGCAAGCCTGTTCTTTCTTGGCAGTATCAGGACATGGGTAGATCTACACTACACGCTCAGCCCTCCATCGAACTAACTTGCTAAGCGATCGTCGAAACTCAACTTTATTTGTCCGCCGAATTCTCTACTCCACATACTCTCTATTCTCTACTCGACAACCAGGAAAGTCCTGTACAGATGGCACAGCCTTGCCAGCCCGGATACGCTGCGTCCCGCTCCGTCGATCTTCTACCATCCACAGACCATAGCACAAGCTAGGAACTCGACGGTGCAGCGTAGTCAGCATGCCAGAAATACACGTCGACCGCGTTGGGTTCGATCTTCACTCCTGCACTTGGCAACTTTGACTTGGGCAGCCGCCTGGCCTGGGCCTGGGGACCAGGAAAACTGACTGCAGCGAGGTCGAAACGCACGAATGCTGCTTCTGCCACCTCACCACAAACCTCCAAGAGAGCTGTCATACCGTATTATCTCTAATATAAGCACGGTCCTTTAATTTTTCAATGTACCTCCGCCCCGTGCTATTAATGGAGACGTTCCTTTATTGGAGACTGTTCCATTATTATTTCAACCTCATTTCAGAAGCATGTTGCCATGCCAAATTCATGTCAGACACACACATTTCAGGGTTTTTTCGCCGGTACAGATAATGAATTTACACAGTGTGCTTATAATGGAGACTGAGCACTTTATTTTTTGAATGCCGCCCCAAGGTGTTCTATTATTGGAGACGTGCTATTATTGGAGACTGTGCTTATATTAGAGATAATACGGTATGCTACAAAGTCCAATCATGTACAGGTAGATCTACATGACTGTACAATGTAAGTAGGCCTCGACCAGGGAGTCGTATAGACCGTCTATACGACTCCCTGGCCTCGACCTGATAACATCCTCGATTCCTGTGCATAGTTTATACTTTTGCCATAACTCTATGTCACTTAGTATGTGCTTTCATTACATTGCATTTCCAACAATACAAGGAAATACCAACAACGCACATAGTTATCAGGTTTAAAGGGGAAGTTAAGGCAAAAATTAAAATTTCACCAGTTGTAGTCTTCTGGGTGCTGAGTCGAATGGTCGTGGTCCGAGGAAGCTGAGACGCTCCCTTCCTACTTGAATCCCAATCGAACTCGCGCACTTCCACCGAAACTGGGTGACTGCGCCCTACGAGATGGGGATTTGTATGCAAAATGTCACTAAAAGCGCGATTTCGTTCTTATAAAAGCACGGATGACCGCGATTGGCCCATATGTTGTAGTCTTTTTGGACGCTGAGTCGACTGGTTTTGGTCCGAAAAGGCTGCGATGCAGCGTTCGCCCCTAATTCCCAATCGAACATGGTTGAACAAGCGGTCACGTGCTCCTGCGTACACCAGTCACCTGGTCACCGTGCCTGCAGGGTACAACTTACAGCCTGTTTTGACCTTTTTTGGGTGCACTCCTGTCACTCGAGTTGAACCTTGGTGTGAAAGTTGTCGCCTGCTGGCGTGGTGACCAGGTGATTTTGGCACCCAGGAGCACGTGACCGCTTGTTCAACCATGTTCGATTGGGAATAAAGGAGGAACGCTGCATCGCAGCTTTTTCGGACCAAAACCAGTCGACTCAGCGTCCAAAGGACTACAACATATGGGCCAATCGCGGTCATCCGTGCTTTTATAAGAACGAAATGGCGCTTTTAGTGACATTTTGCATACAAATCCCCATCTCGTAGGGCGCAGTCACCCAGTTTCGGTGGAAGTGCGCGAGTTCGATTGGGATTCAAGTAGGAAGGGAGCGTCTCAGCTTTCTCGGACCAAGACCATTCGACTCAGCACCCCGAAGACTACAACCAAGAGTACATAACCCCCCAGAGTGTGCAACTCCACTATGGGTGCTGTCTAGGCCTTGACAGATTATGCTAGCATAATTTTTCGCATAATTCCTACCAAAATCGAATAATCGCATAATTCGAGACAAATTGCATAAGAATCGCATAAAATTGGAATAATCCGCCTGTTCGCATCAAATTCCATACAGTTGTACATGTTCTGCAAGTACAGGTCGTCCCCCGTTAATACGAGTCCGGTTAGTACATAAACCCCGTTAGTACATAAGAAATCTCAAGTCCCGGACGAAACGTGGTCACTTCCATACAAATTTTGTCGGTTAGTACATAATTCGTTAGTACATAAACCCCGTTAGTACATAACATTTCTCCGTACCCGCATGCCACCTACCCCAATAGTACATAATTTGTTGGTCTTGTGGCCTTCCAGTGGAGGCACATCGCGTTCTAGTTTCTACTTGTGGATGCAATTAGCTCAGAAATCAGAGTGCACATCACAAACCGACAAAGCTCTGTTTTTTTCCCGAGTGACTATACAGGCGCGGCTAGGGCATGTATCATGCAAACTGTAGTCTCTTCGCTGACTGTGACCGGTATAACATAATTTTTATGTTATATTGAGGGAATCAAGAATATCTCGCTGCCTAGCCATGGTAGCGAGAAACACTCAGAAAAGTAGAAAAAAGTGAAAAATCCTGGTACACAAGCAAGTTATGTACACTTTCGTTTAGTACATAAACCCCGTTAATACATAACATTTGTCAAGACCCAGAGATTATGTATTAACGAGGGACGACCTGTACAAGTACAAGTAGATACATGTACACCAGGAAGTCGTGGGTTTACGACTCCCTTGAGAACATGTCCAGTTCACTACAATCAGTGACGGTAGTAGCTAGGTCGGACGGTACGTTGACCCCATTGAACTTTTGCTACTACAGTACAACGCCCTCTACAAAAAAATCCCCTGTTATTTTGCACAGAACCATTAAACATTGGCAGCATATGTGAGCATAATGCGGCATAATATGATAACTTTTAGCATACAAATAGCATAATTCTGCAATTTTTCAGCAATGCGAAAAGCATAATTTCACGAAAATATTAGCATAATCTGTCAAGGCCTAGTGCTGTCCCGACAGAATTTCAAGTTGACGTCATTTTGATGATGCAATGCGCACTGTACACGGATTATCAGACGAATCCGGAACCTGTGGTTGACCGAAGCCGATCGATCCTGTACAAATTATTGCAAAGAAAAACGTGTGATGCGTTGAATGACACCCGTACACATGTTGTAAATCACTGCTGCAAGGAGCATTGCGTCATACATAATGACGTCAACTTGAAATTCTGTCGGGACAACAGGGTATGTGGGAGTTGCACACTCTGGGGGTATACCAGGCATTCGCCTAGTGTTTTTTTGTTAGACTTAGAGCCAATAATAATAATAATAATAATAATAATAATAACGGGGTTTGCTCCCCACACTGGAGCTCGCGCTATTCCGCCGACTTTACTTGACACTTGACTGACTCACGACTGCCATCCAGAGTCCATCGAACCTTCTACTCGGCAAACCTGCAAGAAAGCACCACTCCCCGCTCAATACACAGTGTTTCGGGGAATTCACCCCTCATCAGTTGAGCTTGAGTAGGCTGAGGAAGATTGTGCCTGAAGAGCACCACTTATATGCTCTCCAGGCACAAACATCACCAGGGATACAAACTTACAGAGACGCGAGACGCTCCATTTCCAGCGCGACAAACACCTCGTGAACACCAGATAGCAGCGTGAGTCAGTGTCGCTCCTGGACGGTGAGACCAGACGTTGAGGACCCTCGGTCATTCGCAACGCTGTCACCTCCAAACCAACTAGTCGCAAGCCCGCGCTGGGCACAACAGTAGATCTACGAAGTAGTGGTTGCGACTTCGGCGATGATTTGTAAGAAAGGGTTTGCTCCCCACACTGGAGGGCTTGAAAGTGATGACGTCAAAACGGCCAGGGAGTAGTAAGTTGACATCAGATTTCTATTTTTGGATCCACTAAGGTGTGACTTTGCCATTGCCTAAGTATGTGCGTGCATAGCAACCCACTCATGTCGCATGCAGGTGTGACTTTTATTTCGCCACCAGTTGTAACCCCGCCCCCAGTAGCCAAATCAGTCAGTTTCATTGGCTACATCACCATGCTGTGGGTAAGACCGCTTGAAATGTGCTTGGATCCATACAAAAACTGGATCCAAGTGGATCCAGTTTTTGAATTTTTGAAATTGTTGCTATGCTGTGACGTAGCACTTTCAAGCCCTATTCCGCCGACTTTACTTGACACTTGAAACACTGTGTATTGAGCAGGGAGTGGTGCTTTCTTGCAGGTTTGCCGAGTCGAAGGTTCGATGGACTTCTCGTGTGCTCTGGATGGCAGTCGTGAGTCAGTCAAGTGTCAAGTAAAGTCGGCGGAATAGCGCGAGCTCCAGTGTGGGGAGCAAACCCTTTCTTACAAATCATCGCCGAAGTCGCAACCACTACTTTTAAAATAATAACAACAAAAAAATAAGTATATGTTATCGCATGGTTGCAAGGGCCTTATGGCATATTATTGCCCCGAGAGGTTAGCCCGAGGGCCGTAGGCCCGAGGGCTAACCTCGAGGGGCAATAATATGCCATAAGGCCCGCAGCAACCATGCGATAACGAATTTATCACATGGCCCACAGAGCAGACCATTGGGCTGCTGTTGAAATTGGCCCAAATGCCAACACATTATGACCACAATGTATATTGATGTGCTATCATTATCAAAACAGGAAAAATGAAGATATTTCTCCTACACCCTAACAAAAAGTCTGCTACAGGCCGTCAGAGAGTATACAGTACTGAAAGACGGAGACAGAAAAAAAATGCCGGCACCGTACCGCATCGTCATAGCAATAGACATGGCAACGACAATAAATACAGCAGAATCATAATTTCAGTTGAAAAATTAAGAGTGCTACCACAAAGAGTTTCTTCGTGTTTACATGTGTATCAGGAAGTTGTCAAATACAGTACTGCAACAAGTGCAAGTATTTGACGACTCCCTGGTGTGTAATTCTGAGGACAATTTTTCCGGTTCTTCTTTTTTCAGCTCAAGATAGCTGTATTTTTCATTGCAAAACATTCCTGAATTGTTGTGTTTGTTGTTCAAGCAAAGGTGAAGGCAGAGGACAAATGAGCCTGGTAAGATTTTGCGTGGCACATGAAGACCACACACAGGCAGTGACTTTGCGAGGATCTGAAAACGCACGACGCTGAGTTGAATTTGTGTTATTTCAAATAATTGTTTGTGATCACAGTGCCACTTCGAGCAGAACTGAATCTTATCCAAAAGCTTACCGACGGTCAGGCTGCCAACATGACTGAACAAAATTAATGATCCCTGCAAGCACCACACGGCAGACGTCCGAGGCCATGTCCATTGCCGGGATGTCCATCTCCAAAAAGAATTCCATCTTCGTCTCAATGCTACACTGCGACTCGTCGTAGAGTCGTACATTCTACAGAGTCGTCGTAGTCACGCGAGGAAAGCTGAGATCGCCACTTTCGACCACGCGTTCACATGTCACCCTGCGCCGTACAGTCACCATGCCCACCATGTTCACATCCCGCCGTAGATTTCACGCGTACAGTCTCAGTCAGGGTTGTCACTGACGACGGGCTTTGGACGCGGGCGTTGGACTGATTTATTGCCCGCTCATACAGACCAGTGATTGGCCCGATCCAAGGAAACACTCACGTGACATGTGATAATAATAGGCACTTCAGGCGGTTTTTTCAAAACCAGAAATACTCATATTTCTTTCTTGTATCCGATTCAGATAGGTTTAGGAAGACTCCACAGAAAATTTGAAGCAAAAAGAATAACTAACTAACTTACTTGGCACAGAGATATAGCCATCCAAAGTCGGAGAATTGAATAACGGCAATTTCAGTATTTCGACGGCACCAGCAGTAGGCCTTGGCGGATAATGCTCGAAAAGGTGGCAGATTCCTTTTTTTTGCACCGAAATTGGCAGAACCATACAAACCTTATGGCGGGCAATTCCTCGAATTCTGCTCCATTTCTTTATCCACATACCAAACATGCATGAAACTTACCAGAAAAAGTACCGAATTCTGCCAATTTTTCTGCCGGCATTATCCGCCAAGGCCTAACCAGCAGCATATCAGAAATTGGCAGGACTTGCTTCAGTGTCTATAGTGGCAAAATACCAGGCTCGCTGGAAGCAGGTCAAAATAACCAGATGAATGTAGAAACAGCATGGTTTGGAAAAACTTCGCATTTTTCATCCGTCCGGCAGCTCAGACGAAGATATCGGGTGTGGTCACCATGGCAACTCCATAGCAACTCCATCGCAACAGCATGAAAACAGTGCAGAGAAGCCTTTGGAAAAGCATAAGATGAGACTTTGAGGTAAGATAAAGTAACTACAATAATTCAGTGCCAGAACACATTGTTGCTACATGTACAGTACTGATAGGTGACGACTACGGAAGAACAATGAGCCGAAGACTGAGCAAACTAGAATTTTACCGGGTATTTGACGGAAAGAAATGACAAACTATTACATGTAGAACATTGTTTGCAAATGTTTGGGACTACTGAAACTTCAGCAACTCCAGCACGAGAGATTTTGTGCATAGAGTGTGTGCTGGATTCTTGGTATAATATCACCGTCAATGCATTTCTTGGTCGCTGGAAGCCACCAGCTGATCAGCTGACGATTTGTTCCAAGCAGGCCGTTTTGATGTCAGCTTTCTTGGTCCAGTCGCCGAAGTATATACTGTCCTACTCGTCGCCTGCAGGAGAGGACGACTGCTCCGATGCGACTCCAATATACCTGCAATATTTCTTCTTGCGCAGCCACGCGCATGGGCTCCGACGAACAAGGACTAGTGCCGGGAGGACGCCTGTCGCGGCTCGCTTTCAATAACACCTCGCATTATTCCTTCTTGCGCAGCAATGCGCAAAGTGTTGGACAAACGAGGACTACTGATTCCGAAAGGAAATACGACGCTGAAGACGATGAGCTACATGGCAAATGCGTGCAATCAAGTGAAATGGCCGAAAAATCCTTGCCGATTTTACTCGAACTGTACGTGAGTTCAAAAAATTGCCGCATCATGACTAGACGTATGTGGGCTCAAACGAAAGCTGAGGGCCTCAGCTACACGCTGCGCCACACGAGAAGGCCCTTGGGCCGTACCTGCGCAGCTTCCGTGCAGCTAGCTACAGATCGATCTATGCATGCGCCTTTCCGTGGTGCCACGCATGCACGCGATTCAGCGTTAGCACTTTTTGACAGGTCGTGTCACGTGACTGAAGTGCCTAATAATTAATAAAACAGGTCGCGTAATGAAGCAGCATAACGATAGATGTGCAAAGTCATGATGCCTGGTCCGCTTCTGTCCTGGGTTCACTACCCCGTGCGTTGCAGCCGCGAGCAAAACCAGCTCAGGCTGAGAGTTCCTAGAGCCAATACTAGCCAATACTATGGCAATAGGTATCTAATACTGACTGAGTACGAGGTCAATAGGAAATAAAAGCCGAGTAAAAGACCGAGGCGAAGCCGATGTCTTTTATTTCATACTGACCAAGTACGAAGTCAATATTAGATTTATCACGACTGACCAAAGCATGTGTTCAATCGCTAAAAAGGAGTCAAATATAAGCGGTCAATATAGCCCTAAGGAGTGAAATATGCTGGAATATTTGACCGCTTTTTTATTTTTATTTATTTGACCGCTTACTAGGTATGGCAAAAATCGATGTGAGTCAATAAGGGAGTGATAGACTGATAGTGGATAGGACAAGAACATGTGAAGAAGTGAACAGCTGCTGTGATGAGGAGCACGTCTTTTATTGCTGCTCCGAGTCCGACTAGCGACTCTTGACTTGTGGCAAGTTGTGCCAAGTACTGTACAAGCAGAACTACCCGGTATTCGTCTGGAATTTAATTTTGTCTTTTTCGTCCAACGAGCTGTTGGACTAAATTAAATGCTGGACTAATATTAATTTGTCCAGCTTTTCAATACACTCTTGATCTTATGATCCATGGACGAAATTTACAACCGGACGAGCTCCCTTTCCTTGGAGTTGGACGAAATTATTGACCGACGAAATTTTCTGCAGTGGATATCGATATGCGCATGCAGTACGAAAAATGCAGGATGCAGAATCTGCATCAAGAGTACATGAAAACCGGTTTTCATGTACTCTTGTCTGCATGGATAATAACCGTTGCCATGCCATCAAGTCGCTGACAACACGTAACCAAGCATGCAACACCGCGAAATTCAAAATTTCAAGCGTGAACCACCTGCAGCTTTCCCGATCGGACTTTGCTGTTGGCTTGCGTAGTTCGGTTGTTGCATGGGTGCCAGTTTCTTCATTGCCATTCAAACTAATTTCTTGCCTTGACTCTGTTTCGAATTTCGTAAGGCTGATCCGTTTCACTCAACCATTCTTCTACACCAACTAGCTCACGCTGCACGAACGCGGTGGAAGGAGCTCGCAGTCGCACACCCGTATCTTGGCTAGACATCAGTTGCTGAAATCGCCCACATGTTTTCGAAGGCCAAACGCTTTGACGAATCCAGTAAGATCTTTGTGTGTTCTTGCATCTGGTCTGATCGTGGTTTGGCAGCTTATACGAGGCGCTGCACGTAAAAGTGTATATTTTTCTTAGTTATCAGCGGCGAACACTACTTCTATAGTACTTAGGCAGCTATAAAAGTATGGACACTATTCCTGTAACTGTTGCTCCTCCACGAACTGAACTGGATCACCATTTCTCCAGTCTCCAATACCGTAATCGCCCTTTTCCAATTTTCCATACTTTCCGTGGTATGACCTACCAACTGAACAAAACAGCTTTTTTTCTCTTGGCAGCAATTGAGCATGTGAAGAGGTGATGCAAAGACACAAGTGAAATCCGACCTCATTGAAGTAACTGTAACAGGCCAAGGGGATGGGGGGGGGGGGGGGGGGGGGGGCTACTCGGCCTAAGCACTGCCTGGCAAAGCTGGACTCTGCGGCAAGGTTAGTCTGTGGAGCCGAACCAACAGTGTATTACATGCAATGTGCTCGAAGTTCATTTTCCTAATACGTCTTTGTGCGTGTGTGTGTGTGTGTGTGTGTGTGTGTGTGTGTGTGTGTGTGTGTGTGTGTGTGTGTGTGTGTGTGTGTGTGTGGGTGGGTATGCGTGTGTATGTGTGTACATCGGCATGAACAGAGGCATGCGGCCCTCCGCCTGGCCACTACAATCCAAAGAGGGAGGATGTCATTCTCCATGGACCAGCATCATTTGCCAAGGCCAGCCGGTTTGTCGATGAAAGTATGTTTGCCGGTCACAGTATAATGATAACTGTTACTACAGTCGACCTACCCTTATAACGATATTTTTCTGGCAAACCAAATCACTCCATTGACGTGTGTATGCAATGCCTTACCTCTATAACAATATTGCTATAACGATATAAAATGGGCTGACCAATCGACATTTTCCATTTTATAACAATATCTAGCAGGGGATATGTAGAGCCCACTATCCAGGTAGGGCAAGCTTCACTTGATAAGCCGCTGGGACATGACGAAATGCAATGGGGGCACCAGTAGGCACCTTGCTGTGTACACAATGGGCATGTACGCCAGTGTTATGCTATAAAGAGTGTAAAAAATGAACAAAATCCATGCATTATGACATATGTGTATGAAATGAACCAGTTAGCCTTATAACAGTATTACCCTTATAACAATATTTCTTGGTTTAGCGCAAATATCGTCATAAGGGTAGGTCGACTGTATAATTATTATGTTGGCATGTGAGCGCCCATGTTGACAAAGGGATATTTTGACTACATTTCAGATTCCAGTACATGTGTTGGTCTACTAGTATTGTAATATCTGCACCACGTTCACATCAGTCATACCTATGCATATGTATGCACTTGCACATCAACATTAGCTCACAAACGCTTGCACACAAACACTTGAACACATACACGTACACGTGCACACACACACACTTGCACGCATACACATGCTTGCCCGTGTGTGCTCATTCACACTGATGTTTGCACGGGCCCAACCATGACGTGCCCACGGCAGTAGTTTGTCTTTGAATCACTGTCTTGTCATCGAGTCCAGGAGCCGATTCACGTGTTTTCACAGCCTGCTTGTGTATATGTATGTCGTTGTGCTTGGTCGCAGGAGAAGCGGCCGCCCTCGCAGGCCAGACTGATAGTAAGTTACTGTTCAATTGACACTACTGCTGCTGCTGCTGCTGCTGCTGCTGTTGCTGCTGCTGTCACTCTGCACTCGTTCTTAGCATGTCGGTGTGTGCATTCAAGATCAACATTTTGCAGTGTGGTCCTCATTCTGCTTTCACGTACTGTCATACCGTGTGTGGACATGTAGTTGTTATTCAGTTGACTCAGCAGCTCCTCGAGAGATTAGATGTTCTTTTATGTGGGAAGTGTTGTTTCTTATCTGCTTGGTATCCGCCTGGCACACGTCATGCCCGAATGTGTTTGTCAGCCTCTCTGTGTTATCGTTGCCATTGTTGTGCAGCCCTTTCTAAGCTCACCTGAGTTGACAGCCCTGCTGCCTGCGCTCTTCACATTACCTGTGTGTGCGTGTGTGTGTGTGTTTGCTGGCAATCGGGCTGCTCGAATCTTCAATGCTCTTGGCTGCATCATTGCCATCATCGTATCATCTCCCAGGAAGTACTATTAAAATCTGTTTTTTGTACTCCCTGAATTTCATCATATCTGCACTCATTTATTTTATTTTATTCCAAGCAATACATGGCTGGGGTAGCCAATGACCACTTTGCGTGGCGATAGCAGGGTTTTTATAGCCAACCACGGCTAACAAGGAAAAGAGTAGGAAGTCAAAAAGAAAAGGAAAGGAAGAAAGAAGCAAATATGGCTCATGTATTCCATCCCGTACAGGCAAGGAGAATGTTCCTGAGAAGCAGATGCCGGTGGCACAGACGCCCGTCATGAAGAGGAGCAGCTTCCGCACGCCATCTCTGCAGCGCACGCAGTCCATGAACCGCACGCCGCTGAAGAACAGCAACAGTCTCGGCGACCTGGTCATCGTCAACCCTGAGAAGGAAGAGGTAGGTTGCCGGCGAGCAATGGTGATTGTGTTGTTATTCTCGAGCTGTTATATCCGAGGTCGTTGTTCACGCAGCGGCTGACTGTACATTTATGTATTGGAAAGGCTTCCTGTCTGAAGCCTTTCCATACTGGTACTCGATGTTCCAGTTTTGTGACACGAGAATGGCACGAGAATTAGTGTACCGCTGAGTGTACCGCTATACACGTGGTCGACACGTAGTCGACACGTTGTTGATACTTTTTTGACACGTGACCCCGTCAACGGTCTGCTTTGTGCCAATGCCACTCGGTAAACGCCGATGTCGCGTACGACAAAGACGACTATCCCGTACGCGAAATAGTTGAGAATTGCATGACGTGGACCTGACGGCAAGGACAACTGCGAGGAGGCCCCTTTCGGTACCCCTGACGGGAAGGAGAACTGCAGAAGTCGACGAAGTCGAACGAGGAGGCCCCTTTTCCGTACCCCATACTGCAAAGTGCCATTGATGGATACCTTTTGCACCTGGAACGACCCCTTAAACGCTGTCGCGGCGACTATCCCGTACGCGAAATAGTTGAGAACTGCTGACGTGGACCTTTTGCACCTGGAACGGCCCCGTAAACGCTGTCGTTTCGGCGGAGTGAATGTGCAGGGTACTAGGGTGAAAAGAATTGCTGCAAAGACGTCCGCTCTAGGCCTTTGGAGACATCGTGGGAACTCCTTCAGGTACTATACAAACTGCTGACGTGGCCGTGGACATGGTGGGAATTCCTTCCGGCACCCCCGTACCGCAAAGCCAACGGTGGGGAAGGAGAAGTGCAGACGTACAGGAAGACGAACGAGGAGGAACCAGGACGAGCGAGCAATGGCAGGACTAGCTGGACCGTAAGTAATAGCTGAATTGTGCATGACAACTTGACATCCATGCGGAACTCGCCACTTGCCACTGCATATTTCTTGTCCACCAACAATGTCTCTCCTCTGTCCCCTGTGTGTCCACGGCCCTGTTGCTGAATTGGCCCGATGAATCGAATGTCTTCCGCAACTGGAACGGCCCCGTGAACGCTGTCGCGTCGGCGACTGAATGCGCAGGAGGGAAAATATTGCTGCGAAGACGTCTCCTCTAGACGACGGTAAGGCACCCCATTGATATGTTGCCAGTGTGTGCCAGGGTATCGCGCGATGGTGAATGAGGAATGATGAAGGGTACGGTGGGACTGTAGACCTGTTACCTTCTACTAACACGTTATCAGGTGGAGAGTGTCTTGTACTCACGTTATCAGGTCGAGAGCGTATTGTAGTCACTCTCTCTATTCCTGTACTTCATTACGTTTAAGGTGTACGTATAACTTCTCAAAAAAATTTAATGGTCTACAGTCGTGTCGGAAGGGTACGGTGGGACTGTAGACATGTTACCTTCTAACACGTTATCAGGTGGAGAGTGTCTTGTACTCACGTTATCACTATAATTATCAGGTCGAGAGTAGGCACCGGCGGATAATGCTAGTTATATGAGGAAATTGTGCTACTAGCACTGCTAGTTATTTGGAGCGATTGTGCTAGTTATAATGCTAGCAGTGCCGATAGTGCTACAAAAATGTCAATCCATGCGGTGGGAAATAATGACTTCCCAATGCAGTCACTCGGAATATGGCAGTATCACAGGGCAAACACGGTGGAAACATAACACACAAAGAAAATTGACATTGAACTTCAAGACAAGCATTGCAAATTTGGAAATCAAATTTGCAAAAAGTGTGCACAATGCTATATTTAGCTCCAAGTACAAGTCAGTGCAGTTTGAACAACTCCGTAAACGCAGCAAACAGTGCCAAACACGCTTCTGGCAACGGTGGCATCCAGCATACATTTTCATCTGGACGTAGTGCTAGTTTCACACATCGATTGTGCTAGACAAGGTCACATTTGGAGGCTTTATGCTAGGGCAGTGCCGGTCTTCCCCACATGGGTCATTATGCTAGTTATTATGCTAGCATTATCCGCCGGTGCCTAGTCGAGAGCGTATTGTAGTCACTCTCTCTATTCCTGTACTTCATTACGTTTCAGGTGTACGTATAACTTTTCCAAAAAAATTAATGGTTCACGTCTTCAGATAGAGAGCGTATTGCACCCACTGTCTAGTCTCTGTAGTGCATTGAGATTTTGTTGATCGAACATGAAATGGATACACAGACAAAGCCAGGCCAAGTACATGGCGAGATGTCGCCAGAAGAACGTCTTCAGGTAGAGAGCGTATTGCACCCACTGTCTAGTCGATTTTGTGGATCGCACATGAAATGGATACACAGACAAAGCAGGCCAAGTACATGAGAGAGTGGACGATGTGCAGATCGACACGGCCTGCGGGTACTTCATTAAAGTTACCCGTGACATAACTAGGATAAAAGTTAATCACTGCAAAAACATTGCCAAGTATGTGAGCACTTTGGACTTGACAGAAGAGTGCACGGGCGACGTTGACAAAACATACCGCGGTGACTGTCACTATCATGACAGCAGGGCACATCGCACGCAGCATCGCAGATCGTGTCGAATTGCGCATCATAATAATTATTGCAAAATTGCTCCTATGCATGCAAGTGGATTTCATTGCACTTCTCAGTTTGGGAAATGCTCGATTATGACAATTCTCCGTGTGAGTGCACTAGCCCTGAACAGACATGTAGGTGAACCGTTTGTAGTGTCTCATAGCCTACCTCACGACCTTCTGCTTTCTTTCTTCATCACTTGTATCTTGCAGGTATATCATCCCGTGACGACCACATTGAAGTCTGAATTTGAAGTGTGAAGATGCTTCAGCAACCACATCGTACTTTTCCATTGCTTTCATTGTGCTTCTACTGTGCATGTGTGTAACTTGTGGGGTAAACATGTGATGACATTGTATGCTGGCTACACAGTCAGATGTTCATGCGTCTAACGTACACCTGCATGTTATGCATTGAAAAGGGTTTGCCACTTGCGATCCTGGGACGAGTATCAGGTCCGCTTTGTCCTGTGTGGGCAGTATCAGATTGCTGTTCACTTCTCTATCTGTTGGATATGTGACTTTCTGCAAGTTTCTGGTGTATGATGGCCACGTCCTTGCTTGTCACTTTGTATGATATTACATTCTGTATTCGCTGCTTCCATGGCATGGTCTGCAAACTGCAATCCTTGGGCAAATGTCATGTTTGCTATGTTGTGCTTTGGCCGTCAGCTTGTCTACACGCTGTAGTTGAATTATTTTTGTTTCACAACTGACTTCCTCAAGTACGGTGGTCACTGCTTTGCATGGCATTATACATGAAGAATTTCCTGTTTGTGTCGTGTGCATGTGCGTATGTGTGCGTGGCCACGTGTGTGTGCCGTGTGCATACACATGTTTGTGTATCTGTGTGCGGGGTAGCGAGGCGGGGAGGGCTGGTATGTATCAGTGTGTTATTGCAGTCGCATGGCTACATACAGTACATCGCGCGCGTGGTCATCATGTTTACCTTCGGGGTTGGGGTGGGGAGGGAACGGAAAAAGAGCTGAAATTATCCATATAAAAATCGCTCTGTGAGCGGTTCTGAAAAACCTTTACTGGTACTGCCCCGTCGTAAAAGTAAGAAATTAGAACTGGCCCATTGTCCCCCCAAATGCGAACTGATCCACCTAAATCGCGAATGACGGGACCCGAACGCACCAGTAGCACGAGGTTCCTTCCTGTGGATGCAGATGGGGACGTTGGTCAGGACCATAGGCCATGTACTGTACTAGCGGTAGGCTTCCCTATCAAAATAATAAATTCTACTGCTACTACTGGTGTTACCCTATGATAATTGCCGTGATCCTGTGCCCTCCCGACCTCGTGCTACTGGTGCGTTCGGGTCCCGTCATTCGCGATTTAGGTGGATCAGTTCGCATTTGGGGGGACAATGGGCCAGTTCTAATTTCTTACTTTTACGACGGGGCAGTACCAGTAAAGGTTTTTCAGAACCGCTCACAGAGCGATTTTTATATGGATAATGGTACTTAAGGTTGCGTTTGGTTGGGCATTTTCAGAATGTAAATGACAACCATTCTGGAATGGGAATCGGCAAGAATCACCTGACCAAACTAACGCGCCAGAATCAATTAGGAATCACTTGACATAACAATTCCATAATGTCGTTGTGGAACGGCGGCTGTCTTTTCTTTTACCCGACTCTAGTTTCCTTGAGAGAGTCATGGTACTTCTGAGTGCATGATTTGAGGCACTTGAACCTGGTGCTACATTGTTTGGCTCGTGGCAGCCATTATCATTTTTGATTCCGGAATGAGCGCATATGCCCATTCCAGCATGTGAGGTGGAATGATCATTCTCCAAAAAGAATCATTCTCAGCGATTCCCATTCTGGAATCATGTGGAATGTGACCAACCTAACACACTTTTTCGACCAACCAAACGGGCGAGAATGATTCCGAGTGATTCCAAGTGATTCCCATTTGGGAATGTGACCAACCAAACGTAACCTTAGTCAACGTGTAGCCGATACTGTGGAGCAGGCTCTGACTTGTATGGCTGATGCCATTTGAAATGTTCTATAGCGAGGAACGTCACGTGACATAGGCTAGCCGCTCAAAGGGAATCAGGAGCGGTGATCAGATGTCATTCGAATAACTTTTTAATTGTTGAAGCTTGCTGTCTACAGCATTGGATAGCTTTAATTGAATAGCTTTTAATTTTTTAATTTCTGGTCCTCGTTTGCTGTGAAGGTGAGGCGCTTGCTAGCCGAGCAGAAGAAGTTGTACGAGCAGCTGAAGTCAAAGGATGAGCAGCTAGCATCAGTGAAGGCTGAGCTTCAGGTAAGCGTATGGCTTGTTTTTGTACGTTGTAGGTTTTCACTTTTGTGACAAGCTCTTGGCTGAGAGTCTTGAAGACATACGAATGATACGATACTAGTGTCACACGGCATGGTGTGTGTCTGTCTGTGTGTCTGTATCTGTGTGTGTGTGTGTGTGTGTGTGTGTGTGTGTGTGTGTCTGTGTGTGTGTGACTTTATGTAAGTATGTGTCATGAGAGCTTCACCATTACGTCATCCGATTGGCAAGCTAATATTGGCACACGCACTCTGGGTTTTAAGGTTGCGTTTTAACTTTTAACCCTTATCCGACCGTCAAAGTGGACAAATTCTCAGTCCCAGCGAGCCGCTGTGACTAATTTTGTTGATAACTTTAGTTGCCCTGGGGTAATATTGGCAATCTTGGGCTTTTTGGAAAGCTTGAGCCATGAGGAGTTCCCTAGAAACAGTTTCTAGCCTTCATTTGTAAGGGGAACAAAAATCCATCTCCAATTCCATTTTTTGAAGAGAAGTACAGCTCATCGACATGTGGACTATTTGTAGTCTTAGTTTTGTACTTTCATGCTAACACATTTTGAATATACCATCAGGGAAGCCTCCAGGCAAAGTTTTAGGAGGGCAATATAATCGTTGGCAAAGTTAGACGATTTGGAAACTTGTTTCGTACGCGGTGTGAAACAGACCTCATTCAGAGACGTAGGGTTTTGCAAATGAACGGTGGGTCTTTCTAGCTTCTTTTGAGACCAAAATAGTGCAGATTCGATCAAAAAAAGTGAGTTACAGCTTGTTAAAATACTAAAATCATCTACGGATAGTCGTCGATTTTCGACTGGCTGGTCGGATAAGGGTTCAGCCAGATTTGAATGCTGACTTTGAGAATTCATTCTCTATTGCCCTCGGAGTTCAGCCTCGTTTCCCAGCCCTGTGCCAATGAGTCCACAAAGGACAGAGAAATACTGTCTGTAGATTGAGGTGCTGCTGCTGCTGTACTACTGCAACTGTTCCATGGGAAGCAAAGCACGTCAACACAACATGCTTGTCGGTTGCACTGTACCGCTGCAGAGGCTAACACAGGATGAATCCAAGGACCAGGTCGAACAAGACTCAATGGCCGCTGAAATGGAACTCCTCCGCAACACCATATCCATCTTGAGCCAGCAGAAAGAGGAACTAGGTAAGAGAGAGAGAGAGAGAGAGAGAGAGAGACACACACACACACACACACACACACACACACACACACACACACACACACACACACACACACACACACACACACACACACACACACACACACACACACACACACACACACACACACACACACACACACACATACACACACACACACACAGTCATTACTGGAATAACCTAAAGGCTGACCGCCTTCGACGGTATAGTAATGTATGACCTGGTAACAGTTGAAAGCGACTTGAACTTGTGTAATGCCTACGATTTTGCCACTGGACTGCCTTTACGCGTGGACAGCGCCACTTCCCCCGATTTCTTAATTTGGGCTATCCTGCAACTATCGTCGAACCTTTTGTCCGAAATAAATGCCAGGATCCTGCCAACACCTTGAGCTTCTGATACATCGTTGGTTGAAGTCAAGCTTTGAGTTTTGGTGTTGTATTCGGACGTCAGCAAAATGCCAATTTAAATAATGTGGCATAACATACCTGAAATATTACGTCAATGAGATATTTTGGTTTTGCACTCAGTTTACGTGGGAAAGTGACCCTGCTTGCCAGCAATATGAACACACCTTGAAGTAGAGATGATATCAGGACATCAGTATGTGGATATACATGTAGGCTTGATTTGGATTGCCTGAACCAAACCTTCAAAGCAGCTCGCCCCAAGTGTTGGGGTAACTGGAGCAGGACTATACACGTGTGTATGTGCATGTGTATATGTGTATGCCTATGGGTGCATGCGTATGTGCGTTTGTGCATGTGTATATACGTGCGCACATGTGCATGTGCACGCGTATTTGTGTGCGTGCGCACGACGGCTGTTTTCGTCGTTAGTTTTGCAGGCGGAAGCTGCGGCCGTCCACACGGAGTCTGTCGAGTCTGACAACAATCACTTGCATGGTAAGTGAAGTATAGAGTAAAGTTTGCACATTCGCGTTACAACCCACTATACAATTGTATTGAGAAACTTACCCCGCTTAGGGGTCGTCCATAAATATCGAACTTTTTTCACAAAACGAAATAATTTCGTTATGGGGTGGGAGGGGGTTGACCAATTTCGTTTCAGAAAACATTGATTCATGTACATGGCCATTGTATATGCACGTATGTCAACATTTTTTACGTTCTGAGGGGGAAGGAGGGGTTGGTCTAAACTAAAATAATTCATTTGGTGAAAAAAGTTCGATACTTACGGACGGCCCCTTAGGAAGTTTGGCTTGTGCCAGGCTACCACCATGCCTGATTACACCAGTAAATAAAAAATAAATAAAAAATTCGACGGGTTCGCGTACCGGGCAGGTCAAGAACAAGGAGTCGTACAACTCCCTGGTCAAGAACCACCTTTCCGCTTCCGCGGGACGCCACCACCCCATGATCAGGCGTCAGATGCGGCTCCTAAACGGTGGGGGAGGATAGATCAGATCCACCATCCATACCATACCAGTACACGAGTGAAAATCACTCCGTGAATAAAGCAGTGCGTGGCTCATTGTTCTCAATGTTACAGCCAGTGCAACGCCCGGCTCTACAAGGTATTTTACTCACGAGTACAAATTTCACTGGCCAGAAAGTGCTTTTGTGATGGTAGTCATGGTATCCTGTGCATTAACGAATCTGTTATTTCACAAACTTCAGTATACTTTTGTTTTCGGTGCTTTCGGTGCATCTGTTTCATGCCTAAATTTTCAATAAACCGAACAAACGCCAACACACATTATCCAATAGGGAACTGCTTCTCTGTACCTAAAGTTTCTGTTCACCTAACCTGGCCTGTTGCCCTCTTACCGAAAATATTGAGCACCGAAAATTTCTGAAATTAGAGTACTTCGCAGCACACTGGGGTGATGTGATGCCCTTAGGATTAATTGCCATTGCTCATATTAAACAAATGATTGTGACACAAAGTAAATTCTCTGGCAGAATGCATGAGAGGTTTTAGTTATATGACCTGGGTTGAAGCTTGCGCCCAATGCTACGGCTGGTCAGCATTGGCTTCAGCAAACATGTGGTGTGTGTGCGTGTGTCTGTGTGCGCGCGCGTGCATGTGTGTGTGTGTCTGCGTGTGTCTGTGTATTGCATGCTTCCTCTGCTTATCTTTGTAGATATGCTCTCATCGCTACGGCAGGACATTGATCAGCTGACGACCGAGAACAACCGGCTATCCTCCGATCACCAGGTACTAGTGCATTGTGTACTCGCTAGGGATAGTGAATGCTTCGAGCTTCATGGCTGCAAGCAAGCCAAGACGTGTTACTGTAGAGGCAGAAAATTTCGCCGGTCAAAAATTTCGTCCAACTCCTAAGGCCGCAACCACACTACGTAAAAATCACAGTACAAATTTTTATGCATATCTCAGTACAAGTCGGTACGCAACCACACTACACTTTTCGGTCTGCATAGTTGACGTTTTCACGCGAACAGCACGTGACGTTGTCGTACCAAAGCGTGTGCCATGCGCTGGAAAAGACCAGGAAATTCAAAAACAATGCTGATGCTGATGCTATGTACGACGACCAGGTACAAAAACAAAGTTGTACACAGGAGATGGAGCGCGAAAACGACAAACGTGGCTTTCTACAGGGGTGCGCCAGTTGCTGAAAACCTACAAAGCGCATTTTGCATTTCGCACGCGTCGGCATGACGATTTCTACTGTAATGCAGTTTGTACGTGATTTTGTACCTAGTGTGGTTGCAGCCTAAGAAAGGGAGTTCGTCCGGTTGAAAATTTCGTCCGTGGATCATAATAGTGTGTAGAAAAGCTGAACGAATCGACATTAGTCCGGCACTTAATTTAGTCCAAAGGTTCCTCTGACGAAAAAGACGAAATTAAATTCCAGACGAATATTTCTGCATATACAGTTCTACTGTCGTGGACATTGAAATCCGATGTGATGACCGGGGCCGGCACCCTCACTGCCTTAGCGCGTACATGCACTGTAGTTCACGTGCACACACGGTAAACATGAACCGGCAGTGCGCGTGGCTGCGAAGCCAGCGCCCCGTGGCCGCTTGACTTCTCGACGGATTTCAATGTCCGCTACAGTAGTAGTTATTGCCGTCTGTTCCTTTTCAACTGTACTTTTACGTAATCAAGTGGTGTGCTTCACTGTCCGAAGAGTGCTCAATGCCCATGTAGGACGGAGCCTTGTGCACAAGAGAGATTGGAAGCTGTGTCGCAACTGTACTTTTACATATTTTTGTGCGTTCTCATTTTCACTCCGTTGACTCAGGTTTGGCAGAGCGAGTTGAGCGATGCCCGCACCCACCGGGAGGTTGCCGTGGCAATGACGGAGCGCGTACAGCAGCTGGAGAGCGAGGAGCACCGCCTGACGCACCAGTGTGCACAGCTCAGTCATGAACTGGAACAGGTCACCCACCGGCTCTCCGCCGAAATCCAGCAATCAACGTTAGTACTACTGACCTCATCTGCTGTATAAGCGGAAATACTCAATCGGAAATATTCGTCTGGAATTTAGGGGTCGTCACAAAAGTTTTTTGTCGTCCCTGAAACGAACATGATTCATTTGGGGGGGGGGGGGGGGGGGAGAGAGGGTGAGAGCCAAAATCGCAATTCGACCGACACTGTACATATGACATGTACATGCATGCGATTTTCGTCGTCCAGCATAGCAAGCTGTGTTCGTTTCAGAGGGAGGGGAGGGGGTCCAAGTACGAAATGAACGATGTTCGTTTCAGGGACGACAGACAACTTTTGCGACGATCCCTTAATTTCGTCTTTTTCGTCCAAGGAACTTTTGGACTAAATTAAATACCGGACTAATGTCGATTTTAAACTCGGATACTTTTTTACATTTTAAGGCCGTCATTTTTTATATCTATGTTTCGCGTCAGTTCAACTTCCAGAATCATAATGCGAGAGGTGGAAAAAAATAAAAAGTTGCAAAATAATAAAAAAGGCTCATCAGAGGTGTATAACTGTACATAGCACAATAGCTCGTGCATGGTGTACATCCGAAAGAAAAATCGTACATCGAAGCACAAAATCTGCATCACTTTGGACAGAGGAGGCAACCGTTGGTGCCCTTGCTTCGCTGGATTATTGTACTCAGCCTTCAGCAGCTCCGGAACGACGCATCCTCTCAGCTTGAGGCGATCGATGCGGTCTGTTGTAAGCTCATAGAATACTGCTCGCAGATGCCGAACAAACGATTTACCAACGCTGGCCTCGAGGCCATTTCTGAATCCCAGCTTCGCTAGTATGCAACCAATCCACACTGGTGACTCGCACGATCGTACACTAACTGTGCATGGTTGATTTTTTTATTTTTTTCCGAAAAAAATCAAAACGTATGCGTGCGGACGACGCGAAACATAGATATAAAAAATGATGGCCTAATGTCGATTTGTCCAGCTTTTCTATACACTCTTATGATCCATGGACGAAATTTTCAACCGGACGAACTCCCTTTCTTTGGAGTTGGACGAAATTTTATTTTATTCATTTTTTTCAGTGATTGGTGTAGCTCAAAGACCACTTGGAGAGTATTGTGTATCTGTGTGTGTGTCTGTGTGTGTGTGTGCATGTGTGTATGTGTGTACACGTGTGCTCACGTGCGTGTGTACAGTACAATGGCCGGCAGCAACGTGTCGCTGGAGTTGCGAGTGCAGTCGCTGGAGGATGTGCTGCTACAGGAGCGCAGCAGAGTGCACGCCACCGAGACTAGCCTGCAGGCACAGACCGAAGCCAGTAAGCGCCTGCAGCAAACCATCGATTCGCTAGACCTGCAGCTCGAGATGACAGCGGAACAGCATCAGAAGGAGATATCCACGTACAGCGGGCGTCTGCTCGATGCTGACGCAAATTCTCTCCAGTACCAGCTCGATCTCAAGGCCAGTGCTGAAGAGGCGGCCACATTCCGAGATCAACTCACGGCAGAGCTAGCCAAACTCCAGCTGCTCGAGGAGAACATGGAAAAGGAACGTTCGGCGCGTAGTGAGTCAGAGGTGAGCTTCGAATCTCGACTTGGTGAGCAGAGGCAGCAGATCTGCGGCATGGGAGAGCAGATTGCACAGAAGACAAACGAACTGGAAGCACTGCAAAGGTACAGCATTATGGTGTGTGTGTGTGTGTGCGTGTGTGTGTGTGTGTGTGTGTGTGTGTGTGAGAGAGAGAGAGAGAGAGAGAGAGAGAGAGAGAGAGAGGGGGGGGGGGGGGGGGGAGACTCACGTGGCCAGTTTATGACAGTGTGTGCATGCATGCACATGCGTATGCATCTGTCTGCGCTTGTTTAGCTAGCAAGCGGAAAATCCACATTTTCCTTTTGCCATCATCTGCCGGGCGAACGTTATTGTATTTCAAGGAGGCATATCCAATCATATTCTCCAAGCTGTTTCATTATTCCGACTCTTGTCTTGTCTTCACTTTGCTATTTCCCTCTGCCACAGTGACCTACTAGATGAGCGCACACGATTGACAGAAGCCCAGAGCTCGCTAGTGACGTAAGTGATTGTGTATGCGCCACGCCATGTTCAGCAAGAACACGGGGCGAACGGCTGTGGAATTTAAATTTTGCTCGCGGAATCACAGCATCGTGTTGCCGCTGCTTGAACATTCGCAGAGTGGCCATTACCTCGAGAGCGTGTAGAGTGTGCGATGCAGAAGCCGTACAGCGGGAGGGGGGGGGGGGGGGTCAACCTCCTAGCCTATAGTCAGTTTCAAAAAGATTAGCAATCCTGGCGATCGCCCGGGGAGTTTGCCGTCTTACCGTATGAGCGCTCAAGGGCTGGCTGGAAAAACTCACTGTGAACTCGAAGAAATATTCCGCGCGAAAGCATAAAAAATGACAACTCACTGACGTCGGTACTCGTACATGACTTTGTGTTCGTCTGCACGGTCTGGTTTACAACAAACGAGTTCTTCCTCGTATCGATATGGAGTCGACTAGTCAGAGAGGACACGTCGAAAGTCTGGTAAATATCATTTTGACGAGCGGGATGCGTCCCAATTCGTTTTGTGACCAAATACTAGTAGATTCTTTGAGCTGCCGTGGATGCAATTTACTCTCACGATGTGACGAAAACGGCATCGACACAGACTCATTCCCAAGGCCTTGATGTGGCAAAGCTATCCGTATGACTTCGACGACATTTTGAGAAAAGCAGACGCCTGTGAAAGCTGATAGAAGACGGCGTTGACTCCTAAATTCAAAATAAATTGGCGATCTTGTACTAAAATAATTCTCAAACAGAAATCGATCGATCGATGTGCCGGTGTATTCAACAACACGTAGCTACAGCGCAGTGACTTCCGTGCTCACTCACACGGTTTCAGTGTTGCGTGTGTTCACAACTTCACATGGCGTGAGCCAGGCAAGTGTCAGTCAGTTCGGCAGGAAACGCGAGCTCCAACAACAAGTCGGTTGGCGCAGCCACCTTCTTTGTCTTGACTCTTGTACAAAAATTGTGCCAGCGTGATCACCAAAACAATGAAAAAATGAAGAAAAAATGTTTGACTTGAAGATTTCCTGGGATTTGAACTCACAACTTCATGGTCAGCAGACAGCATTCATAACCACAAGGCCAAAAAGGAAGGGATAAATCGTGGGTTTTGATAACAAATCGATACTGGCTTCCAGGGCAAATTATAAACCATGAGAAAAGGCAAGAAACCTGGCCGAAATTCTAACTCCTTAACGGTTGGTCCAATTGTTCTGAAACTTTCACAGAACAATTTGCCATGCCCTAACAAGCCATTTTATGTACTTTGTTGTCCAATTTTCCCTTATCTTCATACTTTTTAAGACCCAAACTTGATTGCTAATCTTTTTGAAACAGACTGTAGAGCGTTCTTATTTTCATGTATTACAGTGTATGCGCAGTTGAGTCACCGTGTATACATTGGTATGCTGTGCTTGATGACATCATAGCCTGTTCGTTCTGCTGGTCTTGATGACATCATAGCCTGTTCGTTCTTCGGCGCCCGACAGTACTGTAGTTGTTAAATTATTCTCTCTTGGCCCATTCTTACTTTCTTCAATGTCTTTCTGAGACTGTTTGACCCATGGTGAGGTGTACTTGGTCTTGCTCAGATAGCAAGCTGCTGTTAGTGCCTAAGGGGGGGGGGGGGGCATCCGCCATTGTTGATAATTTTCACGGAATGAAAAAAGTTTAGTTACAACCCTCCCCATCCCCACACCCCTGAATGAAAACATATTGACCTGGTGGCTAGAATGGATCGATGTTTCGGCTATCAATATTTTTTCGAAACGACCTCTCCTCGACCCATCAAAACAACATTCTGTTCTTCATCATGCTTTGCTCCTGTACAACGTGCAGCGTGGAAGACCAGCGAGACGCTCTTCGGGCTCAGTGCTCGGACCACACGGCTGAAATCGATCGACTTGCCAGGTGAGTGCTTGTTATGTGTGTGTGTGTGTGTGTTTCCTCTCTATCTCTATTTCTAGGGGTTCTCTCTCTATTTCTCCATCCCTATCTCTCTCTCTCTCTCTCTCGCCCACCCCCGTTAAATTTAATGATGTTTGCGCTGAGTGTGTTTCACGGTGCATGTGTATCTTTCTGTCTCTATGCCCGGATGTTTTGTGACCACCTGTGGAATATACGTCATGCCCATGCGTGTACCTTTGCTACTGGTATTCGCTGCAGTGACAAAGCTGTGCTGCGGCAGAAACTGGAGCAGGCCTGCGACACAAATCAACAGTAAGTTCCTCCGATGCACTGGCAGGTGTGTGTATGTTTTGAGGGGGGGGGCTTTGAACTTGAACACTGCCGTTGGTGCTTAATGCTCATCGACCTGTCAAGCCAAACTGTTACTGGATCATTTTGACTCGGACCTCTCACCGGTATATTCGAGTTCATTTTCATTGAGTTGACAGCAGTACTTTCTATCCCATGGTACACTCGGGGTTGCTGTCTGGTGATTGGTAAAACCGTGAAACTCAAAAGTCACAGCAGACACGCTTTGTTTCCTTCTTTCAAGTTTGTGTATATCCCATGGTATGGTGTGTCCAGGGTACTGTGTATATTGAAGTGTTGCATTGGTCTTGTTCTCTCTGCTTGTGTGTAGGCATCTTTCCGGTCTGGAGGAGCAGCTTACGATAGCCAAAGAGGAAATCTGCAGGTTAGCTTTCTTGTGATGTGTCTGACGTTAAATCTCCGTCTCTCTCTTTCTCTCTTGCTCGGCTCTCTATAATAATAATAACTTTATTAGGATGGCCCAAAGGCTGACCGCCTATCTGTCTTCTGAGCAGCGATGAGTTTCCTTTGCCAGAATGCCACCTGTAGTTTGAAGTGGATTTTGTTCTGGCACTTGCATCTATGCAATTATTCCAACTCTAGTCTCCAGACAACCATTGAGAATCATCAGACCGTTGAGGACGAGATGGACAGGAAGTGGCAGGAGCAACTCGTCCAGTCTGAGGAGAAGGCTCAGCGCGTCAACCAGGAGCTTAGCAGGTATGCCTGTTGGACATGTAGTGCGTATATTTGTGTACGCCACGTGTACGCGGTGGTGTTGGTACATCGCCGTGTTACTGTGGTGTGGAAAGCGGTCTTCGTCTTGAGTTCGTCATGTCCAGTTGTATGTCCGTCGTGTAGTAATAAACGGTCTTCTACACGAGTTATCTCGTCCATTGTCTAAATGTGAGTTGACACGGTACTGGGAGGCGGAACGAGAGATTCCAGTTACAAGACCATGAGCCAGCTGCTGCACTGGGCGGAATCTAGTCCGTGCACATCAGAACATGGGTACTGTCAGACCAGTAATGTTAACGAACATTTAATTATAACGATTAAACGAATTTAAAAAATTCGTTAACATTTGAAGTCGTTATGTAATATGTACTAAACGATATGTACATGTACAGTCATTAAATTTTGCCAGTTTTGAGACAGAATTCGTTAGAATTTCACCACGTTAACCCAAAAAAATCCGGAGATCGTAAACTTTAGTAATTGACGTTAAAATATCTGGTCTTACAGTATGGTCTTTGGCTGCGTTCGTTTTTAGCTACATGGTAGAGTAGAGTAGAGTCACTCTACCGATAGAGGTAGATGGTAGAGGCAAGTGTACGAACGCTGTTCTACCAGATCTAGTAGTTTACACGATGCGTACGTGAAATGTTTCTTTTTTTTATGGAGTTGTGTACAAATCCTTGATCTTGCTGGAAATCCCGTAGCTCTACCAACTTCTACCGGATTCTACCAACTTTTTCCCGGTAGAGCCGGTAGAGGAAAGTAGAATCTACCCTTTTGAGTAGATTTTTTTTCAAAAACGAACACCTCTACCGAAAGAAGTAATTTCTACCCAAACCTGTAGATCATCAACAACGCCCGCTGTAGAATACATGTATAGTAAAAATCAAGAGTGCAGAACTCTCTCAACTGTGCAACTGCCGCCGATGGTAAGCCGTCAGTCTGTCTCGGTTCATTTCCAGAATGATGTCATTTTCCATGATGTCACCAGCTCAATGCATGCGCACAAGATGCGAGGCTGACCGTGCGCAATGCAGTTTGTGTACTGTCTTCATGTGCATTGCATCACAAACAATGACACGATTCTGAAAATGTTGTAACCGGACTTGTTAAACAGTTCGACCGCGTTTCGTCAGGGGATTTCAGACTTCTATTTACTAGCGGGGTTTATGCGCTAACTGGACTCGTTATAATCAGGGAGGACCTGTAACTACATGTTGCCTTCTTCTTCTCTTGCAAGACTTCTTGTGTGTTTGTGCTGTTTGTATCCTGTAGGAGGTTGATTGATGCCGAGAAGAGACTTGTCCACACAGTCTCCGAACACCAGGAGTACGTTCTGGGACCGTTCTCTCTCTCTCTCTCTCGATCTATCTCTCTCTCTCTCTCCCTCTCTCTCTCTCTCTCTCTCTCTCTCTCTCTCTCTCTCTCGTTTCCTCTGCACGCAACACTGCTATATCCGAGCTCTAGCACCTTTGGTTCTGTGGCGAGTGTCCTGTAGCCCTTGTGAACTAGCCGGTCATCGTATATGTGTGTGTATGTCCACGTGTGCATGTGTTTCTGATATGTGTGTGTGTGTGTGTGTCCACGTGTGCACGTGTTTCATGAACACAGAGCGCGTCTGCAGCTACAGGAAAGACTGCAAGCCGTGGAGGCGCAGCTGGACACCGCGCTGGCTGAGCAGGAACAGAACGGCGAAGCAGAGAAGTACGTATGTGTCACACGCGCTAATGCAGGGCTGATAGTGCCGGGGTTCATATGTCCCAGAACAAGATAGTCTGCTTCCAGGACGTGTTTATATCCCCAAATTTAAATAATCCCTCTTGCTTACGATTACCCTGACTACGACACGCATGAAAAAATCATTGGTGACCAATGTGCTTTGTTGGGAAAAGTGGAAAAAGTCAAGTGTATGTTGTGTAACTTTCTTGAAGACAGGATGCTACTTATCCCTATGCTTCATTGGTTCTGGTTGCTTGTACATGTATTTCATTTGGAGAGAATGCCCGAAAACTGGTTCGTGAATTTCGGAGTCCTTATTGCTGATGATGTATAAGAATAGCTTGAGATTTGTAAATTTTCTTTCCCTGTATGTTGGAACAACCAACTGTATGTTGTGTTGTCATATACAACTATACTATTATTATTATGACGGCTTCTATCGTCACGATACACATGTGCCAAAATACATGTGCTCCGTAACCCGTGTGGAACAGGGCCCACTCTTTTCACACTTTGGTCTACGAATGCACACACTCTATGATGCTCAAGCGTAAACTGTACGAAATGGTTCCGGGCTATCCAGTAGAGATTCCGGAATGAGAATGCTAATTCCAGCATGTGAGGTGGATTGATCATTCTCCAAAAAGAATCATTCTCAGCAATTTCCATTCTGGAATGGAACCAACCTAACGGAATTTTTGACCAAGCAAACAGGCAAGAATGATTCCCAGTGATTCCCATTGTGGAATGGGACCAACCAAACGCAACCTTAGTGCTCAATGCCAAAGGAAGGGCAGAGCTAGTTCAGAGCTGTTGTCTGATGATCGCCTAGTGCGTGAAACTAGTTGTCACAGCACGTTCTTCATCCTCGTCTTCTTGTCGTATCATTCGTGTGTCCACGTGCATATTGCAGGTGGCGTGAGGCATACGAGACGCTGCGTGATCAGTGCGCCCCGTTCACCGCTCAACTGGAGATGTTCTCTGCAGAGAAGCAGCTGCTGGAATCGCAAACCTCCCTGGCCAAGTCAGAGGTAAGGGTTTGTATTGTTGTGGACATTCTAATCCGTTGAAAAATCACGCGGCCACGGGGCGCTGGCCTTGCAGCCGCGAGCACTGCTGGTCCATTTTTATTAGTTTGTGCATGAACTACAGACAGTACAGTGCATGAACTACAGACAGTACAGTGCGTGTACAATGTACACGCTAAGACAGTAATGACGCCGGCCACGGTCCTTCCACTGGACTTCAACGTCCGCAAGACAAGTTATATTATTCATACAAATTACGCTGGGTATTAAACTACACGACTTGTATAAAAAAAGGTTTACCGGGTGTTAGCAGCCGTCGTGAGTTCCATTTGAGAACGGACACGATCATTTTTTTCTTTTTCTTTTTAAACTTTATGTGTATGTGGTGTATGTGCCGTTGACCTGAGCAGGTGGAAGACTTGAATCGTCGCTACGGCGAGCTGCTGGGCCATCAGAACCAGAAGCAAAAGATCAAGCACATCATGAAGATCAAGGAGGAGAACTTGACCATGAAGCAGGAGCTGATGCGGCTGCGCGAGCAGTGCGACCGCCAGAAGCGCACCATTCGCCAGCACGAGGAGAGGCCGCGCGTTGCCTCGGTGATGGCCGCGTCGCGCAAGGCGCTCGGGGCGACCAACAGCACCTCGCTGCCGTCTCACGGCGGCAAGTCACGGCATTCGTCCGCCGAGGAAGGTGAGCGTCGTCCCGACAACCAGCGTACTGGCATTTCTTGATTCCAATCACATGTACTTGCACTCATAGCCTGTACCAGGGAGAAGAAAAAACTAAAATCCAGGGTCCTAAAAAAAAGTATTTTCACATCGCACACTACCCAGTGTACTTAACACTGAACTGTGTCACTGTGAGTTACTAGAGAGGTTCCGGGGTACGATTTTCCGTGCCAAAATCCGTGTGGGCGCTACGGATTTTTCCAGGCGTGCTCCATACGATTTTTCGGCACGGAGAATCCGTGTGGACTGGCTTTCACACGAACCATGTTTCGTATGGAGATTTTGCGTCATCGGGTGCAGAAAGATTTTTCGCGTACACATTTGGTACGAGAAACATGGATTTTCCGCGGGAAGTTTTGATTTCGGTACAAATTTTCAAAATAAAAGGGAATGTGACGTATTTGCGATCGTAACCTAGGCAATGACGGCAAACACATAAGTTCCGTACTCCGGAACATTTTACTGCTCGAAAACGACGTATAAAAAATCCGTAGCGCCTCTACGGATTTTGGCACGAAAAATCGTACTCCGGAACCTCCCTACTCTGTATTGAGATGTTAGCTAGTGGCTGAACCACGAGTTTTGAGGTTGACTGGGTGAATTTCCATTCCACCGTCACCAGTTACCGCCGCACCAAAGACTTATTTGTATTCTTCCTGTGTGCCTTTTTTGTTTCTGTGCAGCCTGGAAGGAGAATTAGATCCGATCGCACACCACTCTCAGGATCATTTCACTCCCCTCTGCTAAACTGGCATTGATTCAGCCTCAACATCTTGCATGCGTGAAGAATCGAACAAAAAAGTCTGCTCTGCCATGTGTACAGTTTTATGTGTGTGTGCTGTGGAGTACTCCATTTTTGTTTTCTGTTCTTTTTTTGTACATGTAACGTCGCCTAACGCTGTTAGTCCGTCATAAAACCATCCGTTCTCAAGATATCGTAACCGAATAGTGTTTGACAAACCAATTGAGGGGACAACCCTCGTCATCTGATTTCATATTCATCGACATCATTATCACCGCGGTACTGCACACGGCATCATCTGCAACTCGCGTCTAGGCTGCTAACTGTTAGCTTGACAAACCCTTCTTGCTAACGTGTTTGTGTGTATGCTCGTCTCGTTACCATTAGATTAGGTAGTAACTACTAGCTGCTGGCATGTGGCTTCCTCGAACAATGGATGCCCCTGCTCTCTTTTTCTGCATCTGGGTTCAAACTCTCTGTATGCACTGCATGCAACACTTTGTATGACTGATTTTATTCACGTACTTTTGGCTGTTATTACGTTTGCATCGTATTTGCACATAGGTTCATTTTTAGGTATAACAACTTTAGTGGTTTATGTACTGTTGTTGATCCATGTGGGTACATGTGCAGGTGTGTGTGTGTGTGTGTGTGTGTGTGTGTGTGTGTGTGTGTGTGTGTGTGTGTGTGAGAGAGAGAGAGAGTGTGTGTGTGTGTGTGTGTGTGTGTGTGGTCAGTGCGGGCGGTGTGGGCGGTGGCTTGGTCCGGCATGTGTGTGCCTCAACGGTGGATGCCGCAGTGCCACCTGGAACTACCGGAACGTCGGCACCGGCGGAGGGATGTTGTGCCGCGCATTGTGACAGGTGTGGTCGCTGCTTTCGCAGTGTCCGGGGACGGGGAAGGCATCGCTGTTCAAGGGTGGCGCATAGACCAACAGCAGAGGAGCGCTCAGCCTTCCAGCACGTGTGCATATGCGGCAAGCGGATGCGACTACCCATGCACCTGGAGCGTCATCGAGCGTCGTGTCCTCTCTCTCTCTCTTCTCAAGTTTCCCAGTGATGGGATCACGTGACCCTTTTGCGGCAGTGACTCTACAGGACAGGTGTGTGTGTGTGTGTGTGTGTGCTCCGGGCATGGTTAATTGGTTTGCGACTGTCCAAGACAGTGCATATCTGCATGGTTTTGAGCAGGGAATAGTACAATACTTGTACATGTATTGTACTATTCCCTAGCTTCAGCCCACTCCAAAGGGTGCCAACGGGCAGACCTCTAACTAATAAGCCACTGATCCGCCTCATTTGCTGCTGCAGTTGTTGAGTGTTTGCTGGTGAACTACAGTCTACTCTTCATGCTGGTGCATTTATCTGCAAGCACCACGTGGTTTCCTTAGGCACGATACTCAGTAGCACGAGATGACCACAGACCAGACTCAGAAAATGACCTACATCGATTCTCGATACTGTAATTTCATAAAATGCTGGTGTAATATCTTCGGTTTTTCGGTGAATCTCTTTCATTCCGAAGATTTCCATACATGTACCAGAAGCTAGCTGCACAAACACCGTTACAGGCATAATCCTACTGGGACTGCTTCTCTGTGCGACAAATAATTCTGTTCACCTACATGCAACGTGGTCTAGACTTTTAGGCTCATACCAATTTTTTTCTGAAATCAGAGTAGCACAATGTCATGTACATGTTTAGGACACCCAAGGTGGCAGAGGTCCTATCTAATTATTATGTGCATGTACGTGTATAATGTACCTAACACATGCACGCTCTCCCGGATACTCATGCAAGCACCGGCCCTCATGCACTAAGCTACCTGCTCCCAGGTCATGTGGGTCTCAGGGGGACAAGGGACAAATACAACTCAAAGTCGCCTGTACATGATGTATTTCAAAAGCCCTCAAACGCCAAAGCTGCCACACACACCATTTGACCATTTGACGCCCATCGCTGGAGGCGATGCTACAGCAGAAGCCATAGCAACTTGTGCTGGGATTGCACCATTCAACAGCTTGCAAGGCTGAAGAATTGACCGCCACTATTCAGCCTGGTCTACACCACACAGCTATGAAGTGGCTTTTTCTGGAATCCCAACATTTTTGGTCTTTTTTCGCACACACACGCACTTTTTTTCTGGCCAGTGCCCCCGCACCTCCAAGCTAACTCTGCACACAAGAACAGTATTTCTTTCTGCCAACACTGGTCTATTGCAAGATTGCCTGAGTTGGCAACCGGCCACAATAGTGACAATGGCTACTGGAATACAACAACCTCAGTGGACTGAAGGATCAAGTAATTGAAAATTCTGAAGACTTAATAGTACATGACTGTATTATTTAAAAAAAAAACTGTAAATTGACTTGTAAAAAGAGCTACGGATCTCAGCTGAAAACTGCACGACTATTGCCAACCAAAGTTGGAAGGCAGCATTAGATCTAGAGATCAGCGTACATCGGCGTGTAGAAGTAAATGAAAGAGAATTTAAAAAAAAACTGAAGATAGCGTGTTTGTTGGTATGTGCATGAGCTTTGTGAAAGTGCTCGAAACAACCATAGGCGGTTTGCAACCAAAGATAGGATGTTCCAACCGAAAATTGATCTCTATTGCTTACCAACAGAATGGGAAAGAGAGAGAGAGAGAGAGAGAGAGAGAGAGAGAGAGAGAGAGAGCAAGAGAGCGAAAGCGAGAAAGTGATAGAGAGCGAGAGAGAGAGACTCCAAGTGTGTATGTGTGTGTGTGTGTGTGATAGAGAGAGTGAGAGAGAGAGAGAGAGAGAGAGAGAGAGAGCGAAAGAGAGAGAGTGGGGGGGGGGAAGAGGGAGAGAGAGAGAGAGAGGGGGGGGAAGAGGGAGAGAGAGAGAGAGAGAGAGGGGGGGGGGGGGAAGAGGGAGAGAGAGAGAGAGGGGGGGGGAGAGAGAGAGAGAGAGAGAGAGAGAGAGGGGGGGGGGAAGAGGGAGAGAGAGAGAGGGGGGGGGGGAGAGAACGAGAGAAAGTGATAGAGAACGAGAGAAAGAATAACAGACAACAGAGAAGAGGCAGGATGGAGAAAAGACAGATTCTCAAAGCCGGCCCAGGCAATGCAGAATTGAACAAAGTACAAGACCGCACTAGCAGAGGAGGTGTCTAAGAGAGACACCTGCCTTGATCAGCAGCAGAAGTAGCAGACCAAAATTGGTCCACAGGGACACACGTCCGCCGTTGAAGATAAGCTTACGGAACCATTGAAGGGAGAAGAAACCAAAAACTGGAACATTATGTCAATAATAGTTGAGACAAGAGCTGTGGTTGGTGAACGAGAAAAGTGGGGTGAGATATATTTCCAGGAGTCAGGGAAGAGTTTGGGTAGATGGGTACAGGAAGTTCAAGCAGGTAAGGGAGCACTATCGACGCAGGGAGAGGGGCAAGGGAAGACAAATTATAAATATACAGCGCTTGGTCACTAGCTACTCACGCTATGGTAGTCCAGGCGTAGCGGTGGACGTCAGCTGTGGCATGCACATGACACGCACGGCGGAACGATCGCGCTGTATTGACGGGAACACCGCTTTGTTAGAGGCAGGACATTGTTGGCCAGTATGGTAGGAAACGGTTGTGATAGACGCGAGAAATGGACATGTTAAGAAATGATGCTGACGATGATGTGAAGCGATAAAAGCACGAAGAAATATATGGTCCGTCAAAAGTGCCGGGCGAAATGTTCGTATTACTGGAGAGATCTTAGAGATGTGATTGACCCGTAGCTCATAGGCTCAGAGGACAACGAGGCCATACTTCTTGGTGGTGGCACAGGCTTCGGTCTGCCACGCGAGTCGAACAGAGCCGGGTAGTGACGCTGCGTGCTGCTTACGGCCGGGAAGTCCACTAGCGACACGGCACGCTTGTTGAAGCGGAAGGCATGCTTTGGCAACGGCATAGGCACTCTGTCAGCAGCGGGGACGGCGCAAGCGGAGGGAACCGAATCAAGTCTGCCCGTTGCCCAGTTACTCGTACAGGTCTGTTGGTGCGACTCGGCAGCAGTACTCGTGTCAATCTCCGGAAGACTATTAGATGAGATGTCGGAGAACTTGCGGGCATAGTAGATGGCGGGACGCTGATGTAGATGCGGACTGGGAGCAGCACTCATGGCATCCGGACTCGGAAGGCTCGGGCAAGGAGTAGGCGCCTCTGTGCTGCTTTTCGTTCGGCGTTGTTTGGAATCGTCTGCAGGGCCAATCCCAGGAATGAGCTGCAGGAGCTTGCCGGCTTTCGGTTTGTAGCGCGCGAGGAACTTGCGGGTGCCTCGCCGGCCCTTACGCTTCGCTTTCTGTTCGGAGGCCGGATCTGCTCGAGCCGGAGTTGCCTGCGGTTGTGCCGCCGCACTATGGAAACTATCAGTGTGATCGGGGATTTCATAGCTGTGCTGTGGGCTAAGCAAGTCGCCGCTGCGTTGGCGAAATATGTAGTCCAGGCTTCGGCCGTGGGAGAGGAGCCCACCTGCGCTGTTGTTCTCCCGGAGGAAATCATGACTGTGCGTGTGCCCCAATTGGTCAGTGTTGCTGCTCGACTGGCTGAACATATCGTATCCGGATGGTGCAGAGGTCGCATCGCTGCTGTGTCGTGTCACGAGTTTCTGCGAGTTGCCGCTGCCGCAGTTGAAACTGCCCGTGTCGGCTGCTGCGCCAGCGCTGTGGCTGAGGTAGTCTCCGCTGTTTTGGCTCCTGGCCACCATGTCGGTATTGCTGGTAGAGTGGCATACGGCGCTGGTGATGCTCTTGGATATGGCGCAGCCTGTTAGTGCAGCGTCTTTATCACTGCCGCCAGGGCATTTGGGCAGTATCTGTCGTGCGACGGGCACGAAGTCTTCGGACAAGGCACGCCGACGCATCTTGCTCAGATTGGAGCGGAAGCGAGAGTAGAGCTTCGTGCCTCGCCGTGTCGGCGTTGCTCCAAAGTCGTCGACGCTTTTGGCGCCACCGGATGTGCTCACGTCGCCTGCCCGGGCGTTGGAACTGCCGTCGTCTTGCACCGGCAGTCCACATGATCGGTCGGCAGGCAAGCATGTGATGTAGCCGCCACTGGTATCGCTTTTGTCTGGCATGCTGTTTTGCCGTTCCACCGGGTTCTTGGCGTACGACGGTCCCAGCTCGACGGGAGTCGTAGCGGCACGAGAGGCACAGCCAAGGTACACGTCGTCGCTAGGGTGCGATGTGGCTCTAAAGCGTGTGTAGCAGGTGCTTTCCTCAGACTCCACGCTAGCCGTCTGCTTCTGCGGCGGGTGCGATCGTTGTTTGCTGGGAAGGTCGGCGGCAGAAAGGTGCGTGATGTAACCATTTCCATCCTCACTGCACACCACACCATCACACGACAATTGGCTCGCAGGCAGCGCGGAGTCGGACGGTACCCCATGGTTGCTGGCGTCGTACGGAAAGCGGGAAGCGATGACTGCGGCGCACGCGGCATTGCCGTAATCATAATCGACGGCGCGTGCAGCGCTGGCGGGGCGAGTGCGCTCAGGCACCACTACTGCTTGGGACTGCTCGGTGTGTCCCGCTCCGAAGCGAACATTTTGCCCTGCCACACAATCTGGCTTGGCAAGAGCGCCGACGTGATTTAACCTGCTGCCCACTAGCAGCGTGGACATGGCGGTCGGTGACAAACTACACAGAGTGCTTCCGCCAGCGCCAACGTCGTAGAGAATGCTGCTGCCATTGCAGCCAGTCGGAGACGATGCGTGCATGTGAGCACTGCATATCGAACTCAGATCGCCACTGAGCCGCCGCTGCTGGCATATGGTAGAGTGGTCGAGCAGCAGACCCTTGGCCCTGACCTGCTTGATTGCCTCGTAGATAGGCGACTTTGAAGAGGCGTTGCTCGGACGCGGTGCGGTCACGCAAATGCTGTCGCTGCAGGTACGGGGCCGCGTCGACTCGTTCTTGGCCGTTCGGTAGGAGTTGTAGCCGCTGATCGCCGAGCACTGGGCGTCGTTCGTAGCCAGGTCCTGGTGAAGTTGGAATTTGGACAGGGCGGCCTCACTGCCGCTGCTCAGTTCCAGAAAGGCCTCCAGCCGGTCCTCGTCCAAGCTATGCGTCGTCTGATGCATGTGCTGCAGGCGAAGTCGTGCGACGCTCGGCGTCAGGCTGCCAGAGGCGCCGCCACCGAATGGGTTTCCAGAGCTTTGATGCGAGGCACCAGTATAGATGTTAGAAGCCCAAGTGCTGTTGAGACTCTGCATGGGGGTAAAGTCTTCACCAGTACAGTAGCCCGAGGAAGTGACGTCGGCAATGCTAACTGTTGGCGGGTTTGCCGCCGCTGCATTGCTGTGCATGACGAAGGGCTGAGCGAGAGCAGCGTTGCACGTAGCCATACCATTGCCAGCACCGGCATCCCTGGCCAGTGTCGAACTGTTCTTTGGTGGCGGTGCAATCAGGTGCCCACTGACACGATCACCGCTAGCCTGCTTCGCTATAGAGCGCCACTGCTCTGCCACTCTTCGACCGATGGCGTCGTGGTCCGCACTGCTGTGCTGCCGAGGCCTTGGAACGGATGCTGCCTTACCAATCATGCTGGCGGCATCAGGTGGAGATGGAAGGAGAGGCAAAATGGAGTTGCTGCCGATGTTGTTGGCAGTGTTGGATATGGCCCGGGGCAAGCCATGCAATGGTCCCACCGCTGCCGATGACGCCAGGGATGAAATGGTGTCGGCGAACGACGTCGTCGCCGTGTTACCAAATGCAGCCGCCGTGCTCCGCACACCGTTACCCAGCTGAAAGGCGGCAGGAGTTGCCTGCAGCACGCCACCACCGTCGGCCTGCAGCTGTCCAAAGTCGACCGTAGCCGGTTGCGATGCAGCCTGCTGCTGAGCGCGTGTCCACACGTCATGCTCGGCGGCTACTGTGGCTGCCGGCAGTCCGGTCCAAGACGGCTGGTGTTGCAGCAACGCTGTCGTGCCACTGCATCCGCTGCCACCGACCAGTGGCTTCAGAGCGCCCACGGGCGACGAGTAGCTGTCCGTCGACACGGTTCTAGAAAGTGTTGCGCGATGAGTCGGCGCTGTCGCCATGGCAATGGGTGCGTGCATCGGCGCCACGGGCGGCAGCGGCTCAATCTTGGACTCGGTCGGTGGCACCGTGGCCATGCTGGCAGTCAGGGCGTCAAGCTCACCGAGAACTGATGCCACGCTGAGCGGTGTCTTGGACCAGCTGGTGCCCATCGCCAGGCAAGCGCTCTGTCCGGTGTTGGTGCGCGTTGCCGGCGCACTGCGAGATGCTTTGCTCCAGTCCGACCTGCTGGGTGCTTTAGGGGCTGGTAGCGGCACCATCATGCTTGGCCAGCTGCCGGCCTGGGACGCGAGTCGAGGCGGCAAGCTGCAGAACTCTGGCTGAGCCATGCAGCCGTCCGAGGCTGCGTGTTGCTGCTGCATGCCCTTGGTGAGCGGGTATGACACGACGCTGCGGCGGGCCAGCGGCGATTGCGTGCCCTGCGCCAGGCCGCGTTCCTTCGCTGCCTGGCTGTGGCGGTGCGGCACGGGCGATGCGCGGAATCGTGCAGCTTTCCGCTTGTTGTTGATCATGCGTGCTGGCCTAGTGCCACCACTGTTGTTGCTGCTGCTGCTGCCTCGTTTGGTGTGCGCCGCACTCTTCTTGCTGTTTTCCGATACCATGCTGTTCTGTACCAGGCTGGTCAAACCTGCCTTGACGAAGGGTGCTGTTGAGTGCATCATTGTTGCTGCCCCTGCTGCTGCAGCTGGTGGCGACGTCGTATCGCCTGAAGCAATCAGCGCCGTTGCTGTTGCAAGAGAGGCGCGACGTGTTGTCTGTATCGGCGGAGTTACATACGAACAACTGCTGCGCTGCGAGCACTGGTCCACGGCGGGTGGACAGTTTTCGGTGTTGTTGTTGTTGTTATTACCGTGCCGGTTGGTGCTGCTGTTGACGGAGGCTGTTCTAGCCGTGCGCGGAGTGGTAGGTAGTGACGAGGACAATACGCTGCACGGCACGTTTGCGCCGTGAACGAGGGAAGCCAGGGCAGGTCTTTCTGTGTGCGTCGCCGTGAACGGATGCCATGGGTTCGGACATTCGGCAGCTCTGGACGTGCCGTTGCTCGGGGCGCCGGTGTTGCCACCGCAGTCCAGGCTGGATGATAAGCTGGATGATAAGCGCGCAGCGTTACTACCCTCCCTAACGACACTTGCAACTGCTGATCGCGGATGGGACTTTTCCGATTTCCTCGAACCACTACGTGATGGTGGGACCGTAGAAGGTGTGGGCTCGCTTCCTGCCTGATTGGTCAGAAAGATCTTACGCAGCTGGGCCACCCGGCCTTCTGAAGTCCCGCTTGGCAGTGTTGTGCACTGCGGCTCAGGCGGCGGGGGCACAGACCTCACTTCTGTCTCCTCCACGAGGACTTGGGCAGAGCCACATGGCCTGCCCCTGACACTGCTGCTACTTGTGCTGCTGCCATTGCTGCTGCTTCCGTCGGCGTCCGGCTTCATGGAGCATGTATCTGCACTGCTAGAGGACATGCTACTGTCCTTGAGACCACTCTCAGCGCGACTGGCGTTCCAATCCGGTTTGTCAGCGGCTGCCACGGTCAGTGTGGTGCTGTCGATCGATGCACGCCTGGTCTGTAGCCCGCCAGGTCGCTGCCCTGTACCAGGGTTCAATGTGCCCACAGGCCGAGCTCGATAGGCATTCAGTGCGTGATGTGAGGACGAGGTCGACATACTGCTACTCGAAGACGGGCCACTTGGCTCCCAGTCGCTGCAGTCCAAACCGACATCCAGCATCTTGTCTCCTGCTAGCTCCGATAGGCCATCCACCAGCTACACCAGGGGGCAACCCGGATTTCGGCTCCAAACGGAAGCGACCGCGGTTCGACGGACTGACCTCTTCTGGGAAGGCATAGAACAACTCCTGGAGAAGTTCTCACTCCACTGAAGTTCTACCAGCCGTAAGTTATGCTGGGCCGTTCCTTCTTCAACCAAAATTACAAAAACCAAAGTGCAGATGTCCGCGAAGATCCAAGCCAGGCCTGGGCAGGGAATTGGTGTTGGCGTAACGTTGTTTCTCGCAGATCAGATGCATGCACTGTTCGGCTACAAGGCTCGAAAGTTTGAACGGGTTCGGGTACACACTTTTGATACGGCTACGGGATGCTCGCAAAGCTAGCTGACATTGCGAAGTTCCGAGAAGCCACAAACTGAAAACTGGCAGTGGAATCTGTGTCCATTTTATTTTATTTTTATCCTTCTAGCCTTACACAACTACTCCGGCTGAGCAACTGAGCAAGGAGTTTCTCGTCAGTGGTTTGACAGCATGACAAAGAGAGGAGAGAGACTGATTGTTCACTGGTTCATGAATGACTCGACTGTGTGAAAAGGTTCACCAGTGAGGTCAGAGTACAATGAGTCAATGTACCGAGATCAATAGTGCTTTCAGTAAATCAATTTTTTGGTAAAAATATCATCTGTGGACAGTTTCGTCCTGTAAAAAAATTCAAAACTTTACGATTAATAATCTTGCATTGATATCATGCAGATGCAGTATTTTCAGTCCATCGACAAGTATTTCTCATATTTTCAACATATTTCTCCAGGATGGAGAAGGAGTTCCTTCCAGTTGCCCCTCGTGTGTCTTTGAGCTACCGTTTTCTGCGGACGTACTAATATGCAAGATGATACCACGAGAAGAAGTCGCTCTTTACGTGCGAGGTTTGTAGGGAACTTTTGAAGGCGTGTAAAGTGTTTTGCTTGGGACCAACAAGTCTTCAAGTCCAATGCGTTGCTATGTGCTGGCCTTACTATTTGACCAGGGTATCTTGAAGATGAGCAAATGCACCGTACTCTCAGCGCATTCAATCAGGAGTGCAAGCTTAGATTGCCAGAGGTGAGGGAGTCAAATGAAAATATTTCACTTTCATTAAATTTTATTTTTGACACAAAGTTGAAGTTAAAGCACATTTCCGAACTTCTCAGTTTTGAACCATGCCTATGGTCGCTCCATGACTGATAAGTAGGCAGATTTAGGTTTTGCTTGGGGCTCTGTGCTTCACACACAACTACAGTTAAACCTCTTTAGGACGAACATCAAGGGACCGATGATGATGTGTTCGCAATAACGGGAGTTCTTCTTATCCATATGTTTTACCCAGTGAATACACAGGGTTTTATCCAATACAGTTACGAATACTAGTTCTTCTTAGGCAAACATTTGTCTTATCAGGTGTTCTTCCTAACGAGATTTCACTGTAGTTTATTTTTTTGCAAGACACTGCAGCAAGAAGCTATACCGTTTGGGAAAGGCATGCATGTACGCGCACGTGTATCATTGACATTGGTGTGTGTGTGTGTGTGGTGTGTGTGGTGTGTGTGTGTGTGGGAGAAAAAATAAAAAAGACCAAAAAGTAGGGATTCACTGGCCAGAAAAAGCCACTTCATAGCTGTGTGGTGTAGACCAGGCTGAATAGTGGCGGTCAATTCTTCAGCCTTGCAAGCTGTTGAATGGTGCAATCCCAGCACAAGCTGCTATGGCTTCTGCTGTAGCGTCGCTATCATCGTCTCCGGCGATGGGCGTCCAATGGTCCAATGGTGTGTGTGTGTATGTATGTGTGTGTGCTAGTCTTGACCTGTCTCATTCAGATCTTGTCTGCTATCGTTGCTATAAGAGAAAATCTGTGGGTGCACATCTATTGCATTTGCAGATTTGCTTGCTTTTCTTGCGACGGGTGTATACATGGTACATGGTACAAGGTGTGTGTGCGCGCGCGTGTGTGTGTGTGTGCGTGCTCGCATGCTCACATCTGCACGTATGTATGTGTGTTGTTTTCAATAGAAGCCTCTGGAAAAGAAGCTGTCGACAGTTCTTGCGGAGCACCGCGACGCATGTGGCTCCGGAGGTATGTGGCCACACTGTTCAGTGGCACAGTACTGGCGGGCGCCGAAGAACGACCAGGCTAGAATGTCACCAAGCACAGCATACCAATGTATACACGGAGACTCAACCGTGCATAGACTGTGGTACATGAAAATATGAACGGTCTAGGCTAGGAGGCTGACCGCCAGTTCTTCGGTGACCAGCAGTGCTGTACAGTGCTCTGGCGTGAACATCAGTTCTGCTATGTGCTTCACTCGGTTCTAACTCTGTAAACGAAGCCTGGTCAATGAGTGACTACCCCCCCCCCCCCCCCCAGACACCGATTATCCGAAGTACAGTAAAACCTGGTTTAAGCGACCACCCCACGGTGCAAGCAAAAGCGGTCGTTAAAGCCAGGTGGTCTTTAGAACCAGGTCCCGCAGTGTCTGTGTAGAACTGTCGGTGCGTAGAAAAACGGCCGTTAAGGGCAGGTGGTCGCTAAACCCAGAGGTCGCTTACACCAGGTTTTACTGTACAGGTGGAATCCTGATAATTCGAACCCCAAAATGCCTAATTATCCGGACATTCTACTTTTCCAAACATGTACCCACATACCATCATGTATGTCAAAATGCTCGCATTGTGCAGAGTTGCCCTATGCACTTTAGACACAGATTTCGCAGACAATGAACCGGCCAGTACAGCCTGCTCATGCACACTGAACTGTCTTGTATAATGTACAGTGAACTTCGAATTATGCATTGCCAACTTCGTATTATGCATTGCCAACTTCGAATTATCAGCACAAATCGTGCACTTTTTCTGTGTACGTGGACTCCGTGGGACTTCTCATTAACCGGACATGACTCGTACTGGCTGATAAAGAGACTACAGTCGAATGAGTGACTAATCCTCTATGCACTCGGTTATGATGTCAATAGATTGATGAGGTTAACGGTCATCCTGAATGTAGGTGCACAATCTTCAAACCGGCACTGGCACCGTTCACGAATATTGTGGGTGGCAGCTGCAACAAGGGCAGTGCGTCTGGCTAAAGCAGGATCACGAATGAAATTACTTAATAGTATTATTGCAACGCCCTTTCATTCTTCCAATTGCATTTTCAACTATGCGTCGGGTGCGGATTACACAGTACTGTATAAGCAGAAAATTTCGTCGGTCAATAATTTCGTCCAACTCCAAAGAAAGGGAGTTCGTCCGGTTGTAAATTTCGTCCATGGATCATAAGAGTGTATTGAAAAGCTGGACAAATCAATATTAGTCCGGCATTTAATTTAGTCCAACAGCTCGTTGGACGAAAAAGACGAAATTAAATTCCAGACGAATATTTCTGCTTGTACAGTAATTGAAGTCTACCTCAACTTTATTGGGCTGGTTTCTTTGGTAGCACTTCATAGCGGTTGTTGATAGTCCGAATGCAGCATCAGCAACATTATACGGTCTGATCCTGTCCCAGAACTGTGACAGACGATGCTTTATATAATTTTTCAATTGTGCGTTCAGTGTCCTTTAGTACAACTACGATTCCTGATGAGTGTTGTACGAAAACCTGTTCGAATAATAATCGTTCTGAACCCTAAGGTGTTTCTTCTTTTTCTGTATGGTTTTCAGATGACCTGGATATGCCGCAGTTGTGGAAAAGAGTAGATGTTCTCCTTGGGCATCTCAGGTAAGACCAATACAAATGGACAGACAGACAGTTTGGCTGAAAGCTTGATATCCATACGATGAGTCGATGACACACCAGCACAGGTCCAGCCCAGGGATTCGTACAATGCAACGAAGATCGCCTGATAGCCAGGCAACAGGAGCAAGACTACACTGAGTGATATTGATATATAACTAGCGAATAGCATTATTATGTTTTATCGTCTGATGAGTGTTTTTTGAAACACGAAACTCGGAGTTACGAGAAAGATGTTTGGTCTCTGTTGTTCTGCCCCGTGTGGTAAGCTCTGCCCTTTTTGAGGTATTGAGCACAGTTTGCAGCGAAGACTCAAAGACACTTTGTCTACTGATATATTAATGTATCGAAGAGTGTCTTCTTCAGAAAGATAACAACTGTCGAAACGTTAATTAATAAACTTCAAGTACCAGTATCAATCGGTCTAGTCTTGCTCCTAATGTGTGGTCCGGCTATGTTCCGTTGCAGACAGACAAACAGGTAACTAAACACACACACACACACACACACACACACACACACACACACACGCGCGCACCTGACCTTTGACGATAGCAATGCTACGGCTGAAGCCATAGCAACTTGTGCTGGGATTGCACCATTCAACAGCTTGCAAGGCTGAAGAATTGACCGTCACTATTCAGCCTGGTCTACACCATACAGCTATTTGAAGTGACTTTTTCTGGCCAGTGAATCCCTACACACGCGCACACACGCACACACACACGCACAAACACGCACTGGCTCTAGTAGGTACTACTATTTATTGCCACCGCCTTGCGCCATGCAAGCGTGCTGTGAATACCCTGTCTATCCTTCGCCACAGTAGTGAAGTCTAGACAGGATATTCACAGGAGTGCTGTGTGTGCTGTGTGTGTGTGTACTTGCTCAATCCTCACCCCTTGTTCAGATTCATGACAATGCCACGGCCAGCGACGAGTGCTCGCTCTCAGCACTGTATGTTCCACGTAGGTCATTTCAGATGATGAGGATGATAATGATGGTATTTATGTAGGAAACGTTGAATGAATACAGTCAACTTCGCTTATAACGACACTCGGCGGGGCATCAGAAAAGTGTCCTTATTCGCAAAGTGTCGTTATACCCGAAGTCTCATATGTATTACAGTGGGATGGGACTTTGCTCTGGGCATGGAAATTCTGTCGTTATTCGCGAATTGTCGTTATATCCGCAGTCGTTGTTAGCGAAGTTGACTGTAAAATAATTTTGAGTGAAGTGTAGAAAGCAGTGCAATTTGAGGTGTGGCTGTTAGCCCACAACATAAATTGGATATAACGAAGCTGCAAGAAGCGTCCAAGCTCATCTTGGTTTATTTGTGGGATTGGGAGAAACTTCTATTTCAATGTAAGAAGTCAAGGATGTGAACTGCCAGAAAAGTGGGGGATAAATGCCAACTCCGCAAGGACTCGAACCTGGGTTGTGAACTGCATGTGGAGTGAGCGATTTTTTCAGAGCGTGCTAGGCTTGGCCGGGTCCCGTAGCCCAGATGGTTAGAGCACTGCTCATAACGAGCAAGGTCCCAGGCTCGAGTCCAAGTGGAGTTGGTATTTATTTGATTACCTTTTTACTCTGTTCGAAGTGCAACGAAACTCCAGTGTAGCCTTGTCATTGCAAAATATGCCCACATCAGCACTCCGTCCATACTTGGCTACACACAATTCTTCAGTTCTTCCAAATTCCCGCCCAGGAGGCCATGATTTGGGGAAATGGTGACTTGGGATCGCACAGGCTGAGACATGCATTGCATGCTAACTCTTCACCACCTGATTTGAGATAGTGCAAGCTGTTGTTAGAATCAACTGTGCCGTCTGTTTATGGAAGTTCTATCACTTTCTGGAAGATATTGCAGTTGTGCTTTTGCATAATGTGATCTACACCATTAGCCCCAGTTCTTAGCACTGAAATGACCTCCCTGTCATGTTTTCACATTATTTTTTGTAGTTATAGTGTTCGATATGCTCGCGGGAGTCACCATTTTCCTGGTGATGCAAAAGAGTGGAAGACTTTTTTTAAGAGGTTCGGGTAGTCTAGGACGGAGTGCTGGTGTGTGCATCGTTGCTACTGTTTACCGCTGTTGTGTCAGCGTTGCAAAGCACGCACTGCTTTATTTACATTCACTGGAATGTTTTCGTTCACGCTAATGTCGTGATAGGACGAGTGCATTGAACACATCAGGCATTTGAGATTGGACCGTTTAAAGGCTAGCAGCGGTGGTGGCCTGGTGACCGTTTTTGGCACGATAATACGCTACAATCACTTTCGCGCTGATGTCATGGTAAGATGAGTGCATTGAAAACGTCAGGCATCGCGCGTGTGTGTGTGTGCTCCCATGTTGTTGAAACTAGACCGTTAAAGGCTAGCAGTGGTGACCATCTTGTGCGCGATAAATTGATGATGATGGATGATTATCACGTGTGTGTGTGTGTGTGTGTGTGTGTCCCCGTGTGTTGTTGTCACAGATCGCTCCAAGCGCGGCAACTCCATTCTGCACGACCAGCGTCGTGGCGTTCAGCCGTTCACCGTCATGCCGCAGCACGCCGACAAGGACGCGCAGCAGCGCTGGCAGCAGCAGGCACGCAGCCCTGCACCCGCACACTCCCTGGCGGCGGCGAGCAATCAGCTGACGACGACGGCCTCGCCGCAAGAGCAGCAGCACGCCGATCACTCCGACACGCCGCCGCCGTCCGTTTTGCCTCACGCGATGGACTATCCGCCGCTGATGTCCGTCGGCGAAGACACCGCTCAGCTATTGCTGTCGTCTTCTGACGGCCAGAGAGCGGATTACGGTGCAGCCGCACCTCCTGCTGCCAGCGCTGTCTCCGCTGGACACCTTCGTTCGCCGCGGCGGAAAAGGTATGAAGAAGAGACTTCAGTACAGTGGTCCCTTTATAACCCGGCAACATTTGTGCTAAATGCCAACGGCCGCGTTTTTATACGCACTAAAAAATCGTATAGAAGCCGAGGTGCCCATTGCTTTGGGGTCCGGATAAGAGAGGTATGAGAGCGTTATGTTGTATCCACAACAGCTTACGGTGGAATCTGATCAAAAGACCACCTGTATTCACAGACTGCTATAGACCGGTACCATGGGGCGAGCGCTGAAGCTATGTGTCACCTGTATTTGAAACCAAGGGGTCGCAGTGCAATTGGACACGCTCACCACCCAGCACCCAACAGTCAGTTAAATGTTTCTCCCTGTTTCCGTACCTTGTTGCAGCATGCGGCCGCGGCGAAAGCAACCGCTGACCGAGTCACCGATCAAGGACAGGTAATTTTTAGCTGCCATGCTTTTGATGCTGAAGCTGTGGGTGCATTTAAATATATTTGAAGGAGACATGCTATTTTCTGATCCACTCTGACTAAACAACCCGCAATAGTATCAAGCATCCCCCCTCCCCCCCATTGGTAGGATGTACAGTTGGAACCTGTGACGGATACACTACGAGAGAGCTTGAAAGCTCAGAGCCCTCGCTATGCTTTGTTTTTACCTAGGTCATCATGCGTGTTATTCAAACTCATGGAAACGTCTTTGCAATACGATTATTGGTGTGTGTGTGTGTGCGGGTGTGTGCGGGTGTTTGTGTGTGTGTGTGTGTGTGTGTGTGTGCTTGTGTGCGTGTGCTTGTGTAGGTTACGAAAGCCTACATCTGCGGAGGTACGGTGTTTTTGGAGTGTTCTCAATTTCCTGCAGTGACATCATTATGACTGTGTCTACACGTACTACAGCATTTGGGTATATGTGTGTGATATTGCAGAACAGATTTTATGTAGAAAGTGGCTACTCTGGTACATCTCCATGCACTATCAACTGTTTGATGGAGTTGCAGGACTCATTCCTGGTACATGTACCGCCTTTGAGTATAGATAGATACCGTATTTTCCGGGGTATACGCCGCACTTAAAACACTCACAATTCACCCAAAAAAGGCATTGTGGCTTATACTGTGATGGTCAACTGAACCGTGATAGACAGGGTAGATGCCTGTATTTAGTGACAGCAAAAAAACCTGGGTGCGGCTTATACTCCAGTGCGGCTTAAACTCCGGAAAATATGGTACATGACATTGAGCTACCAACTCCTTTGTGTTGTGATGAATTGTCCGCTGAACAGCACTTAGTGGAGACGATCCTGTCGACGCCCAGCTTGCAGTTGAAGCTGGCCAATGAAATCAACCATCATCACCTCACTGGAAGGTCAGTGTTATCCAAGAATAGTGAATGCCTATTTTTCCACTCCCTGGTGTTATCTCCAGTAGCTTTTAAAATGTTCCGTGAGAACGCCCCACCACCTGCTCTCATTGGTGGTCATGGTGTCGAGGCGGGGCAGTGAACCCATTGCGTAATGACGTTATTTGTGCTGCGAACACCCCGCACAGCCACCTGGGTATGGTTGTGTGGGGTGTTGAACAGTGCATTCCTGATTCCAGCATACTCACATGCATTACTCATGTAATCCGTATTAACTTTTGGCAATGCGCAGTGGGTCCATTGGTCAAATCCTATCTCTAGGCTGTACGACGCGTTCATTTTACACACCACGGACGTTGTCGATGAGTCCGTGAAACAAGCTTCAGCTTCAGTCTTTACCACCAACATATCAAGGCTTCCACTAGCACTTCTGTTGCCTTCTCTTCGGGTGGATACCGGCAGAAGAAGAAACTAACCGGAGAACCGAGTTTCATTGCATTAATTTTTATCTCCAAGCAAACGACTTAAGGTGGCTCACGTCTATTTCCAAACCAGGGTTCTAGCCAAAGGGGGTAGGGGGGGGGGGGGGTGCAGCACCCCCCTTACTCTGTTTGGGGTTCGCCCTGTACGTTGCATTTTGCATGGCAAGACAATTTTGGAAAATGGAAAAAATGGGTTACGGGGGAACTGTTTCCCATGCCCGCCTCCCTACTATTTTGCCCTGGCTAGAACCCTGCAAACTCGTCATGTTACCTCACAAGAAGTACCCTGTGTTTGTGGAAGGGAAAGTTGAAACCGACCTATACTGATTGTATCAAAGAGCTTCGCATATGCGTGAGCTGGACCCTTCGAAAGTGGAGTGCGCTACAAGCTCGCCACGCCAACGTTTCTCGAACGTAGTATACGCGAGAACCTGCGCAGAAGACGAGTTTAGAAATAGGCGCGAGCCACCTTGCGCAACAATCGTTGTGCGTGGTGCAGCCGAGGACTGTTCGTGCGTTGCAGGTTGGAGGTTTAGTGGATAAAATGATTTACAGTGAACTTGTCTGAGACGACCACTCAAGGAACCTTCAAACGTGGTCTCTGTGACTGTTACCAGATGATCGTCTACTCCTTATCCAGGGTGATTTGACTGAAAATAGCATCCCATGGTCCTGGTTTCAGTGGTCTTTTGGGACAGGTGGTCACCTTGACGGGTTTCATTGTACTTAACGTTTTGCACTGTGCTGTTTTTCCACCATCACTGTCCTTTCGCGCAGTGGGTTGCTGAGCGAGGTGGAATCGTCGTCAGCATCACCCGGACAGCTCGACGACCATGCGTACGGCGGGGTCGACTCTAGAGCCGGGGATGTCGGCCTGGCGACGACTGATACGCCGCCAACAGCAGCGGGAGCGGCGGACGTCAGTGAGGCGAGTGTTGGCGACTTGCCCGCGCCACCGACTGGCCAGCAGCTGGACGCCAGTGCCGACGACACGGTGTCGCGCGTGCTCGAGTGGATGCACAACGATCCGGCGTTCGGCGACCTGCCCTGGTCTGAACTCGAGCCAAGAGGTGCGTGTTGCTGTGTCTTCAAGAAAATTGATTTATTAAACAACGGTGTGTGGTGTAGCCGACGATCATTAGTGTGCTGGGTGTTGGAGGTTTTAATAGTGGAAAAATGATGAAATTTCACTGTGCTGTTGTTTGCTCTGTCTGTACGACCTCTGTACTGTGTATCTCTTGATGGGCTCAGGCAAGCTCTGATCTGCTTTATTCAAATCTGGTTCTTTATCGTTATGATTGCTGTAAGTCTGTAACTCCACGGGCATACGACCAGTGCACTTGCAGATTTGTGCACTTCTCTTACAGTGCTTTGCCGAAGAAATCCAACCCCCTGAATAAAATAGCACCGGGCGATACGCAGCCATAGCACTACACACACTGTTCTGTGCACTTGACAGCGGTGCTACTTTCTTCATGAGGTTGGATTTCTCTGGCCAGAACTGTTACTTGGTTTGTGTGTTTGGCTGCTGCGGCGGCCATGCAACTGTATTGCCCACGTCGACTGGATGCTCTGCTATTGGAAGTTGTGATGCTGTTGCGGCGCCTGGCGCTGTTCTTTTCAACGCGGTGAACGGCTGTATGGCCTGCAATGCGGCGTGAAGAAGTGCCAGCTTGCGTAACTTCCTTCAATCACTTTCCTGTTTCTTTTCTCCTTGTATTAGGTACTACTACTGCCGCTGCTGCTACAACTTCATCAGCTATTGGCAACAACATTGGACATAGCAAACCGGGTGATGTGCAGTCGTCGCTCTTGTCTTCGGTTGCCAATCCAATCAATCCGCTGCTCCTGACGCCGTCGAAGATGATGACGATCGCTGACACGGTGCCGACGTTCTCCACCTTCGAGTACAGCCCGTCGGTGATCAGCCAAGTCCTCAGCTCGATCAGCACTGTGCCTGATGCTGCTGCGGCTAGCGTGGAGGACCATACTGGTCGTACTGCTGGTGCTGGTGGTGTACGGATAGACTTAGGTCACTTGCCCTCGTCAACGCCCTGTACATCGTCTTCTCTCTATCCGGACCGAACTTGTAATATGGTCGCCACGTCCATCTGCAACAGCAGCAGCAAGATCACCAGTGTCACGACTGCAGCGAGCGCAGCGAGGAGCACCGCCGCCAGCTTAGGAGAACACCCCTCCATCGACTTTGCCGCATCCGGCGGCCAGGCAAACGGCATTGCGCCGTCTCAGTCGACAGCAATTTCTTCAAGTTCTCACAACTCGGTCGGCAGTGTTGATAGGTTCTCGTCGCTTGCACCTGGTGCTGATCGACTCGCCTCCGACTATCCCAATCGACGTGCCCATGTTCGCTCGCTGGACTTCAGCAGTGCACCGCCAGCTGTGTCCCCGGCCTCGTCCTCGCCGCCGCCCCTCGTATCCGGAGTGGTTGCCGCCGCCAACATTGCCTCGTTTGTGCAGAGCACCGTGTTTGCCGTGCTCCCGCCTCAGGATTCGTCCCCGGTGCGCAATGTACTGCGGCCTGCGGCTGCGGTGGCTCTGGATGAGAGACTGTCCAGTAGTACCACTGCTGCTGCCAGCTCATCACGGCCGCAGCCTGCGCCGGACCTCTCTGTGAGTCAAAGCGTGGCAATGGCATCGATTTCAGGCAGCTCATCAAGCCGCTCCGACGTAAGTTTGACTGTTTGGCTGTGTTATAACTTTATAATGCATTTCAAGAGCGCGCATGTTCTTCTGCTGAAGATTGCGTGACTCGATGTTGAATACTTGTGAGATGGGAATGCATGGCATTTTTTCGAAATACACTCGCCCGCGGTTGGCAGACTTTGTTCATACCGGTGCGCTGGATGGATCATGCGTGTGAGCGCGCGCACACACAGACTTTTTTCTTCTGCATCGGAAGTATCCAGCGCATTTCTTAGTTTTTGTGGTTGTTGTTGAGAACACTGAGAAGAAGGCTCTTGAACAACATCTCGAAAGTATCACTAGTATACTCTCAAGCCTTATCATCAGGTGAAATATAGGCAAAGTCGAATGTCTCCAAGGAAACTGTTGTTGTTGATACGTGTATTTTCTGATTGAATCTCTGGCTTGCTGAATTCCCCTCCAGGAACCGCCAAAGAAGAAAAAGAAGAAGAAGAAATCAAAGGTACTGCGTATGTACACATGTGTGTGTGTGTGAGTACGTGTGTGTGTGTGTGTGTGTGTGTGTACGTGTGTGTGTGTGTGTGTGTGTGTGTGTGTGTGTGTGTGTGTGTGTGTGTGTGTGTGTGTGTGTGTGTAGGTGTGTAGGTGTGTGTTTAGAGGACAAAAGAAATGTACCCTACTGTAGCTACATGTATTATCAAGAGTACATAACCCCAAGAGTGTGCAACTGCCTGCACAACCTCTATGCTGTGCTGCGACGGCAGAACTTCACATCACGTGACATATTTCAAAAGGTTATGCTGGCAAACAGTGCAAAGTGACCACAAGAGAGTTGTACCCAAAGCTGGGCTGCGTACAACCCAGTATCTATCATGCACTAGAGTGCACGGGTTCATCACGTGATGTGAAGTTCTCCCGTCGCAGACCCCATAGCTGGAGTTGCACACTCTTGGGTTATGTACTCTTGGTATTATGTGTAATCGATCACTCGCACTGCCCAGAATATTACGGTGTTTGCACCGACTCGTAAAAACTATGCTCAGTGATTCTCCAGAGCCCCTATTAAACTGCTCATCTGTTCACAAATGATAAGGGACGGCCCCGGGCACGCGTAGTGTAGCGTGAGCTGTACTGCACTCTTAATCCTGCTGGTCCGCGCAGCATGGTACTCTGTCCACGCCGCATGGATTTCTGCGACGTGTACAAAGTGCCAATGCACACTGTACGGAAAAAAATCACCACCTGGCCCACTTTTAGAGGTGGCGAAGCGCAGCTGGCAATTAACTTCATTCAGCCTTTATTATTTAATAGCAGTATTTTTTCTTTCATGTGGATCATACTTTTTTTCTTTTTCTTTTAAATCCCGGGCAGTCGGCTACTATCATTTCGTCTTGGTGGATAGACATGGAGAAGTAGCCATACTAAACGTCTCCCCGCCGAGGCGTTGGGATCCATACAGATGAATAGCAATACTAGTACTTGTTGTTTGTGCCTATGCTCATAGCTCTCTTACGTCTTCTCTGGTTCTTCGGTGCCTGTGTTGTGCAGCAGCAGCATGATGAGCTGGAGGCGTTTCCGGCCAATGTCGACGTGGACGGGTTTCTTTCTCAGCTGTCGTATGACTGAGCATGACGCAGTGTGTGTGTGTGTGTGTGTGTGTGTGTGTGTGTGTGTGTGCAGTGTGACCTGACCTGACCTGGTGTGGCGGCGGTGCACGCCCGTGAGCTGATCGATACCTCTGTGTGTGTGTGTGTGCGTGTGCGTTTAGTGTTACATAGTGTGGCCGGTGGGGAACTTGTCCCGCCATCTAGTAGTCGTGTCCCGAACGAACTTGATTTCTCACACGTGTGCCGGAATAGATCCTTATTGTAGACCAGACTACCCGTGGACACAGTTTCAAGCGACACCCTGCTTGTAGTGGCTGACCACATGTACATGTACTTGGACACTGATTTTATTATCTGTGTGCACTATCGCCAGGCATGCACGTTGATCCGGCAGGCTCGTTTGCACTGCTCCCCCCTCTCTCTCTCTCTCTCTCTCTCTCTCTCTCTCTCTCTCTCTCTCTCTCTCTCTCTCTCTCTCTCTCTTTCTTCCTTTCTCTCTATCACTTTTGGAGCTGTGTTGTGGGTGAGGAGCCCAAGCAGGTCGTGACATGTCCGTCTCTTTATTTTTTTATCATCTCTCTTGGTAACTTTGAACTAGTAATTTAGCAGCTTTACTACTGGCCTGTTCTTGCGATCATCGTTTTTATCATACCAGTAACAACAGACATAATTTCACCACATGTGCAACTTTTTTTAAAATACATGTGGCTAAAGTGTTCATCATTCACAAACTTGTTGTCGAGTGCACATGATAGTGGTACGTACACCCGTCGTCGATCGATGAGTGGTGTTCTAATAATTCAGGAACTTTGCTGTGATGGCAGCCCATTTGAACCGCAACCCTCTCGTGCATGTCAGGGGTTTTCAATTGTTCATGTGCTCTTGATGTGATTTGCACACTGAATACTGACGTTGCAGAAACCAAATACTGTACGTAGTATAATTATAGTCACAAGGGAGTCGTAAAATACCGACTCCCTGGTAGTCGCAGCTTCTCTCACATTGTGCATTGCAGAACATAATCATGAACCAGGCCGTAGTAAAAATACGGTATTTTACCACTCCCTGCGGTCAGTACACTCGAATGTCTCTTATCCGGACGCCTCCGATACGGGCACATCTCTCTCCTCCCTGTGCGTTATGGTTTAGGAGCAGTTACCCAACGAGGTGGGAAATATTCGTGCACCAACTGCAGGCAGTGTCCCAGTTATGCCAAGAGTACCCCCCCCCCCCCCCCCCGGGTTAAGTACTCTTGGTTACGCCAGTGAGAACATGAGCAGTTCCGCCAAAACTCCTTCGTCACATACAGAAAAGTAAAGCTCACACGGCCGCGTTACCACCACATAGCAACACTGTGCGTAAATGTGAATCCATTACTCGATACTGTCATCTCATGCGAGTGGATATGTACAAATCAGTCCAGCTAGCTAGCATGCATACCCTTCTTCATCTGACAGCTTTCTGAGGCAGTCTTCTGTAAGAGCACCAAGGTTGGTGTACGTGTAATCCCGTTGGTCCCGCACGGGAACACGATCACCGCAGCAACAGCAATATCACTTTGCAGAATTGAATAAGATCTTCGGCCTATGGGTTGTGTGAAAGTATATGCAAACAAGAACAGGGCACCTAATGGTAGGATAATAAAGGTTAAAAGGGACGTTAAAAATTATTGACCGGGGGCGGCGAGGCTCTTCTCCATGAACTTTCTCTTGGTGAAGCACATCCACCACTGCACAACAACAACACACAGGATGAACAGACAGCAGTCAGTCAGTGGGAGTTGAAGCATTCACAGAGACTGCAAGATAGGCCCAGAGCGAGGTGAAGATAGACAAGTGAGCGCAGAGAGCCTACAGAATACCAAACTGAAACTGACCTTGCTGGGAGGGCTGCTGGCGTCGGCGTAGACCTTGTCGACAAGGCGCAGACCAGTCTCCTGGCGAAGCTGGATCAGATAGTTGCGCATTTGATCTGAACATGCAACAACACAGCGTAAAACGGCATACACACACAGATAAACAACGACGATCAAAGTTACTTTTGCGCTAGCCGACTCGTTCATGTTTAGAAACATTTCCTAAGACAGGCAGTGAAAACAAAAGCAAACTGGAAACTGGATGAAATCAGTGGCTAGTCCCAAGCTAAACTGCACTACAGCACTGTACTGTAGGATGGCAAAGAACTTGGAGTACCGTAAAGTCTTGTATAAAAGCCGCACTTGAATAGAAGCCGCAATTTTGGGCCCATCAAATCACACATAAGCCTGGTTTTAGTGTTGACATACATAGAAATACCGTCTTGTATAGAATTCATTGCATTCCCAACTCATCACCACCACGCGCTCTTCAGCCGAACCATACAGACACGAGCAAGGACACTTCCGTTGAGAGATAATATTGTATGGCCGAAAGCTCTGTCGCAATATTTAGTTCTGAAGTCTTGTATAGAAGCCTGAAAATTTCACCAAGAAAGTCATAGAAGCCATGGCCTTTATACAAGTCTGCACGGTATGTACATTGTACATCACTGCGGCACAGCCACGTCTTAGTAGTTGCGATTCCAGCCACTTTTCGTTCTTATCAATATCAACACATACTACAGCATGCACCCATACGGCCCTAGCCGTGCATGCCCTGCCTTTTCGGTGCATTCCCACGCTGGCTGTTATCAGCGCCCGGCAGTACTGTATGTAAACTGCCATTTGGCAGCTGCACGCATGCACTGATGTAGCAGCTCCTACAAGTATAAGTACATTTTACGGAGATGCTACAGATACCTAGCACCATGTGCCAGTGAACAGTCTATGTCCTATGCTGAAAAGCACTGTTTAATACAGTAGTCCATCTCCACACAGTGTCCCCATAAAACCAGCAGGGCCACTCGCCCCAGGAGTTACTAGAACAGTGCTGCTTAATGGAGTCTGATCGCGCGTGTGTGTGTGTGTGTGTGTGTGTGTGTGTGTGTGTGTGTGTGTGTGTGTGTGTGTGTGTGTGTGTGTGAAGTACACGGTCCCAGCCCCAGACCTGCGAACACTGGGACGAGAACTGGCGCAGGGTGCACGCTTGACCCATGTGATCGGATTCCATTTGGCAGCACTGTAGATCAAGTCCAATGCAGTGTGCAACAATGCAAGCAGGCCAGACCTGCTGCACTGGCCCGTGCAGAGTTTCGTCAATTGGAACGCTTGCACCGACGTATGCCGTGCGTACAGCAGTGTATGTATCGCGTTTTGACATATTGTATTGTGCAGCCACCAAGGACATGCAGCACAAGCCACTTCTATAGCATGGCGTGTAGCAGTGTGTTACGTCATGTCCTATATCAATGTGGCCAGCACACAAAGTGCAAACAAGTCCATTGTGTGCTTGGAAATTAACAGAGTCAAGGCTCAGTGAAGAGAGAGAGATAGTACTCGATGTCATAAAAAAACCATACAAGCAAAGTGAGCTCGATGTGAACTGCTGATTCGTTACAAACTACCCAGGCCCTGCATACAGACTGACAGTGCAGTCTGAATGCAAGAGGCCTGCTTGCATTGTTGTACACTGCATCTTACAACTCTCAGAGTTCAGGCCCAGTTGACAAGAGTGCATTTCATCTACACCTACTAGAGTAACTGGCTACCGAGTGGTCTCATATCTAGCACATGACCATACAGAACAGCCATGGTGAGTCCAAATCCACTCAACCTCTTCATCTATAGGTCATATGACGTCGACCATGCTGGTTCCACTGTCCACACACCATGATCACTAGCCACATAACAAAGATGTGAAACCACTCTAAACAGGCAACAACTGCTCTCACACACTACGATACATTCACCTGCACAGCAAATGCCGCGGAAGAATTACTTGTACTATCTCGTAGCACACTGACCTGCCTCTCCTCTGTTTTCGGGCTTCTTGTAGAGGGCGTTTAGCGGGAATCCGCTCTCGCCGGGCAGGGCAAAGGAGGCCAGGCCCAACACGTTCATCTCCTTGGTGGCCTCATTCTTTGACTTGCACTGTGAGCAGACACACAGGTGAGTGCAAAACGTCACAAAGGTTGGGAGTTGCATTGGCAAGCCCAGTCATGTCACCAGATAAAAATCATGTAGAGCATGGAGCAGCAAGCACATGATGTGCAGAGTGTAGCAAACACAGGACGTGACGGTGTAGAGTGTAGCAAGCACATAAAGTGCAGAGCGTAGCAAGCACGCAGCGTACCTTCTGCATCTTCTTCAGGCACTCGGTGACGTACAGTGTGAGGTACATCAGGACACGGTCAGCCGGCCCCTGCACACAACGCAGCGCCCAACACACACACGCAAAGCACAAATGTGAAGCAATGCAAAACACAGCAACTGTCAAGAGAACATGTACAGTGAAACTCACTTAGTACACACTCTTGCATAGTACAGGCATTGTCTGGAGCACGGGCGTGCTGATCCATACTGTATGTCAACTGGGTTAAGAAGTGCAGCGACGCTCAATGAAATCCAGTCGCGTCACTCAAGCACACCCCGGGCGTTGCGCAGCCCTAGGCCTGCCGGCACTGGGCTGCAGAATGGTACAAGGTGCAACCTAACTTAAGGGACGATTTCATTGAGCAGCACTGTACCTCGGATGCCAAGAACACTTTCCTGCTGAACGTGGGGGTATGTTTTATCAGAGTTCTACTAACAGTACATAACCCCTCAGGGTGTGCAACGCATGATCCAACTCGGCATAGGGTCTTGGTCGAGCGTAATCGGATCTTTGCGTCATAATACCGTACACATCTGAGGGGAACCGGGGGAGTCGCGGGTACTCTCGGATCAAAAACAACGGAGCCCTGCCTAGAGACCGGCCTTTCGCTGGTGTGGAGGGTACGCATGACATCAGAAGATATGCTCGACCAAGACCCTACAGTACAGAGCTGGATCAGGCGTTGCACACTCTGGATGTACTCTTGGTTCTACTGTACATGAAAACTGCAGTGTGTAGAATCCTGCCACGGTGACATTCTTGGCTCACATCATAGCTAATTTATACACAAGAAACGGGAAGTGTTGACGTGCGCCGAGTAGCAGTTTTTCGGCAGGAGACCTATTTGAATAATATTACTTCAAAGTAATCAAGTGGCAGATCCCAATGGATCAGGACTCGAAAAAGAAGACTGTGTTTCGTACTGCAGATGATTTACTCCAGTTTACGCGTAGGCCGCTTGGTCTCACACATGCTCTTGCCACTGTTTAATGCATCATGAATGCAACCGGCATTTATCTGGATGATGTGATCATTTTCTCACGTATGTTCAGATGGGCACCTTGGTTGTCCCTGCAAAGTGTTCTTCGCTTTACACCCGGTTCTGCCACCCCTAAGCCCAATTCATACTTGACTTCGCGTACGGAAAACACCTCGCAATGCTTACGGCGATAGGCCAAACATGTTGAGCTCAGGTCAACTCTTTCGCCGCAACACGCGCTGTGGTATGCTTCCCGTACGTACGCAAATAGAAGCATGAATCGGGCTGAATCGTCGAGGTTCACGCCGCATAGGTGTCGGGCTGTTTACCACCTTCACACAGCCACAACAAAACCACCTCCACAACACAACTCACCTAGGGAACCGTCTCTCCCCCCCCCCCCCCCCCAGGGAATATCAGGGAATATCACCCACTGGGGGCAATGCCGTCAACACCCAAGGTGTATAATTGCATGGGCACCTCCTCTCCCACTGTCGGATAGGTTCAACAGTTTCAGCCCTGCAGTCGAGGTGGTCTCCAAAAAGTTGTCGGACTGATGTGCGTGTGTGTGTGCACATACCTGCGTGTGCGTGTAATGATAGTATCGAGAGTAGATAAACAAAAGTGTGCAACTCGCAGATGGGTTGGGCCACGGCGGAACATTTTGTTGATGTAATCTTTTCTACGACGCACATGCTGCGAGTCTTTTTTTTAAAAGTTTTCCCTCGTGCACTTGGCCGGGCTTTACATTACAAGGTCGGTGCCCAGCACGTGCTCTCACACTGCTTTGCAGCAAAATGTGCACGCCGTGTAAAAAGGTGACGCCAACAAAAATCTCCGGGGTATCTGCGATTGTGCAGGAGAGATGCGGAGTTGCACCCTCTTGTTTATCTACTCTTTGTAACACTGTACTTTCCTCTCACTTTGTTCGGTTTATTCTCCTCATGTATACGTATGCGCTCATGCGTGTGTGCATAGTGTATGAGACGTTGCCGATGTGTGTGTAAAACAACACTTCTTAGGCCGCGATCGATTCGTCGGACCCAGATTCATCAGATTTGGACCCGAGCAACCCTACCCATTACCTTGCACCCGAACATACCCACACCCGTCTTACCTTGATCTCGTAGTTCTTGAAGAAAACGTTGGCCTTGAAGTACTGCAGGGTCTCGTCGACAATGTCGGGGTTTTCTACAGGTTGGACACACACACACAAAATAGCGCAAATGTCAGTCACAGGGCAGCACAATGTTGTAGCAATAACAGAAGACTTGGCTTCAACTTCATGAGGAAAAAAATGGAAAAACAGCAATAAGACGTTCCTGGCAAACAACAGCAACATGCCTGACCTACGATTTGTCTTGGTATTAGTACCAGGGTGCTGTAGTGCTCATTGGGATAGCACAAGACCGTAACACCCAAAAAAGATGAACATTTTGGTTCACAAATCCGCATCGGGTCTCGCTCCACCCGCCCGCATCATTTTCCTGGCTCGCTTTGACTCCATGCTTTACATAAAAGTGCCACGGATTAAAAAAAAAGGGGTAAATTGGCGGGTTAAAGGCATACTACTCTCACACACCACTAAAAAAGGAACAGCACACAAAGTGTGCGCAACATGGCTCTCCCCATGTCTCGAAATCAAATAAACGTTGTATTCAGGGATTATCCACGGGCGTTAACCTAAATCAAGGGAGTCCCCATTCCAGTCGTCCATGCCCGGAGGATATGGGGGCATCCTAATACATGTATTATAACTTTTTTCGCAGATTTCTGAGTGACAGTTTTTTTTAATAGAATCCCAATGTGATTAGAACAGGCACAAAATCGAACCGATCTACCCTACTAGTATGTAAACCCATCCTGATACATGCACCACAATTGGCACAAACCAACACCTGTAGTAGCTTTGGATTCTTGAATGCATTGAATTCAAACTCAGTTGTAGAATGGACTACTAAACTTTGACCAACATCACACAGCTCTATGGCATGTCCGAGCTGTGGGAGTCAATTCAAAAGTGACATTCAGGTTTTCATCACCAACAGGTGATACAATCTGACGATCGGACAGTATCGTACGCCTCCGAGCAAAAGTTGGTAAAGTAAAGAGTGCATTGCAGATATAAACACCAAACCAAACAATGTCTATGGACATACCTCCCCTTGGTGCTGGGCCCTTGAAGGAGGTGTTCACTGGCAAAAGAGCCATGTTTCCCAGCTGCCTCTCGCAGTCATTGAACGCAGAATGATAGGCCTGAAGGACATAAGAGGAGCAACCGATTTAGACTCGTCCGCTCGCCCAAGGCATCACCCGTCTGAAGTCGACTTACAGGCATCTTGAAATTTGTGCCAGACGACAAACAACCAAAAAAACAGCTACTCCACACTGAAAAACTGCTGAACAGCACTGGCCACGATCTGACCTGGCAAGACACACTACGACAGTGGCTTTGGATCTATGTTCTTGGTCTGGAGTTCTGTGCACTGCACTGACTGTCAGATTTTACTTGCCGTACGGCTTTGAATACGGACTCGCTGGCTACGTAGTGCGCATGCGTGAAAGCGATTTGGGCGGCGCTCGCCGCGCCGCGCCGACTGCCGCGCTCGCTCGTGCTGAGTCGTGCATAGACGCTAGACGAGACGTGCATATGCCGCTTGGTAGACCCAGGTGCTCGAAGTCCGTACACTTTTACAGTGTGTGTTTGCCGAGCTGAAACTCACACTGTAGCAGGGAGTCGTAAAATACCGGTATTTTACGACTCCCTGCACTGTAGGCATCCACGATCCACGTCCACGCGCATACAGTATAGTATATTGCATAATTATTAATATTAGAGAGGTTCTGCAAAACGAAAATGTGTACGAACTTTCGCTCTACGTCACAAAGTGAGAAACTTCGCACGAACTTTCGCAACTTTGGACGCGAAACTTGCAGGGAACGCGAAATGAACTTTCGTAGGAAGTTTCGTGAGATCGGATCATGGCGTACGTGCACTTGGCGCATGCAAACTACGAAAATGTGCAGAACACAAAGTTCGTGCGAAAATTCGTACACATTTTCGCAAGGCCTGTCGCGAAACTTCGTTCGAATTTTCGTTGTGCAGAACCTCTCTATTAACACGGGTGTTTCGCAGTGGCCACTCGTCAAGATGGCGGCAAATCCGAGAGTACAAAAATTTCGACTCTGCCTATGTGCGTGGTGGATGCGAATCTCGCACGTGCATGCAAAATCTAGCCTTCTGCAGAGCTGGGTAGAGAAAGTGTGTAGCCAGTGTAGGAACGACGACCTTTTCCGAGAGAGAATGTGGCTCTTTTCATCCCAACATTTTACTCGCCACGCTCTCCCTCCCAGCTTATTGATACGAGTTTGTGCTACCGAGTAGAAGTCTCCATCTTCAGAGTAGGCCAGGCAGAATCGCAAGGTTGAAATACTTGCTCACTTGGGTTTTTTGGTCCTTTGAGGTGTTGATGTGATCGTTGTGTACAACTCGAAGTGACAAACTTGAGACCCCCGCGCCACAAAAAACTAAGGCGCGCCACAAAGTTTCGTTTGGCTGTTCAATGAAAGGACGTATGGAAGCAGGGATAAAAACTATCGTGGCTGCCGGCAAAACTCCTAGTAATGTAATAAACGGGGGTGTGACTTTGGTAATTCCAAGGAGAATGTACGCACGGCCATTCCACAACGAAGACGAACTACGAGCTCAAAAACACTCCGATTTTCAAACAAACGACGCAGGAACGAAGACATGGCCACAGTGTTCCCGTGTGGCCTTCAAAACACCTAATTTTACTTCGATAGCGGCTGGTTCAGGGCAAATTCAGGCCCAATTCGACAGCGTCGTACCGCTCAGATTCGCCCAAAACACGAGGAAATGTACGGTAGATCCAAATGCGTACGCATTTTGCGTACGGGGACGACTGGCCAGAGTTCATGCACTGCAAACACCCGTATTTTGTGCTTTTCATTTCCCCAACCGGCAACCCCGAGCGATTATAGCGAATGGACCATTTACGGTAGAATGTAGAGTAGATGTACGAGTACGAGTTGATTGCAAAACTGACAGAAGTCACAGTTTGTAGAAGTAGAACCCTCCGCTTGTGACTTTTCCGCTTTCTTTCTAAAATACCGATACAAGTTCAGCAGTTCTATTTTATCATCGCCGACATCAGACACAGTCCTCTCGTCTCCACCAGTCCGCCTTGAAACTTGAACGAGACGAGCATGGTGGGTACAGAGACAAGACAGGGCATCAGGGGTCAGTCACCGCCTACACGGACTAGTCTGTAGTCACTGTGCAGTGCAAGAGCTACAAGGGGAACTTCCGAAGAGAGATAGCCGATGAGGAAAATGCAGAGCAAGTAGGAAACCGGTAGCAGAATTAATTATTTTAGTGATACTAGCAAGACTGCCAAGAGTACATAGCAAGAGTACCTAACCCCCACTGTAGGGACCGGCGGATTCTGCTCGAAAAGCAGTGAAATTGGCGGAACCATACAAACCTTATGGCGGGCAATTCCCCGAATTCTGCTCCATTTCTTTATCCACATGCCAAACACGCATGAAACTTACCAGAAAAAGTACCGAATTCTGCCAATTTTTCTGCCGGCAGAATCCGCCGGACCCTCAGTGAGTGCTTTTGCACGAAACTCGGAGTAACAACGAATTTCCCGGGTGTCCATATCGCTTGATGGCTTGTGTGTCATTGCGCCACCTTACTTCTTAGATCATCGGCAGAGCACTCCTTTCTGCTCTGTTTTACTTTCTCGTTTTCGTTCGTCCCTCTTGGTATTTGTACTAACCAAACCTTTTCGCAGCTGTGGGGCTGATCTTACTCTGTAGCCCCCAGTTTGGTACTCTTGGTGATAGGCTGATAGCTGATAGCTGCATGCCCGCGCATATCATGGCATCGCTGATCTGAGCCGCATCTGGGACTACGACTCCCTGATAGTCCTTGGCGGACAATGTTCGAAAAATTGGCAGATTCTGCAGTGAAAGTGGCAAATGCTTGAATTCCGCTCTGTTTCTTTATCCATATACTTGCATACTTGCATGAAACATACCAGCTAGATTGAGGAACTTCGGAGTATCAAATCAGTCTGCCAATTTTAAGTCTGCCTGCATTATCCACCAAGGGCTACGGGGAGTCCCTGATGGTCAGTAACTTACTACGGTCAACCGTGCGAACAACGACCCTCGAATCCCCTCCCCTCGCCTCGATCGTGCGTGAGAAAAGTGTCACTCAATATTCGCGAGTTGTCGTGATGAACTGGTGAAAGTACATGACAATGTTCTGTGTGCAGTCAAATGGTCACTGGCAAGGTCAGAGGATGGTGTCGACTCGTTATTCGCGAATTGTTGTTATACCCGAAGTCGCGTTATTCACGAGGTTGACTGGTTCCTGCCATCACTGGCATCAGGTCAGGCCGCGACTTGAGGAGAGGGTAAGGTGGTGGGCTGTACTGGCCAACGACTTTACGTGGTTGGCGCTGAACTTGAGGGCGCCGAAATGGCATGGAATAGATTGTGTTTCTGCATGGTATCCTCCAGCCCGAGATTGCAACTAACCACCGGTATACCGTAACTAAACAAACTTACTTGATCATTGATGGTATCTTGCCCGTGTCAATGCAGCCACCCTGCTGAGCCACACTGGACATTCTCAGTGCAGGCCGGATGATACATACTGAGCCTCGTTTGAGGCTTGTGATCATATCCCCCCGAGCTAACCCAGCCTTCCATCAACATTGTAAGTTGGAGGTTGCCCAAATAGTGGCAAACACTACAGCCCACCACTTTTTCAAGCCTCTTGTATGGGCAAATATACCATCTTGATCAATGAAAAGCAACTACAACTACAACGCAGTGGCCCACTACTGCGTGCTTCTCTGGCCCCGCTCACAGCGGCCAGTGCGAATAGCGAACAGCCCACTGGATATTCAGGATGGTGCTGGGTAGCCCGGGTGTAGCCAAAGAATCAGTTCTTTCTGATTGTGAACCAAGCACCCTGCACAGGTACCCATTGGCATTGATGTACATTGTGAGGAGCTGGTTTGAGAGCTTGCACGTCATTGTGAACCTAATGAAGGCAATTTCCCATAACGTTGTAATATTGTGAAATTAATTGCAGTGTTTTAAGAAACTGCTGGAAGCCTCCCCACTTTGAATTTGTGAGGAGCTGCATGCAAGGGAAACACAGCAAGAAAATCCGGTGGACCATGGCAGCGGCAACAGAAATGAAATCCAACAAGGTGAATAGGATGAGGAATGTGTTGTGACTCCGAGTTTCACGCACTAACATTAGGCGATCTGGATCATCAGGCAACAGTAATTGATGTACATGTATATGTATCTCTGTCCGCAGATTGTGTATATGTATGTATGTATAACTCATAATCACAAGGTGATCGTGGAGGCATTAGTCAGCGAGAGAATTGTGAATGATGTCTCTGAATCCAACTCTATCGTGTGCTGCATGTACCGGTACATGTACATGTATTGTAGGTGATCGATAATGACAACCAGTTGGTAACTTGTGTACTCTACGGGTGCTTGGTGGAGGTGTTTGGTGGCGTAGACCTTCACATATGGCGACCCTGACTTGGTGACTTGTCTTCCAAAGCAAAGGGGCGTAATCTCTGGTCAGCCTTTTCCATGTCAGGGTGTATTGGCTTGCATTACCCACTAATACCCAGGCCGCCTGCATTTCAGTCAGAACAGACTATCTGTGTTGAACCCGCGGGCACTCCATTCACTTGATACTGGTCGAGAGGCGTTAGTATCTTACTTTAGTGAGATTGGGACCTGAACTGAGGAATGGGCGTGTCCGCTTTTCGTGGCCGGACCGGCTGCATGCTGTAGCGCCGACGTATCGGTTGAGCCGGGGCCGCGTGCTTTCGGGTTTCTGTTTTCTATGTGTCAAGTGGATGTTTTACCGGGTTTCTTCTAGCAGGAGAGTGCTGGAGCAAGATCAATACAAGCAACCCAGCATTCTACAATCTTTGCGTGATTTGCTACAATAGACATGAGTCACATAATGCTGTAGACTTGCGACGCTGCTAATGGTAGTGCTGGCGGTTTGGCCAATGCCACTATAATAATGCCCCCCCCCCCCTTCCGCACCCGATGCGCCGTGCATGCTCATCCTGGACATGCAGCTCCGTCTGTTACGAGATTATCATCTGGGCATACATGTACATTGTATGTCTAGGCCAGGCTATGGCCGTGTAGGCTGCTGCATTCGGGAGATAAAGCAGCAGACGCGAGCCTTACATCCGGAAAGACCACTGCTTCACGGAGATTCATCGTTCTCCGGTAGGAGTTCGGGGAGAATTGCTCATTTGTACGCAACTGGTATGTATTTTGAAACACGAAGATCTTCTATCGTGCCGATAGTTCTGTAGTAGCAGCAGCTACAGCAGCAACAGCAGCAACAGCAGCAACCCGGCTGCCAGAGTTTCTATTGTCTGGCTAGTCCGACGCTCATCGATAC